TTCCTTATTGCACTCTCCAAGCAACCGGAAGGGTAAGGAAGCTGTCACGTAGCATCCCATACTACGGGTAGCTCGCATCCAGACAGCATGCCGACACGCCAAACCAGTCACTGTTGCGTGATGCTGCGCTACTGAATAAACCCATCTGACATCGCCCAACGTGAACCTGGCTTGTGAACAAACCGTACAGCTGAACGGCTGTTGCACCTGCCAAGCGGCAACAAACACGGGGCACGAATTGTTGAGAAAGTTTCGCTAGGGCGTCAAACCGTTAAGACACTATTAAAAACATGTCATGAGTTCAACCAGATGCGTCGCTCACTTACTTCAGGCTTCTAGCAATTGCGAATTTCGTATGGACATGACGATGTTGTACGAACGGTTATAACTTGCCAAGCAATTGATTGCGAATGTCGTATAACGAGATTACGATGCTGTACCAGCGGTTATGACTTCCCACTCGTCTGGGGATTTGTAGCCTGCATGCTACATATCTATGCATGAAAATTCATCAGAATTTCATTCGAAAAGCATTGATCGTTCAATGAGAGCTCATATATGTCCCTCCATAGCGTGTCCAGAAGACAAGCACTCAACGTACACAAACAAAGAGACCAAACGTCGCATACGGATAAACCACGTTTCGCAATGTCGATGGACAGGGATACTCTGTTAACAGCATTGCCGAGCCATTTTGCCATTTTGCGAATGCAGAAAATGTAGCAGCACAGGTTGCTTCATAAATCAAGCAGGCAGGCTAGTCTGAAATCTCGCCATTCCCAATAAAACCATGACCTGTTCACATCATTGCTTTCTTGTTATTTGCCGTCCGACACAAACTCGAACTTGCTTCGCAAAACCTCAGAGCCGTGATCGAGTCACAGCCGTGGCATTGGAAGCGACAGTCAAACTTATGGTGCGGGCACCTGCCAAACAAGCATGCGGAGATTGTGCACACCTCTCTTGATCAGCAGCCTGAACATTACAGTAACCCCTGTAAATGCCCGTACATGAGCATCACTCTTTCTGCTCGACTCGCAAAGCTCCAGCGGCAAGTCACTGACGCAGCCTAACTTCCACATCTGGTGACCCATCAGCCGGACGCTCTATGATTAAAAGTCTCCTAGGAGAGTTTTGCGGATTGGCGAAACTGACTGGGAAAACATTGCCAAGAATCTTCGAACGATCAATCAAGTAACATCAGTTGGCTGGTGATGTCCGCAACAGCTCCGTGAAGGTGTGAATGAGACGACGGATCTCTGGTCTATGCTGAATGCAAAAGGTGGTGACACTGCGTGCCCGTATGGTTGCATAAAATCGGCAAAGAAGGTTAGAGCCACGCAATCGCCGGCCGTGTACTCGCCAGCCGCGTACTCCAAATACAGCATTAACTTCAAGGTTTCGACGCTTAAATGAACAACTGCAAAATTCACCGGGCGGGCTGCTCCGTCCGCGTCGATTGCACGCTTGCTTCACGCTTCCTTGCTCTTTGCTCGAACTGGAGCCTTCGTAGCAAGATGCCTGAAAAGCCGGGAAAGCTGTTTCCAGAACCTCAGACAGGTTCGCATGTGTACATTGCCAGCAGGAAACGTGAGGTCCACATCCTGCTAGTTCTTAGTTGGACACCAAACTTCCGGTGCCTCTCCGCGCCTACGCCTGGTTCATAAAGCCAGAGACAAGAGGTTGCATGTGCAGCCACAATGCATCATGGCGAACACCCCCAGGATGCAGCATACCTTCAAAGTACCTCCGTGCGGGATGTACGTCAACTGGTGTGCGCGAGAGTCATGGCAAGTAGTATGCAAGGGCCATGTTAGATCGAATAGGGTTTTGGGACATGGTTTTGGGACATGTTCTGCTGTGCTTAGATTTTACTCAGGAACCCCGCCATCCTCGATACTTACCACGCTTTGCTGATACTCGGCAACGATGTATCCCTCGCTTACCCTGTTCCCTTGCAGGCACGCTCGCAACAGATGTTTTGCTCGCAAGATGCTAGTCTGTGCAGAGGGGAATGGCTCAGGTCCTCTAGGTCGCAGACAGATGTATAGCTTTTAGCTATATGGGCAATAGAGCCGAAGCTCGATCCAGAGTCACAAGGTTGTGTTACAGGCGGAGCACTTGAAAGTAGGGATGGTGCGGTCCGGCAATCGGTACGGTGATTAGAAGAAAAGTAGTGAGACAAGGTCCACAAGATGGAGCCTTGCTCTATGTACATGGCTAATCATGACATCGTGCTCACAGCTGTTATTGCGACGCCCACGAGTTGGACTAGGCATCGATGTCCGTTCGCATATTCACATAGACATACATAAATAAATAGGTACTTGTGTATATATATATATATATACATATGCATGTACATATATATATATGTTTCACACTCACTTCGGCTCAGAACTCTTTTTGCGCGCGAAGCACGAAGTCCTTGGTCTTTTGCACGTTTGTGCAGGGGGTGGGTGGGCGGGTCACCCTTGAGCCGAGAGCCTACGGAGGTGAAACACTACGCACGCAGCGCTAAGCTACCACGTTTCACACTCACTTCGGCTCAGAACTCTTTTTGCGCGCGAAGCACGAAGTCCTTGGTCTTTTGCACGTTTGTGCAACCTTCCCCCCTTCATACCAAAGGGAGTGTGTGCCCCTCCACACAAAGGGGTTGTCGGTCGCGAAACGCGACACGACAAGGGCCCACACGAAAGGGGGATGGTGGTTCACTTATTTGGGAACCCTTTGACCGGTGTCATGTCAGCGCGGGCCATGCAGGCGGCGGTGTTGGCAGACGCCTTCCTAGACGTCCAAAGGTATGCCAAAAAAGCGTCCGAGTTCCACCGGCCCCAGGTTCGGAGGACGTAGGAGTCCATGCCCCCTGCCCACATTGCGGAGGCTCCCCCAAATCTCAGAGAGTGGGGGGTGTATGCTTGCGCCTCCTCCCCCAAGGAGGCAGCAACAGTTTGCAGGGCAGTCTGGATGTCCTGCCTTGTAAGCTCTCCGAAGAACCTTTCCTCCGGATGCGGCGTGGCTTCTGCCCATTTGAGTTCAAGAAACTCTATGGTTGCCAGCACAGGGCAGACGGCTGCGTCGCTGCGAAATAAATTCCTCGTTGCGGATTCCCCTTCGGGATCCGTCTTAGAGGCTCTCACAACTATCTGCACCTCATCTGCCCCGCGGAAGGGTGGCCGGGCGAGGAACTCGCCACGGCTGTACAGCTTGACGTCTTTAACACGAAGCCCGAGCTTCGGGTTGTTGCCGCCGACCAGTTCCGAAACTCGCAAGAGAAAAAAGAACCCGAGTTACAATGCACAATTGAGCTGTCTTCCCCACAGCCCTTGTGGCAAAGCCGCTTGGGCCCTTGCCAACATGTGCGGCGTAACTGGACGTCGTTTGGTGATGGGTCCTTTCCTTCTCCGGATTCCCTCGAGTGCCAGTTGCAAACGGGGAAGCGGTTTCAGCGGGTCTGGGAAGCCCAGCTGTAGGTGCACGCTTCGAATTGCTCCGAGGCGAGCTTGTGCTGTGGCAGCTGCTAGACCTTGGCCCACAAATAGGTACACCAGATAGTCGAGGAACAACGACTCTTCTCCGGGATCGAAACGATCCACGGAGCGGAGTGCTGAAACACCACGACGTCTGGTGTATAGCTCCCACCAGCGCCAATGGCCGTCATACAACCGCCGGGTGGATGGTGATAGGTGGTCCTTCACCAACTGTAGGCGTTCTTGCGCCCAGCGACGTGCGGGGACTACTCCTGGTTCTGGCCCCCCTTCTGAGAATTTCCGTTTCGTTTCCGCGGGGGAATTCCCGCTCGGGGCCACGAGGGGGTGACCGCCTCGACGCCGATGATGTCGGGTCGGGGCTCTCCCCGTGTCTCCCGGCGTGTCTCTCGCACTGCGAACCTGACCTTGCGCGTTCCTTCCCCCACCCGTCGGGATGCCGGGCGCGGAGCGCGCCACGGCAGCCCGGGCCAGGTGACGAGCAGCACAACGAAAGCAGAAGCGGCGGTACTGCAGGGCTGCCGAGGCGTCCGGTTTCCCCTGCTTTTTGGTCGCACCCTTGCAGCACGAGCAAAGCGAGAGCGGCGAGGCTTCCAAGAATTACCCGGACGAACACCGCGTAGTTGGTCCCCGGGCGTCCGGTCGCAGGTGTACGCCCTGTCGTGGGTTGCTGAGTGACGCGGGGCTCGAGCGGGGAGCAGTCCAAGCAGGGTCTGTACGGTTACGCCCGGCTCTTCCTCGCCCTCAAGTGCCCGCAATGCTCCGCGTGGAAGCATTCGCCGGCCGGCGTTACTCGGACGTGGTCGGCTGCAGGCGGATGCCCTTGGGTAGTTTGGCAGGCGACCTCTTTCGTCTCGACGCCCCAGCCCCAGGTCATGCGCCAGACAAGGTAGAGGCAGCCGGCGGTGACGAGCCTGCGAGCCCATAGTCCCCAGTCTTCTCCCTCTTCCACAAGGTCCCTTTCAGCAGCGTTTGCCACGATGGGAAGCAGAACGAGAGTAGTTAGCCCGAGGGCTCGCGTGACGGCGCGCCGATGGGTTTCGTCACGCGGCAAGGGTCGAGCTATCCACGGTCGAGTGGGGGGAGGAGCTTTGCTGGTGGCTTGCTGAGTGCGTGTCGGGCTACCGGTTCTTCCCCTCCGGTTCCGGCACCCTCGATCGAGCATCAGGCCTAGTCTCATTCCGAGCCCCAGTCCGATCCCCCCTCCGACAATGCCCGGGCCTGAAGCAGGCCACGGTTCTTTGTCCCAGAGAGAAGGACTGGTGGGCCTAGGCAGCTTCCTTGCTGTATGCTGCAAGCGGCTACCATTCCCCACAGTACCATGAATCCCCGGGTTCTCTCGCCCGTCCCCCGTCGGGCACCTGCCGGGCCCGAAACGGGCCACGGCATGGCCCTCTCGAGGTGAAGCGATTCGGAGTGAGCGTATAGGGGTGATTCTGCTCACTCTCTGTGGGGTCGTACTTGCGGGTCTTACCCTGCTTTTCGCAAAACCTAGCCCACTTGATGCGGCGCCTGCGCTCGGACTCGGGTTTGCGCTTCTGAGCTACCGCGGCTCGCATCGGGGCGTCCAGCTCCCCAGCGCGCAGCTCCTCTTGGAAGCGCCGTAGGCTGTCCTTTGCCGCCTCGTTCATTTGAAAGTTGAGGTGGCTGGCTGCGTCGGCCTGGTCGCGGACCGGGTCTTGCGCACCTGCCCCGGCACCTTCGGCAACCTGTTGGGCTGCTCGGTGTGCGGCGGCCCGCAGGCGCGATTTTTCCTTTCTGCGCGCTACCCACACTCCGGCAGCTTCTTTGTCCTGCAGGAAGCGCGCGTGGTTGATCCACCCGAGGCTCCTATTCATGCTGGGCCTCACGGGGTTTTTCCGTTCCAGTTCTGCCAGGGCCGGTGGGAGTGCCGCGAAGTAAGCAGCTTCCGCGCCCTCGAGCTCCGCGAGGGCGGCAACCCTCGAGGTTGCCGCCTGCGCGCAGGCATCGCGGTTCTTGGAGAACGCTTGCGCAAGGGACGTAAGGTTCTCCACAAGCTCGCTCTTTTCTTCGCCCGATCCCTGGGCTTCCCTGAGGGCTCGCTGAACCCCGGACCAGTTGGACGCGTTGGCAGCGGCCAGGGCCCGGAGGAGCGACAACTGGCCTGTAGCCAGTACCACTTTGCGGCGGCGTGGGGCAGGTTCCTCCGTCTCGTCGAGCTCGAGTTCCTTCTTGGTTCCCCCGCCCTCTTCTTGTTTGGAGGAGCTGGACGCGGCCTCTCCCGGCAAAGCGGTGGCTACCTGGATTTCGGCCTCGTCGCCGGACCAATCCGGGTCCTCGTCTTCCAACGACAGCTTGCCGATTTCTGCCGTCAACGTGTCCGGATCGACTTTCAGCGCGATGGCTTCTGGCTCTGCCAACGCCACCTCACCCAACGCCTGAGCGGCGTCGACAAGAGGCTGCAGGGGGCCCCCTTCCTCAACCTTCGGGCCCCAGATTGCCTGGGTGTCGCCTTCGCGCGGAACGCGCCACGGCAGGCGTCGGTGCTGCTTCCTGGGCGGTGTTTTTCGGAGCGGCCGGGCTTTGGCTACCTTCAGGCGTGACCTCCGCTATTCCGGGAGCGGAACGCTCCACGGAAGGCATCGGTTCGTCGCCCTCGGGCGTGACCTCCGCTATTCCGGGAGCGGAACGCTCCATGGAAGGCATCGGTTCGTCGCCCTCGGTGCTGCCCTCCAGCGGGCACTGGTCTGAGTTCCTCTGCTCAGCGACCCCGATCAGTTCCATTTCCTCGTCCCCCAGCTCCGGCTCTTGGCGTTCAGGGGTTTCTGCTGTGTCGTCGGTCGAGCCAAGGGCCCCTTGTTCGCCGCCCTGTGCGGGGGTGCCAGGTTGGTGGCGTGGCCTAAGAACGACGGGTTCCGGCGGAGGGCGCGCCTCCATGGCTCGCAGGCGCTGCGTGGCGTACGCTGCTGCGCTCAGGGTGGATTGCTCCCTTCGGCCCGAACAGGACTCACAGTCGGAGTCCAGAGCTCTCTGCAGCTCTACGCCTACTGTGCCCCGAGGCGCAGCAGACGCTAACTTACGCCTGGCCTCTTGCCTCTCGGTAAAGCGCGCGGCCTCTTTGTGCTCAGCCACAGCCTCGGCCCTTTGTTGAGCCTTTTCAGCTGCGGTTTTCGCAGCTCCTTCCCGTCGCGAGCTGGCGGCCGTTCCGGGGGCGGAACGCCCCACGGAAGACCCCGCGGCCCGTGGTGGGAAGGGAACAGGTCCTTTGCGCCAGGACTCTATCTGAGAGATATACTCGGGGGGTATTCCGTCCGGTGCCAGGTAGATGTCGTTGGTGGTAAGTAGAAACCGAACCTGGGCATACTGGGCGGCTTCTCGTGCAAGGACAAACACGGAGGTTTCGATGTCAGACCTCCACCTGCCGTGTTTGGACCCACAGGAGAGGAGGTGGATCGCTCTACGCGCGTGCAATCCTTCCTTGAGGATGTTGTTGCTGTGCCGCGCGTAAGAGCCATGCACAAGCATGTCTGGGACCTCCCAACTCCTGCTATGGTGTGGCCTGACACGGCCGCCACCCACACGTCTTCTCCTCTTGGGAAAGAATTAACCTATCTTTCTCATCTCGCCCGATGATCTGGGCGGCATCCTCGCCGGATATGGATCCGACGCATGCGTTGAGGTCCCTCAACGAGACCCATCCGTCCTCGCGGATCGGGAGACCCAGGAGGGCAGCCTCGTGTCTGAGGATCTTAACCAGTCTTCGCCGGTCGGCGTCACTCCGGGCTCGGAACGAGCCACGGAGACGCTCCAACTTCTCCTGGTCCCTGCGCCCTTTCTGGGCTCCTTTCCCTTTCTGGTTGCCTTTGCCGCCCATTCCGGAGCAGCGGGTCCCAGACCTGTCTTCGAGCTTTCCTCCGAGCCACAGGCGTACCAGGGCTTCTGCGTCGTCTTCCCACGGGAGCTCGCAAGCTCCGGCCTTGCCTTCGCTAGGGAGCGCACCGCCCCCTCCAGAGCTGAAACGGCTGCGGTCGGGCGACGTGTCAGGGGGGAGGGAACCCACAAACTCAGCAGCAAACGCCGCCAGGGCGTAGGGTGGGGCATGCAGGGCAAGACGCGCATCACTCTCAGCGTCATCCGTGGCGTCCCAACCCCTCCCCCCGACGAGTTTATGGACCTCCCGGGCCCCTATCACCCTAACCTCCCTAACCTGGACCCCTTGTTCCCCATGGCTCAGCAGGTGGAGGGCATCCTTTCGACGGGGGTCCCAGGAGCCGTCGTGTAGGGGGGGCATGGGCTTGGTGGGGTCCCAAACGAGCGCGCGCGACCTTTCCTGGGTACGAACCGTCCCACATGGTTTGGGGGACTTCAACCTTGGGGTCCAACCAGTGGGTGGCGTAGGTGTGCAGGGGCGGGGTGCAGGGCTCGAGAGCAGCCCTTTTTTCACCTGTTGCTGCGCGTGCTTCCTGTCCCGCATCGGGGTTCACGCCGACTAGCACCCAGCGGTGCCACCACACCTGTTCCTTAAAGGTACGGCCGGTGAACTCTTCTGTCCACCACTCCCAGCGGTTCTGGGCATCTTCTGTGCAGATCGCCTCGACCGTGAGCGGGCGAAAGGAGTCGATCCAGATGCTCGCGGCCTGCGTGGGCACGCTTGACACGATTCTTCGCGCCTCCGCTTCACCGGTCACAGTAGCTACGCAGAGCAGACGCTCCTCCTGCGTCGGAGTTCCCTCCTCACCGGGAGCGGAACGCTCCACGGTGGGTGCTCCCTTTGGAGTGGCCGTCGAATCTTGGGGGTCGTGTTTCAAACCCCCAGCCGCAAAGAAAGCCCGGGTATACACGCCATGCTCCGAAGTTCCGAGCTCGTGCACCTTCCAGCCGAACGCGGGCATGGCCCGCGGGGGGGCCGGCCCAATCCTCTGTGCGGCGAGCTGTATCGGAGTCGGGTTGACCCACAAGAGGGCTCTGCGGTGCCAAGCTTCTTCCAGCACCCGGCCCCAATCCTCAGGAACGCTGAGGCGAGTCAGCCCCTGTTGTTCCATGACTTTGTCGGGGTCAAGCCGGGTCAGGTCGTCGGCGGTTTGATTGTAGTAGGTGCGGAGGTAGGCCCCCCTTACTTAGAGGCCATAGACCCCTTTAAGGCTCCTAGCACTTTCAGGAGGAGGTTGGCCTGTGCATTCCCCGCTTGTCGCTTGCGCAACCAATCTTGCAAATTGGTGTTGTCTCCCAAGTACAGGACAACACTGCCCGCCCAGGCTTCCTTTCTGGCGACGACCAAAACGAGCAAGGCCAATAGTTCTGCTACGCCTATTTCCACCAGGTCCTCCTCGGGCTCGGTACGAGCCTCAAGGTCAGTAGGGTCCTGGGCATTGGCCTCAAGAGGCGACAAGAGGGGAGCTGCGGCGCAAGCCACGGCCACCTTGGCAGTCCAGTCGATCGCTCCAAGTCGGGTATAGGCGTAGCGTCAGCTGACACCCAGACCAGGTTACGCTTGACCTCTGGTATAGGGCCAAAAGTTCAGGCGTGGTGAGAGCGTGCTCGAGCTGCGAAACGAAACGCGCTTCCCAAAACTGTCGCGAGCCGACCAGCAGCCGTTGCAGCTCAATGGCGCTCCAGAACGCTTCCCACTGTGCGGACTGTTCGGCCTCGTTCCCGCGTAGGACGACGTGGCCCTCTCGGTCAGCGGGTCCCAAAAGCGCATTGGTGCTCTGGAGGTAGGGGGCAAGTTGCGGTAGGACTCCTAGCCAAAACTGTTGAGAGCCTCGCAGCACCTGGACCTCTTTGAGAGGTACCTTGGTCTGTCCGGCGTCGAAGTGCGGGGACTGGAGAACGTGGTAGGCCCGTTCAACCTTAAGGGGCGGAAGCCGGCTTCTGTGTCGAACTCTAGGCCCCAAATCAATTTCCTCGTGGTAAGGGTGCCCTCTTCGACATCTTTGGCCGCGTTGATGGCAAGTAGCCCAAGAGTTTGCCGGATCGCCTCTTCCAGAGCATCGACCGACAGTTGGGGGCATAAGCCCAAGTCGGGTTCGATCACTACCGAGTCGTCCATTAGAGCGAGCGACCGGAAGGAGGACGTGTCGTGCCACTCGGGTCGGTCAGGGCCACACGCTCGGTGTAGCAACTTAATCGCCCATGCGAAAGCCATGAACTCTCCTGGGGCCCCCGTCCATCCAAACGTCATGGCGGTACAGAACCGTAACCGGGCGCGAAGCGTCGCCACGGTTGTCCCGGATAGCCCCTTCGGAGGGAAGATCCGCCCCAAAAAGCCTGCAGTCGTCCTGCTCGACCCAAAGCCACTTAAAGGCTTCTGAGACGTCTTTCTTCGCCAATAAAACGCGGACGCCTGGGTACCGGCTCTTGTACCACATCACCAACCTTACCACCTCAGCATATCTGGGTTGGATGGCTGGAAAATGGTCGTCCTTATGGCAAAGTTCATTAACGACTCTGGCGTCCCATATTACCCTCCCTTTGGAGGAGACAGACCTGTCTGGGTTATACTTCGGCACTCGTGCCAATGGTACGGATACCACCCCATCCAACAAGTCCTCCTCATCGGGGCCTGGGCTCATCAAAAGCACTCGTCCCCGCGTGGCGTCCTGCCAGATGAGTTGCCGGGCTTCTTCCACGTGATCCTTAAGTGAGGGATGCGGGGTGGCCTTAACCCAGGCACGCTGCGTGCCACCGTACTCGGCCTTTACCCCTTCCTGGGCAACTCTTCTAACCCACGCAAGGAGATCCTCAGGAAGGTGGCTATCAAGGTGGTGGTCGAAAAGCCCTGCGAAGTGATCTTCTCCCCCCCGGGCCCTCCACGCGTAACGCAGTGCTCCCACAGCCTCCTTCCACCCTCCGCAAAGCCTGAGGAGAGTCGTGCCAGCCTGCACGGCGTCATTCCAGGCCTGCAAAGAGTACTCGACCTGGTGCACCTCCCGCAGGTAGGCTTCGGCTGCCTCCTCCGCTTCTTTGGGGAGACTCTTGGGAAGCCAGGACGGCGGAGGCCCCAAGGGCGGGCCGGAGTCGGCGAACAGCTTTCCACACCTGACGGAGTCGCCTGTTCCCTCAGAGAGGTCTGCCTCTTGGCTGTTTCGCTCAGCCTCGCTCGCAGGGCCATCAAGCACGCCTTTCAGCCTTTGCATTTTGCTGACCAGGGAGGAAGCAAGATCCTCCTTCCCCCCCCCCGGTACGACAAAGCGCGGCGAGCCCAGGGGGCACGCCGAAGGACGCGCGCAACATGGTAACTCCGCCTGCCGAACCCAAAAGAGGGCCGGGCAGGCGTTCGGCGTGCCAACACGCGCCGGCCAATTGAATCCGCGTTGCCTTGTCGGTCCAGGCACGCCGGTAGAGAGGGGCCTCCAGCACGCAGCGCCCGCCTGTTTGCAACTGTGCGGCAGCCAACCGCAAAGCGGAGGACCACTCGTCAGGGACAGTGTGGCCGCGACCCGCGCGTAGAACCTGCAACCCAAAAGCCCCCGCCTCACGCCCCGTCCGAAAAGAACCAGGCGCACGCTTGGGGTGACAGACCTGGCACTGCAGGAGGCGCCCGGCGTCAAGTAGCGGAGAGCCCTCGGCTTCCTCAAGGTACGCCTCCCAGCCAGCCGCTTCGAGCTCGCGGCTCCCCAGGGGCGGCAAGCAGGATTCGTCTGGAACCAGCAAGCGCATATGGCCACGGTGCACCAGCACCCACCGAGTGTCCTCTGCCTTGCCGCTGTAACGGCTGCCGCAAACAACTTCAACACTAGGCCGCATATAGGCGTCCAGGCGCAGGACGGCCAGTCCCAAACAATCCCACTCCTGCAAAGGGTGCGCGACCAAAGTACGGTAGTCCCGGTCGTGCCCAAAATGAAGAAGGTCGTGGTGGAACACCCGGACATCAGCTTCGGCCTGCGTGAGCCGTTCGGGCGTCGGCCCCAAAGAGTCCTCAGCGACGCGTGCCTGCGAGCACCACCGCACCCTCCACTCAGCAGCGAGAGCCCAAACCGACTCAGGCGTTGGAAGGGGCTGGTCCGGTTTCGCGAGATACGCAGCAGCGACGTGTAGCAGCAAACCCCATCCTTTCGCAGGCCTCCGGTGTGAGTGGGAGCTGGTCCTGGATGGCCCAATGACCGACGCCCTTCCAGGTGAGTGTTCCTAGGCAGGACATCATCCAAATCGGCAACCACATGCCCGGTCTGTTCTGGGACTCGCTGCCCTGCCCGAGAAGCGCGGTCAGCATTGCTCGCGCTCGCAGCTTGGCCGGTCCTCTGGGTGGCCGAAGCTTTGGCCTTGGCGGCGGCGATACCTTCCTGCTTGGCGGCTGCGGCTTTCGCGGCCTGCTCCGCCCGGACTCGGGTAAACTCACGGTCGACCTCGTCCGCGGTTTTGGCCTTTTGCCCCTTAAGGCCCCCGCGGCGCAACAACTGGAGCTGGACCGTGTAATCCAGCGTGGTCCACTTTGGAGCAGCCTTGTGTGAGTGGGGGCAGCCATTGCCCTTGTTGCAGCCGCGATGCGTCAAGAAATCCCAACACAGGTATTGGCCCTGTTGGTCTTTCGGCCTGTGGTCCAGGGACCTGGCCGATTCCTTGGGCGTGAGGCTAGGGCCAAGAAGTTTCGGTGGAGCGGCTTTGTCCGCCGCTTCGCCGCCCGGCGTTGCTCTTCTTCTGCGCGCCGGCCCAACACGCACGCGAGAGCTGTCGCTGCATGCGCGGCAACATATCGGTGCAGAAGTATTGGGTATCGTCATCAAGGCGAAAGGTGCCTGGCAGTTGGAGCCAGGGTTGCCCGTCTGGGCCAGGAGACAGGGCGAAAAACTTCAGCCTGGCAAACGTAGGAGTCTCATCCTGCATGGCTCTGCGGATGCGGCGATCCAACTCCCGAGCTTCTTCGCAGAAGCGGGCCCAAAGTTCTTCCCACGCACCGTATACTGCCGAAGCCGACCAGGCATAGCCGTGTTGCTCCCCTAAGCGGAGCAGGTGTGAGGCTGCCTTTTCGAGCACGGGGTAATATTCTTCGCCGAAGAGACAGGCGAAGGCCCAAGACTGACGGAGGGCGGCTCTGAACCAGGAGGTCAACGTGTTAGGGTACCGGCCCTTACGTTCAAGTTTGAGATCCGGTGAGCCCCCGTAATTGTCGAAATCTTCTTCCGAGGTGAGCGGAAAATCTCCTGCTGAGAGGCAGTACTCAGGCAGGGTACTGAGCGTTTTCCCGCCCAACTGCAGTGCCGCAAACCCGTAGCTGTGCCGGTTCTGAATGTTGCAAGGGAACTCGATCTTCCGCAGCTGCGGTCTTGCCTGCGTTCCGGCGATGCGAAGCGCATGAAAGAGTTCCTTGCCCACCACGCCTGGGCACAGAGTGACGCTCAGGGTGTCGCAGCCCCGGAGCAGGCGCCCAATTGACGCCAGTTTGCCTCGTTCCTGCGCAAGGGCGTCTTCCTTTGCGGTCAGGCTTTTGGCTATCGCCTGGAGCGCTTTGGTTGTCTCGTCTGCGGCGGGTGCCTCTGCATCAGTAAAGGCTCCTGCTCGGAAAGCCCTGGTGGCCTGGGCCAGCGCGTCCACCGCGTCGGTCCTACCTCCAGATCCTCCTGATCCTGGGCTTGACCTGGACAGTGCCTGAGCTGTCGGGCGGCGATCCGGGCTGAAGCAGCCCACGGACGATCCGGGGCTGGAGCAGCCCACGGACTTGTCCTGCTCTGGTGGTAAGAGGGAGGACCCGGGTCCGAAGCGGACCACGGGTGGAACCCTCCCCCCAGCTGCTCGTCTGGTGAGGCTTGTGGTTGGGCTAGTTCCCAAACAAACTTGCTGGCTTCAGCCGGCAGTTCACTTGTAAGCCGCAAGCAATGCCTCCGTGCCAGTTCCCGGAGACGTCGTTGTCTCTCCGACGGAGTCTGGCCGCCCACCGCGGACACCTTGACCGCTGAGTCGTGGCCCTTCCCTTGGAGCCTCGCTTCCATGTACGCGAACAGGGCTTGGCTTTCTTCCGGTTCCTCGGTTCTGGGGGTGCTTCTGCTCGGTCCGCTAGACGTTGGGCCGTGGATCGTGCCCCTTTGTTTAAGAAAAATAGCCCTCTTGCGGAGATCTTCATCTGGTATCCCCGCGATCTCTTCCCAGGTCAGCCCTGATAGTACCTGATCCTCAACCGAAGCATCTCCCCCGGGGAGGGAAGCCGCGGAAGCGGCCCCATCCAAACGCGGGGGAGAGGAAATCCCACGGAGTTCTGCTGCCTCCGTCTGAGTACCGCGTTTGGGTGTGGCATCCTGTGAGTGCGGCCGGGCGCGCTCCGCGCCACGGCTAGCAGACCTCTTTCTGGCTTGCGGAAGGCCTCGCGACCGGGAAGCGAAATTCCCCGGCTTGACGGCAGGGCCTCGTTCCTCTTTGCTGGCGTGAAGTCTGCAAAGCTTGACCCCCCCCTTCACGGTTTGGGCAACCTTTTCACAGCCCTCGACCGAGCACGCCCTTCGGGTTTTCGAAAGGGCGTAGCTCTCTTGGTGTCGGGCGCAGAGCTGGCAGCTAGCTTGCAGTCCGTCCCAATGTAGTTCCCCACTGCTGCTTTGCACGCCGTCGTCGTTGAGAAGCTTAACCCACGAGCACGCTGCATCTTTGCAGCGCTCTTTGCTGAGCCTTTTCGTCTGCGTGCCTTCTTTCCAGGCAATCGCATCTGCCTGGCACGGGTTGTCTTCTTCTTCTGATTCGGTCTCCGACAAGTCATGGCGGGGGGTGCGCCCTTCTTCCTTTTCCGGGCGCGGAACGCGCCTCGAGTGTCTCGCTCCACTGCAGCAGCACCAGGACGCAATCCAGCGCCCACATGCTCGCCCGGTGCCCCAAAGTCCAGTGACTCCCTGTAGTGCCATGAACTTGGAAGCGTTGAGGGCCCGACACATGGGTCCCCGGCCTGACAGTTCGTTCAGGTCGACGTCCACACTCTGGGGGACCACGCTGCTTGCCGTGATGTGCAGCTCTGCAGCTTCAGGCGAAGTGCACGGATCTACCGAACACAGGTGCACAACGCACTGCGCTCGCTCCAAGCACCTTCTCCAGTAGCGGTGGGACGCCCCGTGCACGCTGTCGCACCGGCACAGGAATCCATGTCGGTTGGTGCGTCCCCGTACGGCTCCGTGCCGTAAGCGGGCCACTGCTACCCCGTCGGTCACAAGAAGGTCGTACGGGAGCTGTTGTTCACCTCTCCCCCTGACTTGATCTTGAACATAATTGACCGACCAGGGATGCTCGCCCTGGGGTCCTGTCCACCTAACATGGTAGGGGTTCTCGCCGTGCCCTCTCAGCACGGCTTCCCAGGTTCGTCGGCCCGCCACGTATTGGAGCAGGGCTCCTATGACGACAATGATGGGCCTGACGACCCACGCATAGGTCCAGTAGGTAAGTTGCAGCATCCCCAACAGAATAGTGGTCGTGGCCAACCAATAGGTCCACCTTGCTGCAAGCCCTATGGAGGCACAAAGGGTGCCGCACCATGTCAGCCCTCCCTCCCATATCTCCCACAGTACTCCGGCCAAAATCCGGAAATACCATCGTCGAGAATGGGCATCTTCAGCTTGGGGTGTGCTGGCTTTCGGTTCGGTGGATCCTTCCCAGGACCAATCGAACCACCAGTACGATGCTCCCGGGCTCGGTTCCGAGCCACGGGAACTGAAAGGCTCGTGCCCTTCTGTAGGGCACGAACCAGCTCCTCCTTTGTCGCACGTTTGGTTTTCGCCACCCACTGCGAAAGGCCATAGCCCCCCGAGCGGGCGCACCAGTGCGCCGAGCAACAGCAGGGCGACTCTCTTTGTCACCCTTGAGCCGAGAGCCTACGGAGGTGAAACACTACGCACGCAGCGCTAAGCTACCACATATATGTAACACAAATATACACATGCCTCATGTATGTGTGCAATCAAAAATATGTATATATGAATGAAAAATTAAACATATATATATATATATATATATCATCCGATATATGATATACGATGTATGATATATGATCTGTTTACCATGATTTGCTATACAATGTCCTTTGTAATGCGTGTTGCTGCTTCTGGTCTCTCTCTCTCTCTCTCTCCCGGGCATGAGGGCGGGTCAACGCCCTCGGGCCAATGGCCCCCCCGTTGTTTTAACGGGTGTGAGGGGTGAAGAACGAGTCGTGAATACAGTTTCGGCTAAAGCCATAAAGATTGCGATAACGGCAACTGTAATCCTCGACTCTCAGTCCCACACATGCAAGGTCATCTCTCTTTTCCCCCTTATAAATGACAAAGATAATGTAAGAGGTTCGTCGGGAGGTGCAGTATTCCCCCCATGATGCCGATACAGTCTCTACAAACGAAGGCCGGGTATAATAGGAAATAAAATAACCATTCCTCGGCATCATCTTTTCAGGGGTGTGAGCACAAGGAGTCGTTGGGGATGTAGGTCCATCAGATTTGGAATAAAACAATGACACAGCGTTGTATGACCAGCCTAAAGGCAACATATAAGTGAAAGCAAGGCAACTGGATGGACTATCCCCCGCACAAAGTCAGCTCAAGGTAGCACTACAAAGTCCTGGGCCTGACTGTATGTCATTTGGATCCTCTCGTTGATTTATCCCCCGCGATTGACATAGAGCTAGAACACACTTGGAGGATCCAGCATACTTGGCCCGAAGTGGCAACGATGATGAAACAACAGCCTGCTTTGATTACGAAGCACAATAAGGTAGCAGCAGCATTTGGCGGGGTTTTTGTGGGAGCCTAGTTTCAAGCATTCAGAGCCAGTTCCCCCGTGATGCCAGCATGAATTCTATGAAGATATGAAAAGAAAATCATCTTGTCTGGCATCACCTTTAACGGGGTGATTCAGAGTAAAGAGATTGTTGGAGGTTTAGGTCCATCGGATTTTGGATTGAAACAAGGGCACAACGATACATTCAGTGCCTAAAGGTCAAACATGTGTACAGATCAAGTCAAGTTAGTGGACCCGATCCCCCCTTTTGGTTTCGCTATTTTACAATGACGAGTTTTATCGTGGTGCAGGATGGCTGACATTCTCTGCATAAAGTGCTGAATCACTTTCGAGAGCTGGCTTAAATACAGGGTTAATGACCAAATTTGCAGGTTCTTCAATTCAGCACTTGTCGGCAGCAGCATTGCCAAGACATTGGAACAACAGCTTGCAGTGTATAGGAAGGCAGTGAAGCAGCAGCAATTGGCAAGGGGATTTTGGGGATTGTGTATTGCTTGCAATGCTTTTCCCCCTGCTCGATCCATGCAACAACAAGGATGAAGTAGGAAACTTGTAGTCACAGGACGGGTCATGAGCAGGGACAAAAGGACTGCGTTCCCCCGGCTCAGCTTCCCTCAGATCGGCCCGTGGCGGTCGAGGGCACCATGTAGGCGGCGGCGTCGGTGTTCCGCCGGGCTTTCTTCACTGCTACTGGCGATGTCTTCCGTGGGACTGAGTCCTTCACGAGGTAGTCCCCCGTCTTCCTGATGACTGCCAGTGGGTACGTTCCCAAGCCCGTGGTGTCGATCGAAGAGCCACCATTCTTGCCGGCTTGAAGAAGATGTTGCCATGCCACGTCCCCCGGCAGGATCATGTACATCAGCAGCGCCTGGAGGTGCAGGTAGATGTCCCCCGGCCGGATCGTGTACTTCAGCAAAGCCCGGGAGAACAGGTTGTCCAGGATGTAGTGCCTCCTCAACTGCTTCAAGTGTCTCGAGGAGGGCCCTGTGTACAGTATTGAGTTCGTCACCAGGCCATTGTTGTAGTTGGCTTCTCAAGGACTGTAGTTCGAGGGCAATCCCCCGGGCCAAGCGTTGTCGACGGTCACGGGCCAGGTGAGATGTTACAATCCCCCGATGTGCAGCTATGACATCCGCGGGGTGCCCAACTGGGTCGCCTCTCTCCACCGCAGCCAGATAGTGGCAGAGATCTGCCAACTGTAGCCAGTGCTCTCGTTGTTGGGGCTCCATTTGGATCCCCTGCAGAGCGGTGCCCAGCTGGCCGAGGACAGTCCCCGTGTTGAACATGCCTCTGTCATAGTCCAGCCCAGCTTCGCCGGTCCCCCACTGTTGAGGGTTGCCAGCGCGTGCCGTGGCCATGGCGTGTAAGTGACTATTCAGCCATGTGAGAAGAATGTCGATATCATGTTGTATGTCGAAGTACGAGGTGGGGTTGTGGTTGCTAGCCGCGCTCAGTTGCCGCCAAGCCTTTGCCAGTATGCGCTGCAGGGCTTGCTGTGTTGTGGATGTTGCTCCTGCGTCTGTCCTAGCCCGCTTAGGATCTGGCTCCCCCGGGTTACTTGGAGCAGAAGGGTGCTCAAGCTCAAGTTGTCGTAGTACCTCAGATTCGGTCTGATCATCGACCAGTAGGTCGGCAAGTGCGCATTCGGCTAGGTGAGTGATCATGTTCCCCCCTGGAAGTTGGTGGGAGAGTCTGTAGATGCGAGTGAGGTAGTGTTCAATGCGGTCTGTGGCAGTGGGGTGGTGCTCGTATGTAGCCGCTGCTGCCTGTGGGGGCGGATTCAGTGGGGTGTCGCCCGTGGTGCTGTCGGGAATGGTTTCTGGTGGTGGTTGTTCCACCAATGCTGTGTTGGCTTGGTGTGGCAGTGGGATGGCCGGAGTCGCAGCTTGCGCCCCTCTTTGCAAGGCTTGGTGGATGTTCTGCATGAGGTTAGTTTCGTCGTGGGTGGTGGAGGAAGAGCTTGTAGTAGGTGTTGTCGTTGTGGAGGTTGGCCGAACGTTGCCGGCGGAATTTGCGGTTGTGGTAGCTGTGGTTGTTGTACTCTTGGTCGTGGTAGTTGTGGTTGTCTCGTTGTTGTGGTTGGCAGTGCTGGTGGTGGTGGATGTCGTCGTCGTTTTCTTCTTCCCCCCAATGTCACGTCCATCTCGGATACGAGCAAGTAGGTCACTCGGTTCCCCCGGTTGAGTGGGAGGTGCTGGCGGCGACTTTGGCTCAGGCTTGCTCTTGCCCCTGCCCCCACGTAGGTCACGTGTGTCCACCAATGCACTGTAGTTTGTGGGTGGTTGTGGTGGTGGTTGTTTGGCTTGGGGCCGAGACTGGGACTTTGCTTTACCCCTCGGCTTTGTGGGAGGGGGGTCGTTGACGTCAGGGGCAAAGTGCACGTGTTTTGGTTGTTTTGGAGGGGGTGTTCCCCCGTGCTCCGTGGTGGTGTTCGTGGGTTGGCTGACTTTTGAGTCAGGGGGGGGGGTCGTTGCTCCCCCGTGCTGTGCTGTTGGTGTCTGCTGGGGCTGTTGGAGGCGTTGGCTGCTGTCGCGGCTGCGTGTGCGACTGGCTTGTTTCTCCACGTCTGTATTCTCTGACGTCTGAGTGCACTTGCTTGTCGATGGTCATCTTCCCACCTTTGGGGGTAGGTTCGAGGATGAATGTGTCCCCCTCGACTGCGAGGATGCTCCCCGGCCAGTGCTCGTCGAGGAGAGGGGTGGATGTCACCATGAATAGCCAAACGTCTGGTGGGCCCATCGGGGCTAGTCGTCCTCGCAGGCCGACTGTGAAGGGTGGTGCTGTGAGGACCGGCCCGCTCTGGCCAGGGTAGGTGATGTGGAGCGGTGGCAGTCCTGCTGATGCTGTCTGGGCAGTAGGTATGTAGTGGACTGCCGTGATCTCCACTTCGAAACACCCGTGTGAGAGGGGTGTGTATGTGACTGTGGTCCCCTCTGCGTGTGGTATGCTTGGTGGGATTTCGAGTTCCTCGTGGGGTGGCCCCAGCGGGGCATTGTCATACTGCCATTGCTCTTCGGCTGTTGGTTTGTATGGTGTACGTGGAGTATTGGGGGTCGGTTGACCCGTGGATGGTGGTGGTTTGTTGGAGGTGTTGGTAGGGTGGGCGTCAGTGGAGCTGGAGCTGGTCGTGGCTTGTGTGGGGGGTGGTTGGTTTGTGGATCCCCCTTGTGGTGTCGGCTTTAGGGGTTTCCCCAGGAATCGCGCCATAGCTTCCTGGAAACGTGCTTCGGCCTCTGTGTCGGCCTTGGTCCCCCTGGGGTCAGCTGCGTCGCTGGGCGTGGGGTCGCCGGCATTCTGTGTTTGACTTGCAAGAATGCCCCACCCTGGCCCTGCTTGGGGCTGGGGGTCAGGTCGCACAAGTTGCTCCCCTGCCCAGATGCGCTGCTTGAAGGAATGTTTTCCTTCCTTGTTGCCGACACGTTGGGAGCCGTGTCCCGCCCCTCGCGTGGAGGAGTGTTTGCGTCCCCCCGTGGGTTGGCCCCACCCTGGTCGTTCCCATGGGGGAATTTTCTTCATTGGGTCTTCTACCTCTCCGGAGTCCGTGGCATCGCCGTCTGGGTCTTCCATGTCGGAGCTTTGGTCCGATGGGTTGGGTGGTCGTGGCTGAAAGAACTCTGGAGGTGGTTGTGTGTTATGTCCGCGCGGTAAAGGATCGGGCTGTGGCTGTAGTGGTTGCAGTGGTGGTGGTGGTTTGCTGCAGGATGCATCCACAGTGCAGTTTGCATCTGCTGTAGTGGCCACATCGAGGTGTTCCTCGGAGTCGAGAGTGGTGTGAGGGGCTGTGGGCTCGGTTGGCGGTGGTTGGTGAGCTGTGGCTGTGGAGTCGGGCCCTGGTGAGCAGACTCGTTCAAGATAGCTTGGAGGTAGGCGCCCGGTGGAGATCCAGCTGGTGTATTCCCCCAGTCGCATTTCGGGTAGTGGACCGGTGCCAGGGGGTGGTAACCAGGCAGGTGGTTGTTGTGGCTGTTGTGGTGGTTGTTGCTGTGGCTGTGGCAGTGGTGGTGGTTGTTGTGAATGTGGAGGGGCACAGTGGCTTGTCGTGTGCCCGCCTATGGTTGGGTTGTTGTGCGAGGCTGTGTTGCTCGTCTGCTGGGTTGGGGGAGGCGGATCGTCTTGGGGGTTGTTCCACGGGTCTGTGTCCCAGTCGTATGTGGGATGGTAGCCATGGAGGTCGCGGTCAGCTCGTGGGTGGGTTGGTAAGCCGGGTTGTGGAGGTTGTTGCACGGACGCCGTTGCAGTGTGGGGCTGTGGTGGTGTCTGCTGTGGTTGCTGGCTTTGGAGAGGTGGTGGGGAGGTTGGTTGCGGGTGGCAGGCTTGCTGACCGATTTGGTATGGAGGTGGTGGTGGAAAATAGAGTGGTGGTTGTTGTGGGAGGTTGTTGGTGGCACCCCCGGCAGTCAGGGTTGTCCAACCACCCCATGATGTAACGTAGCCGCCCGGGGTAAGGTGCGTGGCTGCCCACGCTAGCTGAGCTGGTGCACCGCTTTCCCCCCACGCCTGCTGTTGCCATGGTGGGTTGCTGGGGTCTGCCGGTGCAGTGTTTGTTGCGTGGTGTAGCCCTGTCGGCGTCTGGAGGCCGTGTTGGGTGGTATGTTGCTCTGGTTGTGACGTCCCCGCTGCTGCTGGCGTACTGTCGGCTGCAGGCTGTGCTTGCTGTGGCGGGGGGTCTGGGCCCTGTGGCCACACGTGGTGGATCGTCCCCCACCACAAAAGGACTGGTAGCGCGCGACCGAGCATTCTCTCTGAGTTTGCGGCAAGGTTGGGGCTCTGGGCCTCGTTCTGCAAAGCTGCTGCTGTCGTGTCTCGTCAAGAAAAGCTGTACAGGTTGTAAAAGGAATTAGGTCGTAGGGTCATCGAAGTCAAAGGGCATAAAGCACGGGTTGCGAAAGACGGTGTGGTAGCACATGTGTCATGTTTGAGCAAAGGGACGTAGTCGAGCAGGCGCCGGAGCTTGTCATTCAGCATGAAGAGAGAGAAGAGGGGAGAGGAGGACACGAAAATGCTGCATCGTCCAATCGCTGTCACTGATCTTCGGCGAGCAGGTCATTCACGATGTGACTGGCAGTCTGCAATGGTACATGTCTTGTATTCTCTCACTCTCGTCGGTGTAGTGTTTGCAAGTTGTTCGACCGGCTTTTCTGCTGCTTGGATCGTTGTTTTGGCTTGCCATTGTTTCGGTGTTGCTTTCTCCGGTTGTCATCCTCAAGGCTTGCTAGGAAGGCTCTGTCGGAGGCTTGTTGGTCCCCCGGTGCAAGGTTTGCGATGCTGCTTTGTTTGCCACTGCTCCATGGGACGTCGTACTTTGCAATGAAAACAGATTCCCACTCCCCCCATGTGTCCCTGTCCTGTGCAATCGCAAACCAGTTCTTGCCGATTGTGTCGCTGAGTTGCCGGTCTATGTCCATGTAGGCGTTGAAGCGGGCTGCATGCTGCACAGGTTGCCCTCGGTCTTTTTGCTCTTGCCACCACTGGAGGCTGTGCCACTGGAGGATTTTCCCCCCGATAGGATCACCACGGCTAACATGTCCAATGGCGGTCCAAATCTGGGAGAGCACGAAAGTGGACCAGCGGATTCCCCCACAGTGGTAGAGGGCAAGGCGGCTTCGTCGGAGACTTCGCTTGTTCCAGGTCGCCCACTCTTCACATGGTTGTCGTCGGAGTCCAAGCATGACTCGCACATGGGCAAGTTGGATGCTGTTGATGGAGCGTAAGAGGCTGCTGTGGCACGGCCATGTCTGGCAAGCCCATAGGGCGCTCTGTCTGACCAGCACGACATGGATCTGGAGTTTCTGCCGGATGGTGGCTGCAGAGGTAAAAGACTCTCGATGGGTCCAGAAGGCTTTTCGGGCCCTGCTTTGTGCTTCAGCCAGCAACATGGCAGTCCCCCCATGGAAGGAGAGAGGGCTCCCAAGCACGTGAAAAATATGTTTGGGCCCTTTGGTCACGACATTCTCCCCCGCTACTTTGAAGGTCGCCGGCTTGTCGGAGTTGGAAATGATGTCGGTTTTCCCCGGGTGCAGGAAGAGTCCGCGTCGAGGTAGTCGATGGCCCAAACACGAAAGCAAGTGTTGGAAGTGCTGGCGGTTTGTCGACCAGATGTAGTTGTCGTCCATGTAGCTTCCCCCGTCTTCGGGTGGTGAGGTGTCGTCAGAAGGCTTGCTGCTTTTCGCCTCTCGAATGGCTGCATCAAGGTCCTCTGCCACTACGGAGCCGAAAGCAACTGGACTTTCGGGTGCACCTTGACGGACTCCATTGCTCTGGCGAATGGGAATGCTTTCCCCCGCCACTTGTATGCAGATATTTTCTGCATGGAGCAGTGCTACCCACGCTCGAGCCTCCCAGGGGAGGCGGGCTTTTTCCCCGACGGCCTGGTGCACGTGGGCGGCAAGGCTTTCTTGGTAGATGGAGTCGAAAGCTTTCCGGATGTCTAACTTGGCGATGTAGAACTCCAGGCCCCAATCGCGAGCGATGCGTGCCAGTCTTCTGAGTATGAGGATCAATTCGATGCCTTGTCTCCCCCGCCTGCACCATTGCAGCCTTGCTGGGGTTTGAATGGCATCCCCCGATCGCTGTAAGACCAATTGCCCAAAGGTCTTGAGCAGGACTGAGCTGAGTGTTATGGGGCGAGTTTCGCTCCAGTCTTTTGGCTGACTCGTCTTTGCTAACAGGATGGTGACTCCTGTCTCGACACTTGCAACGATGCGGCAGGTGTAGAGCATGTCGTTGAACAGCTCTAGCAGGCGGTTCCCCCATGTTGGGTGGGGCAGCATGGCCTTCAAAGCTTCACGCGACACCATGTCGGGTCCACACGACTTCCCGTTTTTCCACTTGACCTTCACAGCGACAAGCTCTTCCATCGTGAAAGGTTTCCAGGGTGTGTGCTTGCACATGATCTCGAGCTGGTGCATGATCCCCCAGATGGTGGCTGTGACAATGATCTGCTTTTGTTTGAAGAAGATCTTTTCAAAGTGGTCCTGCAGCGCCTGCTTCCAGTTGTCGTCGTCAATCAGGTGCAGTTCCCACGTGTGATCACGGCTCTGCTCTGTGAGGGCCTTTTTCATCCCCCAGTCCAATTCGGCCACCTTCTGCATGGCCAGCTGTTGCCACTGTCTGTGTTCTTGCTTGCGTGTTTTCCTGGCCAGTTTCCAAAGGCGTCGTCGTTCTTCGCCAGGTGGAGCTTGGAGTGCTTGTCGTCGGACTTCGCGAAGTGCCGGTGATTCTTCGAAGGGTTGCTTGTGTTTGCCGGGTTTGCTGATCGCCACAGCGACTCGCTGGATCTGTGTCACAGGGTCACCCCCGACATGGAGGTCGCGATCAAGGATGGCATCGACCTCGTCTCCTGCTCGGAGCACACGAGATGACCAAGCTGCAGCTCGTTCCCCCTCGATGTTCTTGATGCGAATCTGAGTCAAGGGTACTGCCACGGGTTCATGGTCCGACGTGGCGATGTCTCTGTGGGCGAGGATTTCCCCCGGGTCGCAGAGCAGCTTCTTGGCAAAGATGTAGTCGAGTCGGCGTGGTTCGAGTGCCGTGTTATACGGGAAGTGGCTCGGTCGCTCAAGGGATTGTTGTGGTAAGTGACATTCTTCCTCTTCGAACCATTCCAGCAGCATCTCCCCGCGTGCAGTGCAAGCCTTCGTCTGTCTTCGTTGTTGTGCCATTTCAAAGGTCTCGTTGGCATCGATCCCGATAAGTGCTCTGCGGTGGGCTTGTAAGTGTGGGTGCAGTTGTTGTAGGATTTGTTCTGTAGTAGAGAGAGTCGCATGGTGTGGGATATGGACCGAGAAAGCGCCCAGCCGAAGCTCCTCAGAAGTCAAAGTACAGGATAGCGAAAAAGGCAAAAGTTTTCCTTGGCTGTGTCGCAAATTGGAGGTATGCAAAATGGCATTCCCCCGCCATTCTCCAGCTTGTTTGCCGAAAAAGGCCTGCAACTCGCCGAAGGAAGAGTGTTGTTTCCCCGGGTCGCATATGATCTCTTGGATGAACACGACCAGGGTGCCACAAAAAGGACGAATTCGTTGTCGCCGAAGTGCAAGGATGACTTCAAGTGCTTTAGCCGCTGAAAGTCCCCCTACATTCCAACTGATGGCATGCATCTGTCCAGCCTCGGGCCGGACGGAGTGTCGGCCCTGCCTCGTGGTTCTCCCTCATTGGAGAGCCTTACGAAGCTCCCCCCATTTGTTTGCGGCAGTCTCCTCCGAGATCCCGATCTGTCGGGCCAGGGAGCCAAGGTGAACCCAGCCGGATTTCTCGACTGAAGCGCCTTCCGGAGCCGAGGTAACCCCCGAGGCGACTTTAATGCTGTTGTACCACAGGTTTGCTGTGCCATACTCGACATCGATGCGGCGTACATCTCCACCCTCTTCGATGATGAGCCTTTTGACTTTCCCAGCAAGTTGTGCTCGTTTGCGGCGTTCCGGGCTCTGGCTCATAGCGGCAAAGAAATATCGCTGTCCCCCTTCGGGTCGTTGGCCGGTCACGACTTTGGCTGCTCGGATTGTGCGGAGTGCCTCTTGAACTCGGGCTCGTTGTTCTTCCTCTGTTTCCCCCTCCAGCCTGGTGAGGGGGACGAGGGCGAATCCGCGTCTCAGTCCTGGGACGAAGGCCTGGCTGACGTCCAAGTTGATGTTGAGCTCGGCGAGGTGTTGTTTGACCAAGCGCAGGGTCTCTTCATGGTGTTGGTCGGCATCCCATCCCCCGACCACCAGAGCTGGTCGGGGGTTGCCTCCTTCGGTCTCCGAGGTCCTCGTGCTCGACATAGAGAACTTGGCCTTTGCAAACTTCCCCTCCAAGAGCTCAAGACGATGTAGCACGGATTGCTGTTTTTCATCCACCTTGCGAACACTTTGTTCCATAGCACAATGTCGGTCGGTCATAGCTTCCAAAAGTTTTGTGGTGTTGGCAACATGTGTGTCCACAGTCAGCTCCACAGTGGACATGCGATTGGTTATGGTGTCCATGTCTTCCCGAACTTGTGCCACAATCTCCTCACGGTTCTCCTTGAGAGCGGCCAGGAGAGTGGTGAGAGTCAACGGTCTTTCGTTGTCGTCATCTTCAACTGCAGGTCGTTTCCTTCCCCCGGCAGCGGGGAGTGGCTGGTCCCCCTGTGTAGGTGAAGAAGGCTGTCTCGCCGTCCCTGCCATTACTCAGTCAGGTAGATGTTCGCCTTCCCCGCCCAGCGTTGAAGGAGCAGAACTGCAGGTTGAGGTAGTCCCTCGCCCACGTAGGGTCGCCGATCGCGGCAACGGTGTTGTGGGCAATGTCCCCGAGGTCCAGCGCAAGGCCCCCGTACAGGACTGTCCTTTACGATGTCTCGGCCGTCAAGGTTGAAGGGGTTCACGCGTAGTGCTGCGAGGTCCCCCGAGAGGTCGATGGCGCAACTCTTTCCTCGCCTCTCTCTCTCTCAGGATCGCGGCCGGGTTTCTCCCCTGTCGGTAGAGTTTACGGGCTTGGGGCTCGAACCACTCACGGCTTGAGCCTTGAGCCAAAATGGCTACTGGTCTCTCTCTCTCTCTCTCTCTCTCTCTCTCTCTCTCTCTCTATATGTATAGAGATATAATCCGTGTCGGTGGGTATACGTATGTGCCGTAAACTGACCACAGGGCATTTTGCTTTCAGAGGCACTGATTCCGGAGCCAAAAATGGCCAAGGACACCAGCACGGAGACCAACTTTTGGGATGCCTCTGAAGGTTTCAGGGGCTTCTGGCATAAGTGGCGGTGTGTGGTTTGGGGGGTAATATGGTGCTGGGTTTAATTGGCCCCCAACCCCCCGCGTTTCTCGGCATAGGGGTTCCTGATGGAGCTGTCTGCGGGGAGGCCTTAGAAGCTACCAAAACCTCGAAAGTGAACCCCGATCTTAAGATAACTACCAAGAGTCACAAATCTTCATGTTGAAAACAGTTTCCTTCATCCCACAACCTGAAGCCTGCTACAATGAGCTTTCTCCCGTCTCTTTATCATTGACCATCAGCATAAAGAAAAACAGCAAACCAGAAAACAAAGCTGGGTCAAGAAAACGCATTATAGACTTCGCCCGACATTGCACCGAGTAATGAAACAGCACCGGATAAACGCAACCCAACTTAATCCAGTGCCACAGTAGGGGTTCACGGATCAGAGTTCAGAGTTGGGGAGTAGCGGTTTAGGGCAGGCTAGGGGTCTGGGGATTACAGCTTGGAGTTTGAAACAGGTTTTCGCCTCTGGCATTTGGATAGAGAGAGAGAGAGAGAGAGAGAGAGAGAGAGAGAGAGAGAGAGAGAGAGAAAAGAGAGAGAGAGAGAGAAAAGAGAGAGAGAGAGAGAGAGAGAGAAAAGAGAGAGAGAGAGAGACAAACACAGCACACACATGTACAGGCGTAAGAGGGTGGGTGATTGTGTGATTGTGTGTGTGTGTGTGTCCCCATCATCACCATTATCATCAGCAGCAGCAAATACAAACTCATGCTGAAATGCTACCTGCTACAAGTGCTATGCACCGTCGAAAACGATCTGTGTTGTGCAGCCCCTTCCAGCCTGCGCCCACGCGAATCCGTCGGCTCCCAGAACGCTGATTGCAGAGTAGATGCAGAATTGAGTCAATGCGGACATGACTCCTGATTGAAGGTTTGAGGGGTTAGGATTGTGTGCGGTCAGCGCTAGCTTGCTTTACCCAAGTTTGACATGCTCAGGAGCTGTGTGAAAGTGTTGACTCTTTCACTGGGTTGTGCTTTAAACCCTTTGAAAATTATTTATGAATAGGTTCCTTTATGCTGAAATGTGGGAAATTAAATTATCCCAAAGCACAACCAAGTCAAATGATTTTCGTTGGGTGCGGCGGGCATAGCTGTCGGGCACCGCATAACAGCATAACGGTGCAAAGTTGCAAAGCACCGAACCCAGCTCAAGCACCTTTGGAATTTCCCCATGCTGCCGGCAACCTTCTGACAAAATGTCCCTGCAGAATGGGCCCTTTTGACGTGTGGCCATACTGCAGAACAATATTGTAACAGCGTGCAACTTCTAATGTCGACAAAGCTAACAGCGGCATGATTTGAAGAAATATCTTGCCCAAAAGCAAACAAATTGCGAGCTACTGACGCATGGCAGTCTCTCATTCCCTATCGATTCAAAGCTAGCCCTAAACTCAAAACCCACACTAGCCTTGACCCAAGGCGCCGAGCCCCAGGAGACGCCAGAACATACCCAAGCCCTGCGAGGACATGGACATGCTGTCGATGGAAGCCGATATCTTTGAGAAGGAGGATGCGATGCGCGCCATGGACCTCGGCTTCATGTGTCAGTGACTTTACTGGAGTCTAGTCTGGAAGGCATTTAGCTGCTTGTCAGGTGTGCTGCGGAGGATTCGGTGCTACTGCGGGCAAGGCACACGGTAAGCCCGAGCAAGTTACCGCCAAGCATCATCTGTACTTCCGTCAGCCCCTTCTCCTGGCAGACTCTGGAAACATTTTACAGTGCGAAGCTGCTTCTTCTCGCGATCAAACCCATGGCTCTCCTGATAGAGGCCCTCCTGTATGGTCGAGGTGTAGCTGTCTGCGATGAAGAAGATCCCAAGCATGAGGACTCCCATCAGCCACTCTTGCGTCTGCTTCGCTTCACTGCGTGGCTGGTCCTGGAAATGCAGAACAGCTTCAGGCCGAGGCTCAAGCTCAGGCTTCAGCTCAGTACGGTCCCACTCGTCGGCACAGTGCATTGCGAAGACACAGCAGAGCGCCAAGACAGCACGAAGGTACCTGATTTTGATGCAACACTTCAGTCGCCGTGTCGACTCTCAAAGATCAGACACATGTTCATCTAGTTTATTTCCTCTTCAGCACTCAGAGACTCCAATACTCCTTCACAAAGGAATACGGTGTTCGTAAAAAACTCGGCTTAGAGTTAACAGGCTCCTTACTGCGCTCCCCTACACCCGAAGCCTTAAGGGATCGCTTCAACTGGACCCCTCCGAGCTGCTCCGGCGGTGAGTAGCGCTTGCCAAGCCAGGCTCGCCCGACGATCATCGTCGGAAGCATCTTCGCGGATTTCGACATTACCTCAACAGCCATCTGGTGTAAAATTAACGGCGCCTCTGAATGCTGTCCACTCTAGGGTTGATTGGGGTCACCTCAAGAGCCATCGGGCATTTAAGGAATTTCACAGAATGATCCCAGCCCGGGCCAGGCGCCTGCACGCGATATGAAAAGTATCTCATGACCTCATATCCGGCCCAGGAAGAGACTTCGTTGGTCACCGCGAAGGAGGAGAAGGCTAGTGGGCTTGCCCCCAGGCTGACACGCTTGGTGGTGACCAGCCTCAGACTTTACGATCGTTCTGGGGTCATGATGGCTTTCACAGTTCGGAGGCAAACCCTCCAACTGCCCGCTGCCGAAGCAACCATGGCCCCAAGTACAACAAGGGTAGCTTGCAAGCATCTCCGAGATGCTAGGTACCCTAGCATAAAGATAGCGTAAGCCTGTAAAATTGGCAAGAAGCTATATACGGCCAAGAAAATCAAAGGTTCCCATAAAGCCCGCAAGCTATCGTTTGGATACCTGCGAGCGTCACGTCACCTGCCTGAGGTGCAGCTATGGTTGGTCTGATTGCTCCAGCATCCCAAACGTCCCGAAGACTTCTCGAAGTGTAAAAAGGGAGTACGACTCTCCGGCAGCAACTGTTGGGGTTCAAGAGCGAAGAACATTAAATGTTAAACGTTGTGTACCCTGGACCTATTGACTCAGCAGAGCAACAAGTAGAGGCAACAGCAGGCCGTCGACGTAAGTCGATTCGTGAGGAGCACCAGCGCCGAGGGGATCTTGTCTCTAGAAGCGACCTCAAAGGAGTTGCGTGGCTTCGTGTCAGAGATTTGGCTTCAGCATGGCTCTGGACCTAAACCCGCGGAACCCCAAACCCTAATGGATGGAAACCTTAAGCCTTAAGCACTTAAACCTAAACCCCGGACCCTCCTGCCGTGAACCCTAACTTGCGAACAGCTCTCGCCTGCTCTTTGAGCACCCCGTAGATGACGCTGCTTGTTTGCAAGGAGCCAGCGATGAGCAGGCACTTGAGTGTTGTGGAGAGGACGAAGAGGAAGGGGATTTTGTACATGGTCTCGTACATGACCACATAAGCTGTCCAGATGGTACCGAGCACTGCAAGGTAGACCAGTCCAGCAGGCGTAGGCCCCTCAAGCAGAAAAAGCACAAAGAGGAGCAATGTCGCAAAGGAAAAGCCAGTCACGGCGTTGGAGAGCAGCTCTCTCCGCAAGAGCGAGATCATCACCCCATTAGGATGGAAAAGGAGGGTCATGCCCGTGACTCGCCCGAACCATTCCGGTTGGCTCTTGTCACGGTTCTTGTACCGCACTTCTGGGAAACCATCCTCCGGCTCCTTCAGCCCCAAAAAGCTGCAGAGTGGCGTCCACCCGTCCATCACGTTGTACACCAACCTTCTACTACTAGCATCATCAAGCTCTAATTCCTCATCAGAGCATGGACACCTTCAAACAAACAGGTCTATTTCAATGCCAAGGAGCAAGTGGTTCGCGTCGTAGGCGGACGCCATTCGAGCCTTGACGTAGGAGGTGTGCTCCCGAAAGCGCCGCCTGGCGACATGCTCACTCACCTGCCCCTCACCTTGGTCCACTGGCTGCTTTTAATCGCGTAACGAGCAAATGCGAATTGCTTGCTGATTGTACGAGATGGCATGCTCATGGAAGCTTCGCATCGGGAAAGCATGACGCATAGTCTGCCACATTTTTCTCTGAGTCACTGTAGCCAAGCTTTGCGGCCCAGTAGAATCGCAAGAATGAGCAGAACTTGCCATAAGATGGTGCGAAGATGCGCTGCAGCCAGTGTCTCACCGGGCTGTTGTTGAGGGGAACTCCAGGTACATCACGCGCCAAGGCCTCTTTGGCCTTCGAAGTGGACAGCCACCATTGGTCCTCTCTAGACATATTTTCCTACGGCATGGCGGTGCCCGGACACTACAAAGCGAAAAGACTCCCTGTTCTATGATAGCAATGTAGAGTTGAAACTTGTGTGTATGTAGGTATGCATGTATGTTAGTATCACTGTACATGTGTATATATACATATATATATGTATGTGCATGAACACATACACATATACATGCATCCATGTCATTCCACTGAGAGTCCGGAGAACAGGCATGATCTAGCAGATGGATAGATAAATAGAGATGTGCTGTACTGCTCGTCAGTGTGCTTGGCACGGATGTGTACCACAACATGTGGTTACGGCTACGGCTGTGGAACCTCTTCAGCAAGATACTCTAAACTCGGAGGGATGAGGCACGACATAATGCTTCGTTGTATGAATGTCTGACCTTGGGCGAACATCACAAGTTCAATGGGGCGCAACAAAGTTATGCTCGTCGTGCGTCGTAGCTCGCCGCAAGCCACTCTCTGAGGGTTCAGGGCTGACAGCGGTTTAAGGTTTTAGGTTAAGGGTCACATTAGCTTCGGAGGTCTAGGGTTTAGGCTCTCACAACTCGGACACAGCCAGACGAGGTTCTAAGGTTTCGGCGCTCACAAGGTTTAAGGTTCAGGGTGGCAGCCTTCAGGGATACAGATCTGCTCGGGTTTGGAACTCGAACGGCGGTACTACAGGGGCCGGGGGCCCAAGGTGAGCTGGAGAGTGGAACAAAGTTTTGGCGCGTGCTCTAACATTTGTGGGGAGCTGTATTATAATGTAGCTCGCCTTCGCCCTAGACCTTAAACCTCCTCACCCGTACTCCTCCTCCAGATCCGTCAAGATGACCTTGGCCTTCGGGAAAGCCTGGACAAGCTCCTCCGGCAAGTAATTGCAGGCAGGGTAGACCATCGGACGTGAGGACAGGGTATCTCGCAAGAGTTCCATTCATTTCGGATTCTATGGGAGGCGACTCCAAACTCGAAAAACAACTCACGAAACCCTGCAGACGGCGAGGTAGAAGCTGTTGGTCTTGTGCGCAGCTTCAGCTTGCAAGAAGTAAAGGCATGCCAGCATGCCAAAAGCTCCGCCTGCAAAGTGCCTCGAACAAACCCAGAAACCCAGACCTGCTGCCGGGGGTCCTCCCAAAAGCAGGCCGCAGGCAAGCCCATGATGACCTCGTAGTGGCCCAAAGTCCTCGAACACAGCAGCTTACATCGCCGCATGTCATCAGAGCTTCACATGGACAGATCCGTCCTCTGGATCCGCGCGTTGACCTTGGAGCGCTCCGCGCCGCCCTTCACCAGCATGTCCCACAAGGGGTAGGTGGAGACGATCCTTGCTCAAGAAGGCTAGTGTTCGTCCACAATACCCTTGGAAGCGAATGGTCAAACCAGTAGATACAAACAAAGTCAAGTCTTGCCAATGCAAACGATTAAGAGCTAGCTGTTGGAGCTTGCACATCCTTTATTGGTCGTAACCTGAAGACCCAACAGCTCGGTGGTGAGAACCAAGCCGCTGATCCTGGTCAAAGAAGTGCTCATAGCCTCAACGAAGCTCAATCTAGTATTGACTCCGAGTGCTTGCTCTTTCGAAGCTTCCCGGAGAAGCATTGCGCATCTGCACCCACAAGCTGTCCAAGAGCGTGCCAGTACAGCCAGCCTCTTGGTTGCTATGTGTCATTACTACTGTGTTGACAATTACAATGAAGACTGCAGGCAGCCTGATCATCACCACCGTCGTACTAGAAAACAAGAACACTGACAAGGGCCATGAGGCCGTGCCTGCAACCCCAGGCGGCAGACCTATTCAGAGCCGGAGACTAGATCAACCAACGTCGAGGTCTGTTTTTTGCAAACCCATATCTCTAAACCCTTCATAAACCTAAACGCCCTTGATCTTTGCTCCAGGCCACCTAGCTTGTGCAGGGCTTCCCGCAGAGACTGAAGGCCAGTTTTCACCAGCCCCACGCAAATGATCTTGGGACCCTGCAGATGGCATCCACATGAGGTCGATAGTAAATAGTAACAATAGCGTTGGATAACTGTTACAAGTACAGTGTTTGACGCTCAAGCCAGGCAAGCTCTGCGGACAAGTCAACTCAAGAAGGCAATACCCCCAGAAGTGCCGACTCGCACAGCGAGCTCTGCTGTCAAGTGCAGCTTCAGACACGACAGCAACAAGTACTCACCTAGTAGGGCTTCAGAACTAGAGTTATGTGCGGCGGATGCTGCTCACAAGCAGGGTCGAGGAAATAGCGAAGGCAAAAGAACATGTCGCTGACAGGTATGTGGGCTGGGATTGTACGGGGCAATCGGAGACATAGCGAACGCACCGGAACCTGTCACTAAGGGCCGAATGCGCACCAATGGCAGTACCAAAACCACTGCTACCACTACTACGACTACGACGACGAGGACGACGACGGTCAAGGCGACGACGACTACTACAGTACCACCCGACAGCTCTTGCATTGGCCAATGCTACGCTTAACCGTAACTCCTACTAAACCCATACACACCATTGGAAACCCTGAAGTCCCAATAAGCTTCGAGTCTCCAAGCACGAGCCTCCAGGGAGTTTCCTTTTGCTGTCCCCGCCCGGAATTCCGGATCGAGTGCATACAGGCTAGTCTGCCTGAACACCTTCGGGTTTCGCGATTGTGCTGAAGTCTAGGGAGATTGCTTGGTACCCAGGGCTCAAAGTGTGGATTCGTGCTTTGGGCTTCTGGGGGACCTTTGATTTAAGGCTGAGTACCCGGCAGAGTCGAGCTAGCAGCTTCAGGACTTCGTCGTTTTGCAGGGCGGGACCCGCCGTCAGCCGGAACCATAAACAGTCAGCAGGACATGACTCCGACATGACCCCAACATGGAAAATATGTACTGTACATATCACGGATTAACAGTCAAACTCACCAAACCGAGAAGAATGAGCATCTGGGGAAAGAATATGTCGGAGTGTTTCAGGTCGGAAATATTTCGTCGGGAACGTGCTGGGATTCTGAGTGGCCTGGTGGCAGGAAGCCAATAACACAGCCCTGTAAGATCCTACGAAAGCCTCAAAAACCCTGTAAGCCGTTCAATGGTGGACCGTTAAAGTTTGCAAATCTGCGCCTGGTCTGTGATTGAGTCCGTCGGCGATGCCATCCCCCGGACGGGCACAAGTGGTGGTCGACTGCATCAGTGGAGAGCTTTTTCGCCAGCAAGTCTTTTGTGCAGGCCCCCGTTACGAAATACTTCAGCAGACACACAAGAACCCTTCACGGAGAAACTGTGACATCCTGCTTGGGCGAAGGTGAGTACAGGAAATCGCCAAACAAGTGCAACCCAGGAACCTGGAGCTAAAGGCTGCACAGGATCAAAACATTCCGTGGACCCAACTGCACAAGAATTTCTCGTTGGCTGGCGCACACATAAGGAGCCACAGATGCTCACATGTATGCGCTCAAGCACAAACAGGTCATCGTTTTTGCATGCCCAGCCTCCTCAGATATGGGTGCGGATATCACATCATGCAGCCAACGGCGTTGAAGCAGGCTTGTTATCTGTGGTGAAATTTGGGGTGTTTGCTCTGGCATACGCTAGGTGAGGTCGGGTGGGCTTGGCATGCTCAGCCACAGTGTTGTCGTAGGTCAACTGATGTAAGCTTCGGTTAAGATTCAGCGTGCAGCATATTCATGCACAATAGCTTAAGCCGATAGACGCCTTGTGGACTTGACCGACCGAAGCATGCAATGCTAAAGCTGTGCTGCAAGGGCAAGTGCCAAGCGCCGGAAAAGTCTGAATAGTCGAGCTGACAACTAACACTAGATCTGCCCGAGATGAGATGTGGAGTGCAAGAGTTCACACATAGATCTGCACTGGGAGTCGGGACATAATATAGGGGCCTTAATAATTTCTGAGGTGCCTGTATTCGTCGGACACTCTTTTTCCAAAGTGCCCTTCAGGCCCCTGGGTTGAGCCGCAGCTAGGCCCTGCGCAGGAAGCCGTTCCTGGGCCGGAGCAGATACTCGTACCAGTCATATTTGATGACACTAGCAGTGATACGAGTGTAAAAGTGGTGAGAATAACAGTAACAATAATAAGAGTAATAGCAACCGTAGTAGTATAAAGTATAAACCAAAACAATGGAGTCATAGCACTTAGAACCACCCAGCGTGATGCATACGACCAGAATCGGGCTGGGTATAAACCCTAAACAAACCCTAAGGCCGACAGTCCTAACAACTTCGGAAATGTTGAACCTCAGCGGCTTGAAGTCGTGATCAACGTCGCCTTTGGCAGCGCCGCATCTCAAAGCTTCTGCGATGGTCTTCGCGTGCTTGTACTTCCTGAGGCAAACATGAAAATCCGTGATTTGTATCATCCTCATCAGATGTGATACCAGGAAAACCCTGAACTCTCTCTCACTCACTCTCTCTCTCTCTCTGCCTTTTCAGCATGGGCTTGGATTGGGTGCCAGCGAACCCTCGTCACCAGCACGGCCTTCGCCTTGAACGAAGGATGAAACCCAAAAACGTTAAACTAGCCAAATCCCCCCAAAACCTCGCAGCGAGCACACAAGGCGTCCCGTCCAAAGCATTCCAAGACCAAAAAACAAAGGAACAACCTTCAAATTCACAAGCCCTTGAGCTTGCACGGGCGTTGAGGCGACTAAGTGTCTCGTAGCGGGCGTGTGCAGACGTGCCAGGCCTGTCCACAGCTGCAGCAGCAGGGCTCGCTGAATCAATGGGCTTGATATGAGGGTTTATTAACGGTTTAGGGTTTGGGGGGGTTATTTGGGCTTGGGGTGGAGTGAGGGTACATGATACTTTTATTCGCACAAAACGGCTCTAACAGGGTGTAGGGCTTAGGGTTTCAACTGTGGGAGACCTATTCTTCCTCAACATATCCCACAGGACTCACTGAATGAAGAATCACACCGTTCTAAAACATTGTAATATGAATAAGTGCCTTCAAAATCAGAGGGTCTCAGGACGCATAATATATTTACACATATACATGGACTTCCGGAGAGATTCTGCAACATTTCATCGGACCTTTCTCCTAAGCACCCATTCCCGAATATGATGCCCCTATGGGTGCCGTACACAATTTTCCCCTCCTACCGTGCCAGGACAAAGCCCGCATTGCGGCGTAACTCCGAAGCACAGGGTACAGGGTTTAGGGCATCCTGCAACACTGTTTGTGACCGATTAGAAGCCGTAACAAGCTTGTCCGGCAGCTATATGGGTACCCAAAGGCTAAAGAACCCAGAGCCCTGTTCAACTTCCTACCATGCATAACTACCGAGTCAAACACTGGAATACAGTTTGGGGCTACGTTTTGGGATTATATCAAGAAACCCTACGGAATAAGATTGGTCATCCTTCAGGCTTCGATCTTCGTCCTGACCCCCCTCGTGCCAGGCCTCTTCGGGTTCTCTGCCTGCAGCTGTGCTTTGTAACTTCCACTACCCGGAGACAAGGCACCACATCCCTGCCAAGAGTGGTCCGGTTTAGGGCCCACCGTGAAACTCTGACACTAGCCCAAAACGCCAAAATCGCAATAGGCCCCCCACGTACTTGATCGGCTCGTCCTGCCCCGGAAGACTGCTGTTCTTGCCAAGAAGATCCTGAGGCCGACTGAATCAAAGTGTATGCCTCGGGAGGTTTAGGATTTACTTCCCTCGAGGGCCTAGGTTTGCCGGGCATGGGCAATGCTACTGTGTCTGTATTTATGTACATACCGATGTAAAGGTACAAGCTAACATATATAAATAAAAAAAATGTGTGTGTGTGTGTATGTGTGTGTACATAAATAGGTATATATATATATATATATATATATACACATACATATACATATACACATACGTACGTCTGTGTGTGTGTGTCCGCGTGTGCTATGATATACGAGTACAGCAAGCCCGATTCTACAGCTTCGCCAAGGCTCCACGAGTTTTGTGGCATCCTCTTCCTGCTTCATCTTTGGCCCTCCCGAGGCTCCAGCTTTCCTTAGTCGTCCAGTCTCCTCTTGGGAGCTTTTTTTGTGCGGGCTTGAGGATTCTTGGGGGCTTACGCAAAGGGTTTCGAGTTTCTAGGGATTCTGGGATTAAGCAGCACTGGTTTTTGAGCACCGAAGGGTTAATCCTTTGGGGTTACGTGAGGATTCTAGTCTAGCTCCCCCCTCACAAAAAATTTGCAAAGGTCACTTGGTCTAAGTTTCGGAGGGCCGGGAGCTGGCTTTGAACTGCCGGCAGCTGGTGGCCCTTTGGCCTTGGCTGGGTTGGGGGCTGGTGGCGGCTTTGCGTTGGCTTTTGCTGGCGCTGCCTCTGCCGGCTTCGACTTCGCAGCTGGGGCAGTTTTTGCCGCCACCTTCGTGGCAGGAGCTGGTTTTGGGGCCGCAGGCTCTGCGACTGCTGGTCGCACAGCAGGCGGGTCCTGGAACGGAAAGCAAGCACACTGCCCCCTTTTTGCAAGATGACTTGTGCAGGCCTTCGTGTGTGCCGCCACGGGTTCTCCTCCGACCTGCGAACGTCGGCTCAGGACAACTCCGCAACAAGCAGTCTTAGACAGAGACGGCCTAGAATAGATCTCAATCGGGTCACTTCCCTGTACGACTACACAACAGCACGTCACACGAGCCCAACTCTGTGTGAAGGCTTCGAGGCTCTTGCTCGCTCTCGCCCGAATGGGTGCAACAGTGTTTCGATACTCGTAGCCTCGGCTGAGCTTCAGAATCGCGCTTTGCTGTACCCGTATATCATAACACACACGCACACATATATATATATATATATATACAAACATCTACATCTACTGAATGGAAGAGACGTTGTCAGGTTGAAGCAGCCTGTGGTGGATGTCGACAGAAAACAAGCACGACAGAAAACAAGCAAGCAAGGGTCGCAATCCCGCATCCGCACTCAAAAGACATAGCCTTGGAGTGATGGAACGCCGAAACTACGTAATAACAAACAAGATAACAGGATACAACATCACACATTTCAGGCATATGATACTATTGAACATAAAAAACATTACATGGCTTCCCGCCTCTGCCATCTTCCTCCTCTTCCGACCGAGCGTCTGCGCATCTTGCAGGGCTGGAGGCTTCGGCAAAAGTCTCGACATCTTCGTGGTTGGAGCAAGAGATTGCTTGGGATGTAAAGATGCCACATTGGGATCCTGCCCTCTGTGATTTGTTCATGGATTCTAGTGAACTTTACAATGCCCTTCCGAAATTGCCAAGACAAGTTCATGGTCAGTCTGTAGACCTCGCCTGAACAGAAACGCTATGCTATGCGGCTTATATATGCCGTAAGCCCCTAAACTCAAACCCACTACCCCCACGTCTGCGGAGGGATTCAGCATCTGATGGCCTGGTGGTGAGGCAGCCCCTTCATCGTCGGCGGGCACGGCCAGCCTTTGTGGCAACTTCTGCTTCATCGACGCAAGAAGCGCTGAGACCCGCTGGTTTAGCGTTCATGTTTTGAAGGGGTTAGGGATTCAGGGGCTAGAGGTTAAGGGCTCAAGGGTTCAGGGCTAGGGCCTCAGCGCCTACGAAACACTACAGGTGTAGCCGAGTCGCAGAGTGACTGCCTCCTCCCATCCCAGCTGGCTGGGCCTTGAACAGTTATGAGATACATGGGAGTTTCACAACATCTGCGGTCCCGGTAGGGGCTCCCGTTCCTTACATGAAGGGTCCGGCCATTCAGGATTTCGACTGGTGCACTTGTTTCTGGATTTTACTCAGCAACTACCACAACCAGATTCACTGATGTGCAAAGGAGCTGCGTCAGGTCCAGCTTGACGGGCAGTTCAGTCACGGAGTCGAAGAATTCGACCATCTGGCAGAGCTGCTTTGTAGCATATGTCGCATTATACAAGTGGTGCATTAGACTTCTCCAACCCTACGAGTTACAGACTACAGGCCCTACTAGAGGCACTCGTGCACCCAGCAGCCTTCTCCGGCACTCCATTCGCCTGCGATGTGGCACGGGAAGGATGCATGGATCGCTCAACCCGGCCAACAAAAAGACACTTCTCGGGATATGGTCGGGAAAAGCAGCAAAACCAGGACGACAAAAAGTGATTGGCGATGCTGCAGGCGTTGCAGCTGTTTGGCTACGGCGGTAGTGGAGTCCTGACATGTGCCACAGGTGTTCTCTGTAGGAAGATCATGGAACTCTGAAGCTCCCAACCCTGAGCCTTAACGGCTCCAAAAAGCCCTGCCTACCCTGCAGCAGAAAAATCCTGAAGCCCCAAGAAGCCCTGAAAAACCCAGAAGACTGCAACGTAGTAGAAGGGGGCTTGATAATTAAACTAGTCTCTTGGGCTCCTTTATAATATAGTTATAGTAAGGAACCCAGCGAAATCAGGTAATTCTTTCGACCCCTATATTACAAGAAGCCACGAGGCGCCTCCGCCCACTTCGCCTTCAAAGGTAACGCCGAAGAGTCGATAGAAACCTCGTCTCTCCATCGGAAGCGCCTTTGTCCAGGGGTTCATGTGTACTTGGAGGTTCATGGGTAGTTATAAGTTAAAAGTAGGTTTCGGCCCTCACACTCGGACGGACCGGGCAAGGCAGGTGATTCGAGGTCGGAGTTCACTAGTGCCGCGCATCAGGCTCCAACCTCCCTTGCTCTAGGATGCCTCGTAAAGGATCCACGAAAACTTGGGGAAGATTCCTTGCTTGAGCTTGGTCGGGCCATCCAGGCGAGGTCTATCAAGTGTCGTCGGCGTGAAACAGTTTTTTGACACTCACTCTTGGACAAGCCTGGCAAGGTCTGCAGAGATAGTTTAGGTCTGGGCTGCCGGAGCCCATGTAGAAGTGCTTTTCAACAAGGGATCCATGACTCTGTGTTGCCTCCTGCCTTGCTAGGACGAACCAAGAGTAGGGTCTGGAGGTTACCTATACTATTTTGGGGGGCTCCTCATTTTACTTATAGTAAAACGAAACCCTATTCTATTTGTTAAGGTCCCTGGAGTAGAACTTCATGCTCGGACTCTCCAGGCGAACAGTTTCTGCGCACCAAGTCTTAGGGTTTGGGGCTTTGGGGTTAGGGTTAGTAAAGGGTTTTGGGATATCGAGGTTAGGGTTTATGTGACAACTGTTTTTGGGGAAGGTGACAGTAAATGAAAGTGGAATCACATGCACTGTGACAGAACCGGATGAGGGACAGACCGTCCAAACAGCCCCTAAACCCCTCACCCCAAACTGACCACACCCTAAACTCTGAGCTCTAAACCCCAAAATCCCAAAACCTAACAGCCCCGATGACGAGGTCGCTGCTTTCCATTGACGGCGTCCGCCTGGATTGTCACCAGCACATGGCGCATCACCTTGGATTTATGGAGTGCTTTAGGGTGCAGGGCGACAGCCGTACATCCTAAAAGGGCTTGAGGTTTGTTCTGCTAATGCATTGTTCGGAGGACCGGCCCGTTTTGGACCTGATAAAGGCCTCGGGCAAAGGTCTTCGTTAAAAAAACCCTGAAACGTCTGCAAATGGTCTTGAAAGCTTGCTTTCTCTTGGTTAGATCCGAATCCTCAGCCCTTAACCACTGGAGGTGGGTCACTAACCGCACTTTGAATCCGGATGTCCGGGCTTGAGCAAGTTTCGGGGGTTGTGCCATGTTGTGCCTACGGAGCAGCGGACATTCGAGCATGTGACGAGCAAATCTGCGATTGGCATGACAGGGTTGGATGAAAGCCCGAACCACTGCATGCACTGATCAACCTGAAACTAGCCCCGCTCGCCCGCTTCTTCTGATGCACTCGATCGTTCCAGCAAAACCTACAAACCCTCAAAATGAGAAGTCAGCCGAGCCACAGCCACGCGGCAGCTTCTGAAGCTGCTCGTGGAGATCTTTGTCACGTCTGTAGCTCTTGGGGGTCGTGCTGGTGCGGTCATTACAGCATAGACTTCGATATGCTTCTGCCCACATTGGCGTAATCTGGTGGCTTAATTTAAGGATTCGGGTACTCTCCTATGCTCATGTGCGGACGATCGGCTTGACCCGGACAGCCGAAGCGTGACGTGTTACAATTGCGCCAAAAAGCTTCCAGGCCTATGGCCGATAGATCTTAATTTGCAGCCATTGCTGGGACAGCCCTTTCTGCACACTTCAGATCCTTAAAGATCGTCTCAAGTCTAATCTGCTAGGACAACCGTGGTTTTGGCCATAAGGGAGAATGCTCACGATGTTTGACATCTCAGATACCAATGTCCTCACGTAAGCAGCCCCGACCAAAGCCACGAACAGCCAGTGCTTGCGCTGCAAAGGTGTGCCCTTTGCAGGCCTGAAAATGGAGTGGGAGATGCTGCAATGCCAATCTTGTCCATGACTTGGTCGGCGATTCAACAGAGGACTTAGACAATCCTCCTTCGCTTGGAGGATAGATCTCTCTCTTGTGATCAGGATCTGGGATGTGGCTTGTTGCAGGCTTGATCTCCCGATTAGTCTCAAAAGTTCATGCCTTGTGTTCAGGGAGGACGGAACATGCCGTGAAGTCGTGCAAAGCCGTCTCAGGCTCAAGGCAGGCTCAAAGGTGCGATACACTCCGATTCCTCTGGGCCGAGTACATACAATCATAGTTTTAGTAGAGCAGAAACACCCAGCTAACCCCCTACCAGTAGCATGCCAAATGCCTGCAGCCACTAATTGTGGCACCTCGGCTCTGAAACTACGTGTCTCAGGCAACTCATCACTTGTGCCAGCGCTTCCATGCAGCAATTCCGCAATTGATGACGATGGGAAGAAGTGTTGTGACGATCGCGCCCACGACAAACTCGAAAAGGAATGGAACGTAGAACATCCAAAAGAGCTCCACCACGCTAACCCAGTTCTCATTCACCTTGGCCCAAAAAAAAGGTCGAGAGGCTGGGACTGGGAGACTTTTCGTAGAGCCCTTTGGCGGGATGCGTGGAATATAAGACCTCCGCTCTAAGTCACATAACAACGACTCTATGAAAAAAGTCATAATCCAAAAACAACACAACTAAGGCCTGCAGTGTCAGCATTATAAGAACAACAAGAGTACCAACAGTAAGAACGACAATACATATACAGGGGCTCTAAGGTGTCCAAACTGTCCATGTCTTGCAGCGATACCGTAGAGACAATGATCAATGCTGCACTCATATCTCCGCTACAGCGGGCACTTCATGCAGCGGTAGCAATGATCATAATCACAGGAGTGTCCAAAAGCCAGGCCGCTGTCTCCCGCAACACGACGATCTGGCTCGGCGTGTCAAGGGGCTGTGGAATCAGACCAGAGACCTCATCCGACCCGGTTCTTTTGTGAGGTACGGATTTAGGGTTGAGGGTGCCAGAAGCTCCAATTCGAGGGAGTTACTGGGAGCCACCCCTGGATTTAGCAAGGGATTTCTCGGGCTTAGACCAACAGTCAGACTGTGACTCTGGCCGTGATGCTCTCTAAGCTCTTGAGGGCTTTAGGGTTTAGGGCCCGTGCTTCCAAGCGATGAACTTATGCAAGCAGCCGGGAAACGGTGCATGCCTGACACGGCGGAATTGCAGCTGAGACACGATCAGCGAAGCAAAGCACACTTTTGCTAAGTACTGCCTTGGCTGCAGCTCGAAACTCCCGCCTAACACGCCAGGCTCTTTTGGCTTAGACGGCGTAGTATCTCAGACTCGAGACAGCGAAAATACACCGACAGGAAGAAAGAAAGGCGTGTGACGTGGTGGTGCTTCGGGTCGGGCTTTGAAAACCAAGCTGCAGGTGGCAAGGCACCAGGGCTGCAATCACCACGACATAAAGCCTGGACGCGATACGCGCGGTCTCACGCTCTCTCACCCAGGGCCCATGGCCACAAGCATGCCTGTGCAGCATGACATCTAGGCCGCAAACAACTGTGCCCCTCTAACTCTAAGACTTGAAGGAACTTTGGCCGCAAGTCTTCGCTGGATTATGCATGTTTCACCCAAAGGTATGGGACGTACAAGTAAGTGGTGGTCTAGACCACGAGAAGAGAAAGATCACCGTGACGGCACAAGGTGCTCTGCATCTTCAAAGCTTTGTCCCCGACTACGTAGAGGTTTGGGATCCAAGGGATCTGTTGCTTCGAAACGTCGGCCCGAGCTCCAAGCACCCGAAGTTTAACCTGGCAAACATGGAAGCGAAAGAGAAAGATCAAGAGGCTCAATTGGTGCAACCTCTAATGGTCAACCTGAACGCGCTAGGCTGGTGGTAAAGATCAAACCACCGGGTTCAGGTGCCACCAGAGTGTGTCAGACAAAAACTCGGACGAAAACGAGGAACTCCCGATACACACCCTTAACCTCAGTAGTCGGATCTTCGCAACATGAGCTTCTTAGTGTCTTCCTACTGTTGTTGCTCCATTAATACCTGCGAAGTAGTATTGCTATTGCTGTTGCTGTTCTCAATATGATTCTCATTACTCTTTTGATTTACTTGGATAATACTTTGAATCTGTTCACTAATGCTAGGCACCGCAAAGTTATTCAATGATAAGAAGCCTCGCCACTGCTCGGTTGTCAGCATTGCGCACCCAAATGCCGAGGGGCGCTTCGTAAACCATAAAATTACTCACCCAGCCCTCAGCCAAAGAATGCCAAAGAGCAGGGACAGCGAGAGGTTGAGGGCGTAGTAGAGCAAGTTTTTGCCTACCTTGCAAAGTGCATGTCTATTGCAGCGGATCCGCTGATCCGCTTGTGCTGTCTAAACTCCACAGGTTGTCTACGCCGCCTATTTAGACAGCACTCCTCTCTCGCTGCCCCAGTTCCGCTCTCTGCCATTGCAGACTGCGGTTCTAATCGTGAAGTGGGAGATGTTTGCATGCTGGGGCGCTCACAACTCACAACAGGACTACTCACGCAAAGCTGCCTGTCCCCATAGGAAAGCACCGTCCATGCTCCAAAAGCTCTGGCAAGTGTCATCAAAACCTTCACATGGTGCAGGCGCACAGTGCGGAATCGGGAGCTTTGTGCGGCAAGAGTCCACTGAGACTACCAGGCGCTTGCTTTCATGAAGTAGCGCACTATCACTGGCCTTGAATTATCGGCTGTCCTCCCAAGTACATCATGGCATACACGCCCATGGCCACTCCAGCAACCACCAAACGGCGGAGAATGTTCCTTACAGCTTCATGCGACAACTTCTGGACAGCAAAGCTTTCACTTGACACGAGCGATGGTCTTTCCTGCAGCTTTGGGGGAGGCTACCGTACCTGATGCTTCGAGAATGGCACATCCCTTTCTAAGAGGTCTCTGCTGGAGCCAGATTGAAGCAATCGTCACTAAATAGTTGGCTCGAGCTGCCCGGGAAGTCTAAGCTTGAACTGAATCTCGACCTTCCGCCCAAGAACTTCTACTACCTGCACGCCGCATCTTGTTTTCAATGGCTTTCGCTTGTGGGCGGGACAGCTACTCTGCGTGTGGCATGTGTGGCTGCCTTGTGGCAAAACCCCGAAATCACGCGGCCCAGCAACTGGTCGTCTGCAATGAAGGTGAGCACCTTGAAAATTTTGTCGCCGCTGTAGAATCCAATCCAGTAGCACGGGATGAAAATGAGTGCCTCGGTCGGCGGGACTACGATGCAGCGATGAGGCGGCAAACTGCCCAGCACTGCTGAGTCAAGTGAGTTGATCGGGTGGGCTCCGGAGGTGCAGAGCTTATCGGAGTCGCTGTTACACTCCAGTTTTGCAGTTCCGGCTTTGCCGACATGTTGTCAATGCAATCTCGCAGGCAGGCTTGCGTCGAAATCCATCCCCTGTGCCGAAGAGCATGGCCCACCATGCTGCTTGCTGTTGGCGAGCTCGGTTGCACCCACCTTAGATTCCGCAACGACTTCGCAACAGATTTCTTGGTCGATGCAGCAACTCCCGCTTCCCTTGACCTTTGCTACTCGAGGCCTCCTGGATAGTCCAGGAAACGAAGGCTTTAATTCTCTCGGCACGTGCCAGCCACAACCCGTGAACCCCCTATACCCAAGGCTGCCAGGAAAAGGCACCAACCGGCTGTGTAGTGCGCCACAGTTTGGGCCCAAGGCATCGCCTTCGTGCGCAACACTGCTTCCGAAGGACGGCCAAAGCAGAGCCCCATTAGATAGACTAGGGCGACTAGGGTTGCTTTAGGTCTTAAGGGTTCTATACTTCTCTACGGGGTTAGTACACAGGTCTGGCGGTGTGTTGAATTAAAGGTAAATTTGGGACTACGAAGGGCTAAGGGCTACTGCTACTACCACCACCACCACCACGACGACTACTGCTACTGGGACTACTTCTGCAAACGACCCCCTGTTCTGATAATGCACTAGAGCCATCGCTCGATACAAAGCACGGATGCAACGGAGGAGCAGGAAAGTTGAGACATGAATGCAATAATTAAGCAATTAAGCGTCAGCAGTCCTGCAATCTTGTTGCGTTTCGTTTCTGCTTACCAGGTTACCAGGATTACCAGCAAAAGCATCTTTTCGCCCACGAGCCATGCTACCGATGCTGAATCTAGGACAGGGATATCAGGGCGAAGTGCTGCAGAAAAGGTCGTGATCCCGCTCGAAACCCGAAATCTGCATGGTAGACTTGAGCCCTCCTATATCGTGCGACGCAAGCTGCCTGCCAAGGGCAGAAGCACTGCGATGGGCATGTGGCATCAAGGTACGGCTGTGGTGACCCAAGGCCTGCCCAAGCTTGTCGGTGGATTTCTGTATGAGTGCATAAAGAAAGTCCGCCCCTCTCGCGACATCATAGGCATGCATCTTCAAGTCGGAGAATGGGGAGCTCCAAATGCTGCAGGGCATCGCATCTACATCTCGGAGCGCTCTTGTGCACTGCAAGAAGCAGGAACTTCAGCACCCCAACCGTTGGACCCTCGCACCCCGACAAAAGTCCGAAGCTTGTGACAGCTCTCGCCTTCCCGCCACCCGATGTACATGTCGATGAAGGCAGGTGCAATGATCCAGATCTGGGACGCGAGCCTCGTGCATTGTCGCACGACTCCTAAAAGCCCGGACTCTAGACCAAACATCAGTCCTCAGAAGAATCTCAGCCATGCTGGGGTGATACTAGGGTCAGAAGACTCTGCCTACTCTACGCCATTACGCTTACGGTAGGCACTGTGGCTAGTCTACAACCTGCTTCTACTTGTACTTGTGACTATGATTCTGTGATTACCTGTGTTCTGACTGCGAGTTCTGGTTCTATCCGTCTGAACCTCGGCAGTCAGATCTTCGGATCCTCCTCGATGGCCATGAACCCCAGGCCCCCAAGGCCCCAAAGCCCACAGCCGCCAAGCCGCAGCAAGTGCAGCTTCTCGAGGCCGAGGTGGTGCATGGCGCCTGGAAAGCCCCCATCGCCACGGCAGCCATAAGGGTACTGTAAGGGTACTGCTGTTATCAGAGAGATTACAAGGGCACTTCAGGGGTCCCATTTAACAAGGCCGCCGTCCAGTGAACTGCGGAAACTTCGGGGTGACAGTGTCAGGACTTCTTCGAGCTGTCGCTGCCCAGGCACAGAAAGCAGCGCGCATGTACACGAACACGGGAAGGTACCACCTCAATGAACCAACCGCCCATAAGTTGGAAAAAAAACAAGCTCAAGTCTTCGAAACGCGTGCGCAGCGATCAACGACCCTCGAGCAAACCATCAGAAACGCTAAGACCCGGTGCAAATCAGGAAATCAGAATGAATCTAGCACGTGCGTCTCCTTCAATCGCACGCTCACACTCGCACTCACTAACCTTCGCTCTTCATTCCTTCCGCTGGGGTAAGGCTCACTGTCTCTCTTTCTCGCTCTCTCTCCCTCTCCCTCCCTCTGCCCGCATGCATCCCCTCTCGCTCTTGCTTTCTCTTGGCCTTCAGCCGGTTCTGGCTAGACTCGTGCACCTTCCGTCCCCGGCCGGCTTGAACACTCCCATCAACTTCGCAAGGGCCTGCTGCCACTGAGCGACCACTTTCGGGCCCTCCGTTTCATGTCCCGCGCAGGCCCCCACAAAACCGAAGGAGGACTTCTCTCTTTCTTGCCACGTCTCTTCTTTTTTTTGGGGATCAGAGTCCTCCAAAACACCAACTGGGTGTCGATGTCAATCGTCCCCAACATCTGCCCAGCATTATATATAGTTGGGGCTCTATATAAACAATTTAAAGGAACTGGGTCCATAATCCCAAATCGAGACCTAGCAAAGCTCGCTGTCGCCCGCGCTGTGGGCTCTGACACCTGGCGCTCCCCGGTCTTTCGAGGCAACCCTGCGGGAGCAAAAACCTGTCCATCCCGGCCGCATGGTCCAGTTGAAGTCCAAGAGAAGCCACAGGATGAGAAACCTCACAGGTTTAGGGAGTTTGGGGGGGTTCTAATAAGCGTTTCATTAGGGCTTACAAGCTCTGGACGCCAGTTTCCAACTCGGGTCTCCGCTGGGTGGGAGCTGAACATCTTCTCATTAGCAAACCCAACGCAGTCATGCACCGATCGAGTTGAGAGCATGCCTCCCCGCCACAATCTGTGTCCGTGCATCAGCACCAGGGTTGGAGCAATCACGTGCACATCTTCCGACTGGGTTAAAGGGTTTCGGCGCCAGGGCTTTTTGGGCCTCGTACTTTGCAAGGACAACCCCGCATGGCAGGTTCTACTGCGACTTGCAGAAATGGGACGAGCGAGAGCTCTGACGGCAGCCTGTGTTCCATGTCGGCTTTGGGCTCTCCAACAAAGGAGTTTCGGGAAGTGTTTGGTTTTCAAATCCAGGGATTTTCGTATTTACAGATTTCGGTTTACAGATTCTGGAAGCAAGATACCAACCCGCCGATCGTTCGAGCAAGTTCCACAGCAGGGGAAGGGAAGGGGCTTGAAGCTCACCGTGCGGGAACACCGAATAATGCTGGAGCCTTCATAATAGGGTTGGGGTGTCTATTGGTGCTTCGCTAATCAATTTCTGCAAGCCCAAGTGGCAGAGGCTCGCGGTAAGTGAGGCCGTACGGGCGCATGGCACGGGTGTCGTCGAAGCCGCCTCGGGCAAGGCCCTCCTCTCTTCGGCCTTTCCTACGCCACGAGAGAAAGACCGACCTTTGGGCTGGGGGACAGCTCTGCTTTCATCGTATTTCGCTGGGGGACGATGACTTTCAAGAGATGAGGCCTTTCTTCGTGAGGCGAAGGCCAGGTTTGGAAAAGGCAGGGTACTTTCAATTTCCTGTCTCAGGGCAGGCTTGTCAAGATCAGCCTTTCAATGATCTGAGCTTCTTGCAAGCTCGATGGTGCGAAGCATACAGGAGGGCATGGCACTCAAGATCCCTTCGGCTAAGCGCGCAGCTCAGGAAAGCCAAGGAAGACCATCCTCCACTTCGAACCACCTCCACGCAAAGACTGGTGCTTCGAGTGCTTAGGGCCTGGGCTTAGGCATAAAACCGCTGCCTTTTTTACAGTGTTGTGCCGACTGCACTTGCACGGGTTATCTAAGCCCGAGTCCGCGAATATTCTGTGGAAAGCAAGTTGGGAGCTCCCACCTCTACGCACCCCCCACGCATGGTTGCGCCTGCAGCAACAGCAACTCCCTGGGACCCCACTGGTGTGAGGCAAGGGGTTCGAACTCGCCGTCGATCATCTCGGAAGGGTTCATCGGGTTCCTGAGGCCAGAAGCTTGTTCTGATTCGATGCAGATCTTGCAATGGCTTCTTGTGGGATGGGACTGAGAGTCTGTTGCGAAGGGGGACTGGGAAGAGCGAGCCCAGTCGAGATTCAGCAGGTGCAGATGTCAGAAGTCGCATGAGCGCAGGAGCGGATGCTTCGACGCAATCTGACAGTGTGAGCTCAGACGACCTGTCCTGGGTCACCTGGAATTCTATCGGGAGTGCAGGCCTGTGTCTGTGTGTTGTTTCAGCCTCCGGCTGTCACGCTCCCCCGGCTCCCAGAGGATCCGAACCACCCGGACAGACGCCGTCAAGCAACAGTGGAATGGCATGTGAGTGGAGGACGATGCCAATGAGAATCGCGCGCACGTTGTCCAAGACCTGCAGCTAAAAAATTTGAGAGCTCCCGTCGTGCAGCACGAGCTTACTGGAGGATTGCAACGAATGAAAGTGTCACGGGGCACAAAATTCCCGAACGGAAGGGCTAGCGGCCAGCAGAAACCTGCGCACCTGTTGAGTTCAAAGCGCTCCACCCAGGCACATCAGAAAACTCCTCACCGCTTACATGTCCCTCCTTGTTGAAACAATCACAGCCCTCCTTAGAACCACTCCTCCCCTCCCTCCAGCAACCCAAAATGCAAGGAACCGCGAGTGTCATTCCGATGGTGCCTTGTCTTCCGATGCAGCCTTGCGCGTGAACTTGCGCATCTGACCCAAGCTGTCCTCCACAGAGACGAGCTCCGAACGGTCTGATGTTTCAGGTTGGCACCATTCCAGCTCGGTGCGAGCTGTGGATGTTCGGATTGCAGGTGCAATTGGTGCTGTAGGATGTCGCCATCTGAAAAGTACTGGCATGCACATCGGTCTCGAGGCTTCGCATCAAATGTCGGCTGTCGGCTCCGTAGCTAGAATAAGGCAGCCCAAGACAAAATCGCGTGTAACATCAAACCGCTCGGCGTCCAGCTCCATCACGACCTCTGCGCCATCTGTGCGCGCCTGTCAGCGGTGCGGGGCTCAACCAAAATTTTTCGGCCGGTGCGGAGCCTAAAAGCTGACCCCAGATTTTTGCTCTCGAGGACGAGGCCAGAAATCGATTTTTCATGTAGCTCGCAGTGGGATGTGAAAGTTTGTGGTATCTCCTTCGTGCCTGGCCCGATGCACTTTGGGATCTAACTAACCCTCTTTTTGAGGAAAGCCTGAATCCAAAAGCAGCACGCTGCCTCCGGCTTTGGCAATGCTTTCTTGTTCACCTTGCCGGTGGGTAGCCGCGGAACCTGGAGCAGTCGCTGCCAGGGTAGCTTCGCGGTGCGTTCAGGCTTTGTACAGCCTGGAGTATGCATGGTAGAAAGACCGACAAGGCTCGGGCACACGGCCCTGCTGATTATGTACATGTTTGCACGTGCACGGAAACAAGGAGTGGGCAGCAAGGTACGGACACACAGACAACAAACACGCACACATTTACCTCTACCAGGAGTATGGCCATAAACGAGCCTGCTAAACATTCAGGCCCTTCTCTAACATCCGAATGCTCGTCCCAATGAGTGCCGGTGGCCTCTTCGAGGCCTTGGAAAATGTGCGGCACCATATAGGACACCAAGTGCTCCTTGCAAGGCCCGAGGTCTACAAGTGGAAGCCTTGATCGATGTGCAGATGATGCGTCACAAACCCTGAACTTTGGCACTTTTGTGCAGCTGGGCCCTAGGCCCTACACTCAACCATACTCAGTGCGAAACTCCACTATCTTTCACGATGCATCTGCCCAGGTCTCCTTGCAGAAGTCGCGCAGGTTGGCCGGGACGGCCGGATGAATGTAGGCGACCAGCTTGTCCTCGCGTCAACGGCACAGGGGACTGGCGGGTGGGAACGAGGTCCTCGCACTTTCAGAAGACTTTCAGGTAATTACACACCGAGGAGCGAACACGGGAAGAATTCAAAGAGAGGCCCGACTTTAACTTGCTTGTGAGAATATGCACGGCCCTTACAGTCCGTGGGAACCCGTTGCTAACACCCCGCCATGCAAGCTAAGTTGAGCATGGCCTGGCACAGCCCTCACAGTCCGTGGGAACCCGTTGCTAACACCCCGCCATGTAAGCAAAGTTGAGCATGGCCTGGCAGTTCAACTGCCTTAACATAACGGCTTTAACAAGTAGAATATGTCAAGATAAGGTCTTGGCAACTATTGGACTGCAATTGTTATGATATTACACTCCCGAGAAACCTCCTGGCTCCCGCGCTCCTCGTGCACGGTTACCACAGCGAACTTGACGGCTGGGTGGGCGGCAAGAGTGCCTTCTACCTGTCGATGTTGCGTTCGTTTGCTCGTCGGAATGCTTCAGCAGCCGTTTCGCACAAAAGCCCAACAATCATCATCACCAACACCAGACATGCAAAGCAAACTCTCTAGCATTCTGTTTCAACATGTCATTCTGAATTCTAGCCTTTGACAGATCTTAACTACCGCTTGAATGCCGGAACAGACGCCGCAATAGTACAAGACTGCACTCGCAGCCAGGAGGAAGCGACCGGGTGCCTCCCCAAGCTCAATCCGGGCACCACGGACCTGAAACACGAGCAGATGAGGCAAGGGGCTGTGGCTAGGATGACTAATGGTGGTGGCTATGTATGACTGTGACGATACAGCTGCTGATGATGGTTGGTCGAGGCCACCCGTGCCATCCACATTGTACTCTTGCTAAAGCCTAAGTCAACCCTCAGCGAAGACAGCTCCCCTATGTGCTTCATCCGTGCACTAATAGCCCTGTTGCGAGGGCCACCTTGACAAGCAACCCGAAAATGTGCTACATACGTACCAGAATCCACTTGTCTCTTTGTCGTGAACCTAAATAACCCAAGGCACCTCCCTAAGATCAACCCTTTTCCCTCCGCAGCCGGAGTCAGCAAAGAACACGGGGTCTTTCCGGCCTTTACCATGGAGTCTCTTCGACCGACTAACTTCAGCTTGCCGGTGTTCGTCCAGTGTGCCAGATCCTGGAAAGGGTGTCTAGGGTCTAGAGTTTAACGTTCAAGGGTTAAGGGTTTAAAGGGTTTACAGGTTTCGACTCACACACTCGTGGCTTCAGGCAATAGGTCGGCTGAGATTGAAGGCTTAGGGGTTTAGGGTACTCCGACACGGACCCCTAACAGGAGCCTAGCGTTGCGACCCCCTCCCACGAAGTACCTCTAATATCAAGACTGTGCGTACCTCGCTCGATTTCTACAGCGGTCGACATTCCACAGCCTGACAAGACGACCGAACTGAGGCCGGAGGTCCCCAGTGCGTACGGCCCGTCGGCCGTCCAAAGCTTGGCAAGCAGGGAGGAAGGTTTCGGCCGTCTTCTCTGGCAGATTCCTTAGCTTCGCTTTGCGACGGTTTGCCATCAGGTCTTGGACTCTCGTCCCTTCGGACAAATAGCCCGCAGGCCCTATCCCCCGTATGTATATGTGTATATATAAACACATATGCATATACGTATACGTAGACATGTACATATACATTCACATATACATATACATAACACACATCTACATCTACATCTACAAATCCATATACAAATATGAGCATACATGAATGTACACACATATAAATAGACAAATAATGTGTATATATATATATATACATATATATATATATATATATATATATATATATATATATATATATATTTTAGAGATATGCATATATTTACATATGTACGTATTTCATGTTTCTGTATGTGAATAGTGTCCGCACACGTCATGTGCACACGCATGTATACACTTGTTTGCCTATACTACTTGATAGTTCTACATTATTTGATTACTTAGTGCATACCTATATGCACATATAAAAGTCTGACGATGTATATTCATGTACAGACATGCAATTTTGAATGACTACGGCAATTGATCAGTCCGGCCTTCTAAAAGGCAGAAATTTGAGAACACTGGCAAGGACCCTGATCTTACAGCAACTGCAAGCGCCTGGCAGGAAACCTGGTTTACGAGTGAGGAGCAAGCCCCGATCTCAAAGGTAAGGAGAAAACACCTCCTTGGCGAGCTCGTCTCGTGTAACACTAAGGCCGGTAACATCACCTCTGACGACCCCCAGGCCGAATTGCAAGACCATCACGCTTTTTGCCCAAACTACAGTCGGCTACCTGCCCCCAATCGTGATCAAACGTGTGAACAACCCCCATACGTTTCAGCCCGGAGGTCAGGTAGCCAGAGGCCAGACCAGGCCCTGCCACAGTGATCTCGCCGATGGCGCCGACGCCCACACGCATGAGGCCCTGATCCTGAGCTTTCTCCCTGTATCCCATTACTGGTAAGGGCTCAGGGCTCCCTATCCCCGTGCGGCTTCAAAAAGCCCACAGCTCTTCGGAGGTTCCAGCTCCTGCAGCCCTCGGCAACGTCCTGTCCTGCTAATATCCACACTGACGAAGCTCAAAGCAGCTCAAGCATGCTTTGCCAACGCTGGCAAAACCGGAGCAAGGAATTTTGCCTACAAACTATATCAACTCCCAAACTCATGCACCTTCCCTGCAGGGCCTTCTTGAAATACCAGGACCCTTGCCACTTAAGTAACGGTTCCTGGCCTTCTGAAACTCCCAAATAGGTCCTTAGAAGGTTGCAGTGTAGTTCCCCGATCATAGTTTTCGCAAGTGGGCCTTTTATGATCTTTCCGATAAGGCCTGCCCAGGTGCAAGGATGGCCATCGTCTGTGATGCGTGTGGATGCCTGTTCCGAGTGTAAGGGGGTGACAGCTCGAAGACTTTTCAGAGTACAGTAAAGCATGGTTTTGCACACGGTAACATGCGAGATCATCCTGAAGCTTTTCGGATGCAGGATCTTTGTTTGTGTCAGCATTGACTCACCGACCCTTGGTGGTCTGTTTGGGTGCTTAAACACAAGAAGGGACAGGGTGGTCCTTGGCGGCCGATTCTGCAGTTCTTCAAGCCAGTTTTCGAACACCAAATATCCCAGCTACGAAGACTCTCTGCTACCACTCCCCGCGCCTTAGCTGCGACACAGTCGAACCAAGGTTCCAGACTTTGGGTTGTGGCGGACTTCAGACGTCACAAGAAGGGCTGTACAGACAAGGCCCGACCTCGGGTGCTTCTGTGCTGTTTTCGCCACTGGCGAGCAAGCCCGTCACCTTATGCACTTCGGCTCATGGAAGGGCTTGGGCTATCAAATCTCCATCAAGAACCTCGCGCAACTTGACCCTTGATTTTTGAAGATTGAGAGGAAGGTCAGGAGTCGATATGGCGTATTGGGAGCTCAGGATCAGAAAAATTCAACTTTCGGGTACAAATCACCAGGTTTCTAGCAAAGACGCGCTGTGATCTTCTTCGACAACAAAGTCTCGGCATCTAGGGCTGTTTCATATTCCAAGCGAGTACGACCTGGAGGAGCTCTGCTTGTTGCATCGCATTGCAGTGTCAGTCGAGACCTGCCATATTCAAGAGGAAGCTGCAGGAACCGACAGCCCATGCAGGCGAGGCGTCGGGGTCTAATATAGGGGCCTGTGAACTTAGAATTCGGTTTTTCGGCCCATTACACTACAATGAAAAGACGGAACCCCCACAATAGCACAGGTAAGTGTCTAGGCCACTATGTTAGGGTGACAAGCACAGGCGAACTGAGGAGCATCTGCAGCCGACAATCGATTAATGTCCGAGCGAGGACACGGAACGAGCAGACACAACAAAACGATAGTCATACCACAATTCATACTATTGTATTTGAATGTCACTTGGGCAATCTCGGCTAGCCTCGTCTCGAAAGCCGAGTGAGCAGATCAACAAGCAGTATAGTAGAACAGTAGTCTTACAATTTGGCATTCTTAGTCGTACAACACTTTCTTAAGAATATGGTGTTTTAACATATATGTATACATGTATACATGTATATACATGTGTATACATATATATATATATATATATATATAGTATATAACATGACTCTAGTATAGTCCCTTGAATTGCGGCCGTGCTGCGGTTGCCACCAAAGATTTGAAGGTGAGGCCTGGTTCGAGCTCGACCTCGTCAGCTCAGCTTCCCTAGAAATGTTCATTACAAGCGGGGGTGCAAGGTTTAGGTTTGAGTAGGGTGGCATTTATGTGAAACTCTTGGGTTGAGGTGAACAAGCCTTCGAAAGTTCCCAGTTGGAGCTTGCAGCCCTGCTTCGGCCGAGGCTACAAAGGAATCTCGCAAGCCCGGTGCCTCCTCTTGAATCGGGAGCGCATACCTAAAAACTCGTTCTGGTGGAGAGGCTCTTAGCTTGCGCTTGCCCCCAAAACCCTGAACTCCGTAACTTCCCCCGAAGGAGCCTCCACCATTCGGAGCGCACCGCTCAGGCCACGGTAGCCGAGAGCGACCTAAGCGATTGCAACAGCTCTCCCCCATAAAGTCGCAGTCCTACAGGTCCTGTTGCGGCTCTTAGGGACGAGGTGCCATAGATTCCGCTGTGCACGAGCGGATCTTGCACTGAAAGGAAGCTCTGCATGGCAACACTGAAACAGGAGACCAAGCTCTGCTGACAACTTCAATTATTCCCCGCTGCACAGTGCCAGGCCTACTCCGACGGCCACGCATATACAGCCGCTCACAATGCAAGTGTGGCATGTGTGACGGCAACTTTCTACATCTCGTTCCAGTTGTAAAGACCTATACCATGCTACCTACTAGCGGCCTAAACCCTCTCCCTACACCCCAAAAGTTGTACCAAGTAGTGTCTGGTAGACTGTAAAGCCAGCAGTGTTCAAGGCCGCGGCCGCGTTGTAACGGCGCCGCTGCAGCATCGTCAGCAGGGCAGTCAAAGTTGCCACCTCCAGGCTCTCCGGACCTTAGAAGATGCCATTCATTCGTGCGCAAGTGTGTGTGTGTGTGTGTGTGTATACATATACCTACCTGCATAAATACCTGTACATATACATAAACATGTCTCAGGAGGGCTGGCTCGAACCGGTGTAAGTTGCAGCAGTTTGCACGATAATGCACGATATACCAAGCCGCAAGAGAATAGGCTTACGGTATCACTTGCTTCGTGCGTGTCTGACCAACTGTTCTTCGTGCTTCCAAAAGCAGCCAGAACCGCCGAAACACTTCTGCAATGGAACGGAAGACGTGCGAAACCAAGCCACGGCTGTCGAGCCTAGTCCATCGGCCACTGGGAAGCAACCCTTCGAACCCTGAGGTGGGACGTGGTGAGAGAAAAGTAGAGCACGGCACCCATGGCTGCTTCCATCGCAGCACGCTCCACCACCACACCTGCAGCACAGCGAAACGTGCTTGGTAGATATGTGACAGCATCCGCTACTATTGGCTGTAGATCGGCTTCTGTTCTGGTTTGTAGAGCTCTGGCAACAGGAATCAACATTCACATCCACATCAAAGATTGGCCGGTGTCACGGCGATTTATCGCGGGTGCATTCAGCGAAGCTGCCGCCCCGACAGCCGGATTCAGACCGTTTAGAGTGGTGTCTAGGGTCTTGGGAACAAGCCGACATGCTGTGCATGACTCTGCGAGTTCAATCGAAGGAACTCTCAAACTTACTTGCTCTTGCTGTTTGCTTTGCTTGTCGCTCTTCGGAGACTCGCCTCCCGCCGTCTTCCTCTCGCCGTTCTCAATGTTGTCCACAAGTAGCCATGTCTTCTTGCCGGCCTCGGCTCTCATCACGTGGTTAATGTAGTGGCCTTGATTAACAGAATGGGGCTTTAGGGCCCATTATACTACAATTATAATAAGGAACCTCCAAGACCTTATTGGTAATTGTTTAGGCCCCTATATTACAGATGCACACCAGCAACTTACAATCTTCAAGCCTAGTCGTCATCGACTCCATAAGTCGAACACAGCGGGAACACGACTGGAACGAGCGCACATGCGACTCCGTCCCAGTCTTCTTTGTGAAACAATCTTTCTTTGTTTCTTTCTTTTCAATTCTTGGGCTTTGGGGGATCTGTGTTTAGCACTCAGTTTACGCTTGAAGTACGGTTAGTCGTGGACAAGACGCTGGACGCGCGTCTGCGGGGGCTTTGCCGATGCTTGTTCACATGTGCCCCCCGCTGTACTTATGCTTTCCCGGGCAGTTTCGGCACAACACAGCGAGTCTGACAGCACCTGCTAACTCAAGACGACAGCCTCTTCTTCGACACAGCTGACGGGCGCTGCGTCTACGTACACATGCGATGTCGCGAAAACTGGAGGATGGAGGTTGGAATGAGATTCGCACACATCAGAACAGCCGGTTTGCCAGCTTTCCCCATTTCTCCACCTGCCTGGACACTAGGCTGCCCAGTGGATCCTGCGGAACTCGCGATTGCCTTCAAAGGGCTTAGACAGTTTGGGCATCGGTCTGGCTCGAGTGTACTGACTGTTACTGAGTCTCGTCTGTCGTCTGTCGAGGCAGGCTAAACCCATTTACAGTTCCTATGCGGATCCCCAGGAAGGCCCCGTCCCGTTGAGAAGTGCGTACCGAAACACACACATGGGCAATCAACCACACACACACACACTCTCTCTCTCTCTCTCTCCCTCCTGCTCCCAGGCTTAAGCGGCGAATAAAGCCCCCCCGGCACCAAGGCCCGCCCGCCCCTCAGGCCGCCCAACCACACAATGTTATTATTGAGTGGTTGGCTTTGGGGTCCCACTGACTGCAGCACAGTACTACATGGTTGGGTCCCAGTTTCTGAGTTGCAAGCCCATTCCCTTTACACTATGCACCGCCGACCTGCCTCGTCCCCGCGCCCCTGCCCCTATGCTTTGGCTCACGTGGGGATCATCATCACAAGTTGCAGTGCACAACCACATGCTAACCTCACTGCACGACACGACAGCCCGCTCTCTATCTCTCTCTCCCTCAGTCTCACTCTCGCTCTCCGCTAGTTTCTTCTCCCCACACAATCCTTTCAACCGAGTTCGGAGACCTCTTTCTCCCACAGTTCCTCAGCGCCCAGCCGTGCCATTTTCTCCGGCCGGTCTGTTCGCCCATGGCTGCAGTCATTCGGAATACGAAAAATTATGGGTACCTGATTTTTGCGGGTCCTAACAATAACGGGCACTATATTTGGGGTCCCCTATTTCGGAAACTCCCACTTGTATTATGTAAGAAAAGTGATGGGGATATGCCCTTTCTGTGTCAAAGATCACGAAACCCATAAAGGGAACTTTAACAAACATCACAACCGGAACCCCTGCTTAAACCCCTACAAAAAATTCTCGCCCTTCGAAGTTCAACACCGAGAACCCAAACATGAAATTTGCGACTCAGTCTGGTCAGGCTGACCCCGCATATATCATTTAAGATACTGAGAACGGAGGATGCGAGGACTGACAGATACACCGTAAGCATTGGCATCTACCAATCATCCAGTTGATAAGGCGTTTTCGTAGGCAATGAAAGCGTTCGCAACGCCCAGGATAAAGCGATAAACATGCATCTTGCTATCATATCATCCAATCCGGCAAGAGCCCCATCGCACAATCCGTGACGCCTTTGGTCCGAAACCTTCTACGAAAGTGCCCAACAGCGTGTCTAGTGGGCCCCTCATTCTCCTGATAGGCAGCTGGCTCTCGAATCATAGTATACACAGATGTACAAAGCAACTCAACATCACGTCACGACTCAGCAAAACTATGACCTCTATGGCTTCAGCCGAGCAACTTCTTGCGCAAGGCCTGTATGGCTTGGGCCACACAGGTTGACTTGAGCCAGTCGCCTTGCAGGAAGAGAAGATCCCCAAGAACTAGCAGTGCTATTCCTTGGCAAACCCGTACTTCGTCAGATGATTATGAATCGGAACAGAAAAAGAAATATGTTTGTCACATATACCCCCAAACCATCATGTAGTTTTCCTGTCCTCTGGCCCGGGCATTGAAAATGCTGAAAAGCCCAGCTGGGTCAAGTAAGCCTCTGTGCCCAGGCGGCCAAGGCCGGGCATGTGGGGCTTCAACTCAGGGTCCCAGTTTTCAGGATTCTAGCATTCTAGCGTTTATGCTCTCACTCGGGCTCGCCAGATGAGGTTCACGGTTCGCCGGCGAAGAACAAACGAAGATTTTATTTCGAATGAAATCCCCAAACTTCTGAAACTGATATCTAGTCCGAATCGAAGAAGTCTGGCCAGGCATCGAAGGCAGTCCGAGGGGCGCACTTGTCACTGAGAGCGCGCTGAAAGCCTCCGGCTTGCAGAGCCAGAGCTTGCTGTGACGATCGGAGAGGAGAAAAGGCTAGGACTGGATTCTGATCTGGCTTCTCTCAGGTACATCCTTTCAGGTACTGTGGGCTGCTAGGCACTCGGACCTGCGAGGGCAGGCAATGAGAGGCTTGTCTGTTCCCACATCTCCAACCCTCATTCTCCAAATTCCAGACTTTGGCCGGGCCACATATAGCAGCTGTGGCTGCCCCCACGGCTAGCCAGAATAGCACATAGTATGCTGCAGTCGGGAACTTTGTCGGGGCCGTGGTCGCGAACATTTTCCTCGACAGCGTCGAGGCAAGGTGCTCAGGGAGTCATCAGGAATGTGACCCAACCCAAACCTACAAGCCATCACCCGACAAGCAGGTACCTGCCCATGAACTTAACGCTGAAACGCGCAAATAGTTTAATCCCGGCGCCCTCACAGAACTAGCAACAAAGTCTCTTGAGCCAAGCATCGCAAATCGGCGAAAGCGGGAAGAAGTTCCCAGCTACAAAATTGAGCTCGTGCCGAAAAGCGACGCCCAGGCTTGGAATCCGATTGGAGACTTTACCCAGAGTTGAGCTGGACCCAATTTTCGCACGATTCCTCATTCCTCATATGGCTAACTAGTATTCATGTTTCTTTTTGTCATTAATGTTGTTCTCGTTGTCACTGTTGCTTATTGTTGTGATGATTACCGTTATCGTCACTGGCATTGCTACGAAAATCAATATCAATATGACTATCAATACCAATACCAACAATAAATTAAACATAATCTTGATACTATACTTTGATTTTATGCTTACTGTTATTGGTATTCGCATTATTTCTGATATTGCCACCACCATTTATACAAGTCCACCATTATCAAGATTACTATTTTTCTTATCACCATTAGTCGAATGACGGTTTCTCTTATCATTGTTATTATTGTTATGATTCGTGTTGTTATTGTTGACCAATGGTAGTAATGCCATGTCTTCAAGCCGCAGTGAATCCGGCTAAAACCGTTGGCAGGGCATCTGCGTTTGCTTAGCTTGCCCTCTGCTTCCTCTCATGCCCTGCATCTGCATCTCTTTAAGCCCCGGCTGCTCAAAGCGCTCTGGGTCGAATCTACCCTGGCCCTGGCGCATCTTTTTCCGTGCATTCATTTGGAGGCTTCGCGTGCGCGTCCGAAGTCCAGGCCTCCGGGGGGGAGGTTCTTTGATTCTTTGTGTTGAAAGAAAGGCAAAAGGGCCTGGGTGCTGTTCATTTGGAGGTCTTCGAGATTGAAACTCTTGTGATGGGCCAAGCCCCACTGCGACCTGACCTCGCGAGACAATCCCAGGAGAATAAGCTCTGGGCCGGATGACCGGGATTCGCGGCCTTCGAGGGCAGGATAGCCGAGAAGAATCGAGGCAAGTCCCGAGCAACTATACAGCATGCAGAAAGAATAAGGGACCTTAAGACATCCTCGAGCAGTTAGTTCAGAACAGATAACATGGCAGTGAATCTTTGGAACCCAACCTGCTCTTACCGTATAAGGCAAGCCCCGAAATTGATAATAAGACCCTGCAGTTCAAACAGGGGCACGAAAAGCGGGATTGAGCATGCCCTTCCTGCCTTCTTCTGCGCGAGTAGCCTCACAGCTTCGACAAATTAAAGGCATCTTAAGCCCTTGAGGGCCGATGACCTCGAGGCATGCTGCTGTGCTTTTTTGCGGAGCAGGAGGACTGCGGCTTCAGAGCGATGTGTGCAGGGGAAAGTTGGAGCCGCTTCCAGCAAAATTGCTGCAAAGGCTCTGCTTTCCGAAAACCCCCCTCCTGCCTTCTCGCTGCTGCTGGGACGAAGGCCTGAATCAGAGAGTAGGCCCGGCTTAAAACGCTAAGAAAGGTTGAAACCTGACATCCTTCCACTGCGGATGGTGCTAGTCACAAACAGCCGGAAGGTGAGGTCATTCGAGATGCTTGAATGGAGGCACACAAACTTTGACGGCCATGATGTCCAGCTGACACAAGCACAGGAAACATGCGTTTGTCTTTGTCTCGCCGTCGCAACCTCTGGTATAGTAAGCAGCAGCACGTGCTTCGCACCACTGCCATCAGGGGCAGCGGTACCATTATCTGGAGGCGTTCCTCCGCCGTGGCTGTGGGAAAACCCTGAACAAGTTTGAGCAAGAGCATAGTTGGGAGGGGCGCGTTGTCGACAGCCACGACCGTTCCATGCATTCGGGACATTATCTCGATGCGGAGGCACCAAGACTTGGGGTGGCAAGGGAAGCAAGGAATAGCATGCCTTGCTGCTACATGCCGCCACGGAACGAACACGAAGGAAACAAATCATCGAGTTTTATCCACAAATCTTGTCCTCCGCCGCTAGTTCCACATCTCACTGCAGCCGCTAAGGGGAGTTCCGAAATAGACTGGCCCATGACTCCCATGACCTGCATCCTTCCTGTGGGATACACAGATACAGTACACACAACACAGTACACGCTCATAAATAGCAGGATCCTCAAACTTGACTCCTTCAACCTCTAGAGACCTCGCGTCACACCCCAACGGGACCGAGCTTTCGGAAGCCCCGGAATGCAATGCTGAACAGGCTCTGCGTGGCAGCGATCTTTGTCGGCGCATCTTGCTGCTGGAACAAGTCAAGTCGTAAAGTCTGCTTAAGAATGTCGAGGTTCAGTTCCGGCTTTCTATCTGCACCTGGCCATGTCATTCTAGCTCACTGCGACTACCGTGGGTTCCCAGCAAGAAGATAGCGTCTGAGAGCTTTGGCATGCCACGAAAACCCCTTCGACCTAAAATCCTACACGTCCACCAGATCCATCTCCAGCTCACATGCGGCCACCACACCCGGCAGGTTGCGGCCATTGGGCCTCTGCAAACCCTGAAGCCCTGGCCGCCAGGGCTCCCGGTGTCGGGCCGTGTTCCGAAGGGCCCAGCTGCTCCAGGCCTCCGTGACCTCCGTGACCTCCGTGCTTGCGACTTCCGGCTCAGCTTCCGGCTGTGCAGGATGCGCGGACGGCGCAGGCTGTGTGTGTGGCAGGAACGTCGCCAGGCTGTCCACGTGTCGGAGATCCAGTCGTTGCTGCGTGCGCTGGGACTGGGTCATTGCCCGCCGCAAGGTTCTCAAGGCCCTGCCGCCGCGCAAGTTCGAAGGAAAAAGCCTGCCCTGCTCCTCTGACGAACGTTCGCTGAAGGCCTCGCCGACCTTGGGCGCCGAGGAAGCGCCGACGCGCGGTGCCCGCGTGGCAGCACGGCCTTCCTTCATGCCGTAGGCCACTCCACAGGCAGGTAGCAGGCAAAGCACGCCGGCCACGAAGCCCACGACACCCATCAGAGCGACAGCCACGCCGGCAGCTGCAGCCATCTGTCCATCGTCTTCTCCTTGATTGACAGGAGTGGAAACCATCAGCTCGGAGGAAGAGGAGGTGCGTTCAGTCGCGATCGATGTCCTGATGTTGTCACTTCACAAACCCTATCGTGTATTGTGCACCGGAAGAAAATTAAGGCCCTTTGCGTGCAGGGCAGCCGATCCAGTCCCGAGAATCGTTCAACAAGGACAGCTCCAAACATGAAACTTCATGGCGTGCCGTGTGTATGCGCAGGTTGTATATGAATCTTGTACGTACTTGCAATGCTACAACGAGTATGTCATTATGCCTTCCATGTTTTGTTGGCTTGCCACTCTTCTTCACGCAGTCTTAATACTCATTATTACAGTAGCAATAACTTATTTGAAGATGTCTTGTATATACGTTCTCGCCATTGTTGTGCTGTGCTCTTTGCTGATTGTATGTCACACATGATTGGTCCTGGTCAAGGTCGTGGTCGTGGACAGCACGCTGAGAGCCCAGTCGGAGAATGCGGTGCTGGCGGCTGATGTGGCACGGCCGAGCGCATTCTCGCAGTAGACAAGCACAAAAGACCTACCACCAGCCAGCGTCCCTGCTGGAACGGTCAGCTGCGAATGGCTGGAGCTGGTGGAGGCCACGAACACCTCATTGCTTCCAGACGCATCATCCGCCATGTACACTGCAAAGGCCTCCGTCGTAACTCACGGGAGTGGCTAGCACTGCACGCGTCTAAATGCCTATGGTGTCGCCAGTGGCCACTAGACTACACTGCCAATCTACACCGGCACTGTCACTTACTCTGAAGCGTGTTCAGAATTCAAACGCTGGGTTCAGGCGCACGGTGCCTACAGCAAAACAAAATGTGAGAGAAATATGCACGCGAGACATCACCCCGTGCAAGCCTCCACGAAGCCATAGTCCACGTTAACTTGCCGAGTCCACGTGACTGTTCCTTTGACGTATGTTGCGACGCTGTCCTCGTCTGAGAAGGAAACCGACTGAACTTCCAATGCTCCCAAACTCAGAAGTGGCAAGTCCACGATGCTCACAAAGCCAGCCTGGCTGTACGATGCAGCAAGGTCATTGTCCACACGGTTGGGAATCACGGCAAGGAACTGGGCGTACCCGTTAGACCCTAGATCGCGTGATCCGGCAAAAGCCAGTTGGTTCGTTCCCAGCGGCACATTTCCGTCTGGAGTCGTGGGGTCATCCACCTGGCTACCAGTCGAAAGAACCTCAAACACGGATGTCGAATAGTCCTGTCTGGTCAGAAGCCACACACCATAGTGAAGATACGGCGATGTGTCGGCAGGTGGTACCCAGCTCACTGTGCCATTCAGCTGGTAGACTGCGGGGTCGTGGTCTGTGAAGGACGGAGTACCCACAGTTCTCAGTCGATCGGTCAGTGTGAATGTGACCGTGCTGCTGGTGGCCATTGCAGTCGTCAAGGTACTTGTCGTGGACGGCATGCTGAGAGCCCAGTCGGAGAAAGCGACGCTGGCGGCCGAAGTGGCACGGCCGAGCGCATTCTCGCAGTAGACAAGCACAAAAGACCTGCCACCAGCCAGTGTCCCTGCTGGAACAGTGAGCTGCGAATGGCTGGAACTGGTGGAGGCCACGAACACCTCGTTGCTTCCAGAAGCATCGTCCGCCATGTACACCGCGAATGCCTCCGTCGAAGCACACCGGAGTTGCTACTGCTACTGTAGCCAACAGCGCATGCCTCGACTCTACATGACTATGGTGTCGCCAGTGGCCACTAGACTACACTGCCAATCTACGCTGTCACCAATTCTCTAGCGACTCTAGCGTCTTGACAATGCTGGGTTCACGCACGGTGCCTACAGCAAGACAAAATGTGGCAGAAATATGCACATGAGGCATCACCCCATGCAAGCCTCCACGAAGCCATAGTCCACGTTATCTTGCCGAGTCCACGTGACTGTTCCTTTGACATACGTTGCCACGCTGTCCTCGTCCGAGAAAGAAACCGACTGAACTTCCAATGCTCCCAAATTCAGAAGTGGCAAGTCCACGATGCTCACAAAGCCAGCCTGGCTGTACGATGCAGCAAGGTCATTGTCCACACGGTTGGGAATCACGGCAAGGAACTGGGCGTACCCGTTAGACCCTAGATCGCGTGATCCGGCAAAAGCCAGTTGGTTCGTTCCCAGCGGCACATTTCCGTCTGGAGTCGTGGGGTCATCCACCTGGCTACCAGTCGAAAGAACCTCAAACACGGATGTCGAATAGTCCTGTCTGGTCAGAAGCCACACACCGTAGTGAAGATACGGCGATGTGTCGGCAGGTGGTATCCAGCTCACTGTGCCATTCAGCTGGTAGACTGCGGGGTCGTGGTCTGTGAAGGACGGAGCACCCACAGCTCTCAGTCGATCGGTCAGTGTGAATGTGACCGTGCTGCTGGTGGCCATTGCAGTCGTCAATGTACTTGTCGTGGACGGCATGCTGAGAGCCCAGTCGGAGAAAGCGACGCTGGCGGCCGAAGTGGCACGGCCGAGCGCATTCTCGCAGTAGACAAGCACAAAAGACCTACCACCAGCCAGTGTCCCTGCTGGAACAATGAGCTGCGAATGGCTGGAGCTGGTGGAGGCCACGAACACCTCGTTGCTTCCAGAAGCATCGTCCGCCATGTACACCGCGAATGCCTCAGTCGAAACTCACAGGAGTTGGCAGCCGACACTGCATGCCGCCTCTTACTGCATGACTGCATGCCCATGTGGCTACTACACGTGCTCAAAGTTGTTCAATTCACTACGCTAACTTGCAAGCAGTATTGTCTGCAGCATACTGACCATGTGGAGTTCAAGCTGACACACGGCACATTGTGCCGACAGCAACGCAAGTTGCCCAAAAGCGTGGGGAAACATGCACGCCGGACATCACCCCGTGCAAGCCTCCACGAAGCCATAGTCCACGTTATCTTGCCGAGTCCACGTGACTGTTCCTTTGACATACGTTGCCACACTGTCCTCGTCTGAGAAGGAAACCGACTGAACTTCCAATGCTCCCAAATTCAGAAGTGGCAAGTCCACGATGCTCACAAAGCCAGCCTGGCTGTACGATGCAGCAAGGTCATTGTCCACACGGTTGGGAATCACGGCCAGGTACTGGGCGTACCCATTAGACCCTAGATCGCGTGATCCGGCAAAGGCCAACTGGTTCGTTCCCAGCGGCACATTTCCGTCTGGAGTCGTGGGGTCATCCACCTGGCTACCAGTCGAAAGAACCTCAAACACGGATGTCGAATAGTCCTGTCTGGTCAGAAGCCACACACCATAGTCAAGATACGGCGATGTGTCGGCAGGTGGTATCCAGCTCACTGTGCCATTCAGCTGGTAGACAGCGGGGTCGTGGTCTGTGAAGGACGGAGTACCCACAGTTCTCAGTCGATCGGTCAGTGTGAATGTGACCGTGCTGCTAGTGGCCATTGCAGTCGTCAATGTACTTGTCGTGGACGGCAGGCTGAGAGCCCAGTCGGAGAAAGCGACGCTGGCGGCCGAAGTGGCACGGCCGAGCGCATTCTCGCAGTAGACAAGCACAAAAGACCTACCACCAGCCAGTGTCCCTGCTGGAACAGTGAGCTGCGAATGGCTGGAACTGGTGGAGGCCACGAACACCTCGTTGCTTCCAGAAGCATCGTCCGCCATGTACACCGCGAATGCCTCCGTCGAAGCACATCGGAGTTGCTACTGCTACTGTAGCCAACAGTGCATGCCTCTACATGACTACAGTATGGTGTCGCCAGTGGCCACTAGACTACACTGCTAATCTACACTGTCACTAATTCTCTAGCGTCTTGACAATGCTGGGTGCCAGCGCACGGTGCCTACAGCAAGACATAATGTGGCAGAAATATGCACGCGAGACATCACCCCACGCAAGCCTCCACGAAGCCATAGTCCACGTTATCTTGCCGAGTCCACGTGACTGTTCCTTGGACATACGTTGCGACGCTGTCCTCGTCTGAGAAAGAAACCGACTGAACTTCCAATGCTCCCAAATTCAGAAGTGGCAAGTCCACGATGCTCACAAAGCCAGCCTGGCTGTACGATGCAGCAAGGTCATTGTCCACACGGTTGGGAATCACGGCCAGGAACTGGGCGTACCCATTGGACCCTAGATCGCGTGATCCGGCAAAGGCCAACTGGTTCGTTCCCAGCGGCACATTTCCGTCTGGAGTCGTGGTGTCATCCACCTGGCTACCAGTCGAAAGAACCTCAAACACGGATGTCGAATAGTCCTGTCTGGTCAGAAGCCACACACCATAGTGAAGATACGGCGATGTGTCGGCAGGTGGTATCCAGCTCACTGTGCCATTCAGCTGGTAGACAGCGGGGTCGTGGTCTGTGAAGGACGGAGTACCCACAGTTCTCAGTCGATCGGTCAGTGTGAAGGTGACCGTGCTGCTGGTCGTGGTTGCAGTTGTAAGCGTTCTCGTCGTGGACGGCACGCTGAGAGCCCAGTCGGAGAAAGCGACGCTGGCGGCCGAAGCGGCACGGCCGAGCGCATTCTCGCAGTAGACAAGCACAAAAGACCTACCATCAGCCAGTGTCCTTGCTGGAACGGTGAGCTGCGAATGGCTGGAGCTGGTGGAGGCCACGAACACCTCATTGCTTCCAGATGCATCATCCGCCAAGTACACCGCAAACGCCTCCGTCGAAACTCATGGGTGATGCTAGCCAACACTGCATGCTGTCTCTAACTGCATGACCGGGCGGTCACTACACGTACACTACACTGCCAATCTCCACCGGCAATTTGCATGCATGATTCGCGATCATACTTACCATGCTTTGTTCAAGCTGGCACAAGGCACGTGGTGCGTATCGATGCCACACTGCCCAGGACAAGACCTACGAAACTGGGAGACAACATGCATGCGAGACATCACCCCGTGCAAGCCTCCACGAAGCCATAGTCCACGTTATCTTGCCGAGTCCACGTGACTGTTCCTTTGACATACGTTGCCACGCTGTCCTCGTCTGAGAAGGAAACCGACTGAACTTCCAATGCTCCCAAATTCAGAAGTGGCAAGTCCACGATGCTCACAAAGCCAGCCTGGCTGTACGATGCAGCAAGGTCATTGTCCACACGGTTGGGAATCACGGCCAGGAACTGGGCGTACCCATTGGACCCTAGATCGCGTGATCCGGCAAAGGCCAACTGGTTCGTTCCCAGCGGCACATTTCCGTCTGGAGTCGTGGGGTCATCCACCTGGCTGCCAGTCGAAAGAACCTCAAACACGGATGTCGAATAGTCCTGTCTGGTCAGAAGCCACACACCATAGTGAAGATACGGCGATGTGTCGGCAGGTGGTATCCAGCTCACTGTGCCATTCAGCTGGTAGACAGCGGGGTCGTGGTCTGTGAAGGACGGAGTACCCACAGTTCTCAGTCGATCGGTCAGTGTGAAGGTGACCGTGCTGCTGGTGGTGGTTGCCGTTGTAAGCGTTCTCGTCGTGGACGGCACGCTGAGAGCCCAGTCGGAGAAAGCGACGCTGGCGGCCGTCTCGGCACGGCCGAGCGCATTCTCGCAGTAGACAAGCACAAAAGACCTACCATCAGCCAGTGTCCCTGCTGGAACGGTGAGCTGCGAATGGCTGGAGCTGGTGGAGGCCACGAACACCTCATTGCTTCCAGATGCATCATCCGCCAAGTACACCGCAAATGCCTCCGTCGAAACTCATGGGTGATGCTAGCCAACACTGCATGCTGTCTCTAACTGCATGACCGGGCGGTCACTACACGTACACTACACTGCCAACCTCCGCCGGCAATTTGCATGCATGATTCGCGATCATACTTACCATGCTTTGTTCAAGCTGGCACAAGGCACGTGGTGCGTATCGATGCCACACTGCACAGGACAAGACCTACGAAACTGGGAGACAACATGCACGCGAGACATCACCCCGTGCAAGCCTCCACGAAGCCATAGTCCACGTTATCTTGCCGAGTCCACGTGACTGTTCCTTTGACATACGTTGCCACGCTGTCCTCGTCTGAGAAGGAAACCGACTGAACTTCCAATGCTCCCAAATTCAGAAGTGGCAAGTCCACGATGCTCACAAAGCCAGCCTGGCTGTACGATGCAGCAAGGTCATTGTCCACACGGTTGGGAATCACGGCCAGGTACTGGGCATACCCATTAGACCGTAGATCGCGTGATTGCGCAAAGGCCAGCTGGTTCGTTCCCAGCGGCACATTTCCCTCTGGAGTCGTGGGGTCATCCACCTGGACACCAGTCAAAAGAACCTCAAACACGGATGTCGAATAGTCCTGTCTGGTCAGAAGCCACACACCATAGTGAAGATACGGCGATGTGTCTGCAGGTGGTACCCAGCTCACAGTGCCATTCAGCTGGTAGACAGCGGGGTCGTGGTCTGTGAAGGACGGAGCACCCACAGCTCTCAGTCGATCGGTCAGTGTGAATGTGACCGTGCTGCTAGTGGCCACTGCAGTCGTCAATGTACTTGTCGTGGACGGCATGCTGAGGGCCCAGTCGGAGAAAGCAATGCTGGCGGCCGAAGTGGCACGGCCGAGCGCATTCTCGCAGTAGACAAGCACAAAAGACCTACCATCAGCCAGTGTCCCTGCTGGAACGGTGAGCTGCGAATGGCTGGAGCTGGTGGAGGCCACGAACACCTCATTGCTTCCAGATGCATCATCCGCCAAGTACACCGCAAATGCCTCCGTCGAAACTCATGGGTGATGCTAGTCAACACTGCATGCTGTCTCTAACTGCATGACCGGGCGGTCACTACACGTACACTGCACTGCCAACCTCCACCGGCAATTTGCATGCATTATTCGCGATCACACTTAGAATGCTTTGTTCAAGCTGGCACAAGGCGCGTTTTGCGTATCGATGCATGCCACTCTGCACAGGACAAGACCTACGAAACTGGGAGACAACATGCACGCGAGACATCACCCCGTGCAAGCCTCCACGAAGCCATAGTCCACGTTATCTTGCCGAGTCCACGTGACTGTTCCTTTGACGTACGTTGCGACGCTGTCCTCGTCTGAGAAGGAAACCGACTGAACTTCCAATGCTCCCAAATTCAGAAGTGGCAAGTCCACGATGCTCACAAAGCCAGCCTGGCTGTACGATGCAGCAAGGTCATTGTCCACACGGTTGGGAATCACGGCCAGGTACTGGGCATACCCATTAGACCGTAGATCGCGTGATTGTGCAAAGGCCAGCTGGTTCGTTCCCAGCGGCACATTTCCCTCTGGAGTCGTGGGGTCATCCACCTGGACACCAGTCAAAAGAACCTCAAACACGGATGTCGAATAGTCCTGTCTGGTCAGAAGCCACACACCATAGTGAAGATACGGCGATGTGTCTGCAGGTGGTACCCAGCTCACAGTGCCATTCAGCTGGTAGACAGCGGGGTCGTGGTCTGTGAAGGACGGAGCACCCACAGCTCTCAGTCGATCGGTCAGTGTGAATGTGACCGTGCTGCTAGTGGCCACTGCAGTCGTCAATGTACTTGTCGTGGACGGCATGCTGAGGGCCCAGTCGGAGAAAGCAATGCTGGCGGCCGAAGTGGCACGGCCGAGCGCATTCTCGCAATAGACAAGCACAAAAGACCTACCATCAGCCAGTGTCCCTGCTGGAACGGTGAGCTGCGAATGGCTGGAGCTGGTGGAGGCCACGAACACCTCATTGTTTCCAGACGCATCATCCGCCAAGTACACCACAAATGCCTCCATCGAAACTCATGGGTGTTGCTAGACAACACTGCATGCTGTCTCTAACTGCATGGCCAGGCGGTCACTACACGTACGCTACACTGCCAATCTCCACCGGCAATTTGCATGCATGATTCGCGATCATACTTGACATGCTTTGTTCAAGCTGGCACAAGGCGCGTGGTGCGTGTATCGATGCCACACTGCACAGGACAAGACCTACGAAACTGGGAGACAACATGCACGCGAGACATCATCGTTTAACAGGCCTCCACGGAGCCGTAGTCCACGATGTCTTGCCGAGTCCACGTGACTGTTCCTTTGACGTATGTTGCGACGCTGTCCTCGTCTGAGAAGGAAACCGACTGAACTTCCAATGCTCCCAAATTCAGAAGTGGCAAATCCACGATGCTCACAAAGCCAGCCTGGCTGTACGATGCAGCAAGGTCATTGTCCACACGGTTGGGAATCACGGCAAGGAACTGAGCGTACCCGGTAGACCCTAGATCGCGTGACTGGGCAAAAGCCAGTTGGTTCGTTCCCAGCGGCACATTTCCGTCTGGAGTCGTGGGGTCATCCACCTGGCTACCAGTCGAAAGAACCTCAAACACGGATGTCGAATAGTCCTGTCTGGTCAGAAGCCACACACCGTAGTGAAGATACGGCGATGTGTCGGCAGGTGGTATCCAGCTCACAGTGCCATTTAGCTGGTAGACAGCGGGGTCGTGGTCTGTGAAGGACGGAGTACCCACAGCTCTCAGTCGATCGGTCAGTGTGAAGGTGACCGTGCTGCTGGTGGTTGATGTCACGGATGTACGTGAGGCCGACAGTGTTGTTGTGCTACTGCCATTGATTCTCTCTGTTGCAGAAGTGGAATCGCTTGAAGTCGTTGTTGAAGTTGAGATCGTTCTTGTCGCGGACGGCATGCTGAGAGCCCAGTCGGAGAAAGCGATGCTGGCGGCCGAAGTGGCACGGCCGAGCGCATTCTCGCAGTAGACAAGCACGAACGACCGGTCACCAGCCAGTGTCCCTGCTGGAACGGTGAGCTGCGAATGGCTGGAGCTGGTGGAGGCCACGAACACCTCATTGCTTCCAAACGCATCATCCGCCAAGTACACAGCGAAAGCCTGCGTCGGAACTGAATCCTTCTAGCAGACTCCAACCCCGTCCCCGCATGGTTATGTCAATTGGCCATACAGGTCCCATACAACGTTTCTCCAGCTTATCCACAAAACACTACATTCAGGCTGGCGCGCGTCACGTGGCGTATATCGGTGTCAAAGGCATCAAAGCAAGATGGCAGCCAGATGCACTAAAACAAGGGACATGCATGGACCAGACATCACCCCCACCCCACACACGCCTCCACGAAGCCATAGTCCACGTTGTCTTGCCGAGTCCAGGTGACTGTTCCTGTGACATATGTTGCCACGCTGTCCTCGTCCGAGAAGGAAACCGTCTGCACTTCCAATGCTCCCAAGCTCAGAAGTGGCAAGTCCACGATGCTCACAAAGCCAGCCTGACTGTACGATGCAGCAAGGTCATTGTCCACACGGTTGGGAATCACGGCAAGGAACTGAGCGTGCCCGGTAGACCCTAGATCGCGTGACTGGGCAAAAGCCAGCTGGTTCGTGCCCAGCGGCACATTTCCGTCTGGAGTCGTGGGGTCATCCACCTGGCTACTAGTCGAAAGAACCTCAGCCACCGACGTCGAATAGTCCTGTCTGGTCAGAAGCCACACACCATAGTGAAGATACGGCGATGTGTCGGCAGGTGGTATCCAGCTCACAGTTCCATTCAGCTGGTAGACTGCGGGGTCGTGGTCTGTGAAGGACGGAGCACCCACAGCTCTCAGTCGATCGGTCAGTGTGAATGTGACCGTGCTGCTAGTGGCCATTGCAGTCGTCAAGGTACTTGTCGTGGACGGCATGCTGAGAGCCCAGTCGGAGAAAGCAATGCTGGCGGCCGAAGTGGCACGGCCGAGCGCATTCTCGCAGTAGACAAGCACAAAAGACCTACCACCAGCCAGTGTCCCTGCTGGAACGGTGAGCTGCGAATGGCTGGAGCTGGCGGAGGCCACGAACACCTCATTGCTTCCAGACGCATCATCCGCCAAGTACACCGCAAATGCCTCCGTCGAAACTCATGGGTGTTGCTAGCCAACACTGCATGATGTCTCTAACTGCATGACCAGGCGGTCACTATGCACTATGCTTACACTACACTGCCAATCTCCGCCGGCAATTTGCATGCATTATCATGCATTATTCTCCATCATACTTACAATGCTTTGTTCAAGCTGGCACAAGGCACACAGTGCGTGTCGATGCAACACTGCGCAACAGAAGATCTACGAAAACGGGAGACAACATGTAACAGGCCTCCACGGAGCCGTAGTCCAGGTTATCTTGCCGAGTCCACGTGACTGTTCCTTTGACATACGTTGCCACGCTGTCCTCGTCCGAGAAAGAAACCGACTGCACTTCCAATGCTCCCAAGCTCAGAAGTGGCAAGTCCACGATGCTCACAAAGCCAGCCTGGCTGTACGATGCAGCAAGGTCATTGTCCACACGGTTGGGAATCACGGCAAGGAACTGGGCGTACCCGTTAGACCCTAGATCGCGTGACTGGGCAAAAGCCAGTTGGTTCGTTCCCAGCGCCACATTTCCGTCTGGAGTCGTAGGGTCATCCACCTGGCTACCAGTCGAAAGAACCTCAAACACGGATGTCGAATAGTCCTGTCTGGTCAGAAGCCACACACCATAGTGAAGATACGGCGATGTGTCGGCAGGTGGTATCCAGCTCACAGTTCCATTCAGCTGGTAGACTGCGGGGTCGTGGTCTGTGAAGGACGGAGCACCCACAGCTCTCAGTCGATCGGTCAGTGTGATTGTGACCGTACTACTGGTGGTGGATGTCACGGATGTCTGTGTGCTACTGTGCGTTGTGGTTGTGAAGCTGCTTGATGTCGTTGTTGAAGTTGAAAGAGTTCTCGTCGTGGATGGCAAGCTGAGAGCCCAGTCGGAGAAAGCGACGCTTGCAGCTGATGTGGCACGGCCGAGGGCATTCTCGCAGTAGACAAGCACGAACGACCGGTCACCAGCAAGCGTCCCTTCTGGAACGGTCAGCTGTGAATGGCTGGAGCTGGTGGAGGCCACGAACACCTCATTGCTTCCAGACGCATCATCCGCCAAGTACACCGCGAAAGCCTTTCGACAACAGGACACCCAACATCAACGCGAAGGATGCGAAGGGGATGGTGCAACAGCGATGCCTTCTGATACCTGTTCATGTCCCTATCTGTACTACATTGTACTACCACACCGAGAACAGATGGGCTTGTTCGGCCCTCCCTGTCGACGGAGTCAGGCGAGGTTTTACACACACTCACACACTCACTCACTCACTCGCTTTCGGGGGTACGGTTCTGAACTGATTGAAACCCCCGAAACCTCCACGAAGCCGTAGTCCACGTTGTCTTGCCGAGTCCATGTGACTGTTCCTTTGACGTATGTCGCCACGCTGTCCTCGTCCGAGAAAGCAACCGACTGAACTTCCAATGCTCCCAAGCTCGTGAGCGGCAGGTCTACGATGCTCAGAAAACCTGCCTCACTGTACGCCGCAACGTAGTCGTTGTCCATCCGGTTGGGAATCACCGCAAGGTACTGAGCATATCCGTTGGACCCAAGATCGCGTGTCTCAGCGAAGGACAATTGGTTTGTGCCGAGCGGCACATTTCCGTCTGAAGTCGTGGGGTCGTTCACTTGACTACCAGTCAAAAGAACCTCAAAAACCGACGAGGAGTACTCCTTTCTGGTCAGAAGCCACACACCGAAATGGAGATACTGCGACGTGTCAGCAGGTGGTATCCAGGTCACAGTGCCATTCAGCTGGTATGCTGCCGGATCGAGGTCTGTGAAATACATGCTGCTGACAACAGTGGACGGTTCTGTCGTGGTGCTGCTCGTGGTGCTTGTCATGCTGCTAGATGTTACTTGAAGACTCGATGTGAAAGTTATAGACGACGAAGTGGAACTTCTCGAAGAAGCCGTGGATGTAGAGCTCGAAGACGAAGCAAAAGAATGAGTAGATGTTTGTGATATTGTCCAGGTGGAAGTGCTTGTGGAGATTGGCGTGCTGGTTGGACTACTTGATGTGGAAGTGGCCAAGCTTGTGGTGGACGAGCGTGTGCTTGCCGAGGTCGTACCAGACAGCGTAGTCACCGTGGCAGTTCTTGACGTGGTCGTCCGTGAAGCGGTTGTGCTGCTTGTAGAAGAGGCTGCTCCAGTTGTGGATGTTGCTGTGGCGGTGGTTCCAGCGAGTGACGTCGCAGAAACTGTGGTAGAGCTGGATGTCTCTGACGTCGTTCTGGTGCCTGAGGTAGTGGATGCTGTGGTGGTGGCTCGAGTTGTGGACGCCTCCGTGGTTGAAGAAGTTGCTGAAGTGGCTGTGCTGAATGATGTAGACGTGCCCGGGGTCGCGGTCGAGGAGTGGCTTGTGGTAGTGGAAGTGGCTGTCCTTGAGACACTGCTTGTGATTGTCTCTGTGAGTGTCGAGGAGGCCGAAGTAGTTGTAGGACTTTTGCTTAGGGTGGAAGTGTCCGTGGTCGAAGATGTGATGGTACTTGCCGATATAGTGGATGTGGATGCTGCGCCTGCACCTGTCGTCGTTGTGGTCCGGCTGCGGGACGAGGTCGTTGTGATGCTGCTCATGGTGGAGGAACTGACGGTGGAAGTTTCTGAAGAGGTACCACTCAAAGTTGACGAAGCAGAGTTGGTCGTTGTGGTCACGCTATGGGAGGAAGTAGATGTACTTCTTCTTGTGGATGTGACACTGGCTGACGAAGAAGTGCTGCTCAAAGTTGACGAAACATGGTTTGTAGTGGTCTGGCTGTGGGACGAGGACGTTGTGGTGCTGCTCAAGAAGGTGGAACTGACTGTTGAACTCGCTGAAGAGGTAGCGCTTGAAGTTGATGAAACGGAGTAGGTAGAAGTGATTGTAGTACTGCTTAGCGAGATGGAACTGATCGTTGAAGTTTCTGTGGGGGTACCACTCCAAGTTGAAGAAACAGAGTTTGTAGTTGTGGTCCGGCTGCGGGACGAGGTCGTTGTATTGCTGCTCAGAGTGGTGGTGGAACTGACTGTTGAAGTTGCTGAAGAAGTGCTGCTTAAAGTGGACGAAACAGAGTTGGTCGTTGTGGTCCAGCTTTGGGACGAAGTGGTCGTACTCATGCTCACGGAAGTGGAAGTGATCGTTGAAGTTGTTGAAAAGGTACTGGTCCAAGTCGACGAAATAGAGTTGGAGGTTGTGCTCGCGGTAAGTGACGTCGACGTCAGGGATTTCGAAGTGGTTGTGGCTGACTGTGATGTACTTGTGCTGGTGCTGGACGCACTGGTGGTGACAGTCGACGTTGGAGCTGTACTGCTGCTTGTGCCCGTGATGGAAGAAGATGACGACGAAGACGAACCTGGCTCCAGCCACACATGAACGATGAAAGGAACAAAAATGAACCGATGCTTTTAGGGAAGTCCAGGCACTGGTCCAAGTAGAAGTGAAGCTTGCTGAAGTTGTCGTCGTGGCTGTCAGGCTCGTGGTCGTAGAGGGCAGGCTCAAAGCCGAGTCCGTGAAGAGCACGGAAGCAGCTGATGTTGCCCGGCCCATGGAGTTCTCGCAGTAGACGAGCACCTTAGATTGCAGCTTGGCATGATCGGTGCCTGAGTTGAATGCTCCTCGGAGCCAGATGCTTCAGACTCCTACGCCATGGAAGAGCTGAGCTGCATAGGACCGCCCATCTGCTAGAGTCCCAGCAGGAATCGTGAGTCCTGCGTTGCCGGAAGCGGTGGAAGCCACGAAGACTTCGTTGGTTCCAGAAGCATCATCAGCCAAGTAGACGGCAAAGGTCTGCAGGGTCAAGCTCAGGTCTACTCCATCTTCTTGATTACTCTTGGCCACATCGGCTAGAGGATGGATGTTAACAGATACGTACAGCGCGCCGAGCAAAATTTGCCAGGAAGCTTCGCAAAATTGATGAGTTTCTAAAGGACACAGCAGGCAAAGGTCCCGCAAAACAACGACCCACAAAGGCTTCATGCTGGGCAAAGGATTCTTGGACGTGTCCGCGCTTCGCGTCTATTCAGATCGTCGTGCTATGCAAAAGGCACTGTTAAGGCCTACTAAACAGACATCGGAGGACTCAGCGCTGGCCTCGACGAAACCGTAGTCGGTATCCTGCCTTGCCCAAGTCACGGGCCCCTCCACGTAGGTGGCGACACTATCCGAGTCGCTGAAAGCCACCGACTCCACCTGTAATGCGCCCAGGCTTTGCACATAATCCACCAAGCCAATAACATCGGCCTGATTGAATGCAGCAGTCCTGTCACCGTCCTGCCGGTTCGGGATCACCGCAATGTACTGTGCGTAGCCAAAGGTGGTCTCTGTGTCCCGGCTTCTTGAGAAGGTCAACGAATTCGTCCCTAGCGGCACTAAATCCACTTGGCTGCCGCTGAAGTAAATCTCGTCTACCGAAAAAGAGTACTCCTTTCTTGTGAGCAGCCAGACGCGGTAGTCGAGATACAGCGACGTGTCTGCCGGGGGTGTCCATGTGGCTGTACCATTAAGCAGATAAGGCGTAGGATTCCTGGTTTGCGAATCTAAGGCACAGCGGTTTCTGGACAACGTTTCCCGGCAGTTGACTCAGAAACAACGGACATCAAAAAGCTGTCATTGCGAAACCTAGGTGCAGGTCTGTGAACGCGAAATCGCTGATGGTGGCTAAGCAAACTAGAGGAAAACTCAGCGTCCAGATTTGTCCGCGAAGACATGGCAGCATGAGAGATCATGAAGGTGAGACAACGCATCAGCCGCACGCAATCTTTGTGGTTTTGACAAGATGTGTCGTCTACCGTCAAATGAAGCTGTCCTTGAAGTCTGATCTGCCTGCAAGATGGTCTGTGTCTCCAGTTGACGCTGTGTGGACTCGGGCGTATGTGCTCGCGTATCATCTCGATCATTTACTTGATTTCCATACAATGGTTACAGTACGATTACAGTTTCTCATCACAGCTTGAGTCAGAAGCCAGAAAGGTTATAGGCAACGTGACCTGCTGCAACAACTTGGGTAAAGTCTGCTGTGGCTTGCAACATGCGGACAGCACATGGCCCCGCGAGAAGATGTGAAGAACTGTTATAGCTTCTTTCAATTCCAGGCCCCGCAGGAACCGAGACTGGCACCAGTTATGCTTGCACCAGCGCCACGAAGCCTGGGCTTCCAGTCTTCGGGTCACTCCCGGCCCTTTTTTGTGGTCAAAGACATGCAGGTGCCGAACCGCCAAACTTTCAAGACGCCATGACATGCGGGGTTTAGGGTTTAGAGCACTTCGCAAATCAAACTTCATGCCTGTCTCCCTGTCATAGCCGAGATCTGCTGGTAGGCGCAGCCATGGGACCCGTAGTCTTAAGCCTACCACTGTCCTCAAAGGGCCCCAAGTCTAGAGACTCCCCTCTCCCTCGTCTACGATGATTCGCGGGCGAGCCCGAGCCCCAAATGCCCCAATTGCCCCAGAATCCTCAGCATCCCTCGGCAAAACCCAAAGCGCGGCAGAAGCCCAAAAGAGCACTTTTTCTCACTCGATACATTTGCTATAGCAGAATCAGGTGCCAACATTATATAGGACATGTGAAGCCTGTTTCGAAGTCACTGTGGGGCCCCGACCCAGGGCTGCTGGTCAAGGACCTGTCCTCCAATGTCTGCAGCATGCATTATGCATGCACGTAGGTTGCGTGTTCTGCGTGCACATGTATGCATGTCAAGATCTGAGGCGCTGTGCTGTCTACACATCCGTATACATGCTGCAGACATCTGTGAGGCCGCGCCTTGTCGGTGCCCACAACTTTCATGGTGCCACCACGCTCCTGGTGGCTTAAAAGCTACGTGGCCCGCCCGATGAGTCCTTACTTCGATTTTTTCGAGCCACGAGCACGAGCTCGGTAAGGCAAAGAAGGTCAGTAAGGGCATGCATGGCATTTCAGGGCGACGTCTCCCCGGTAGAAGTCATTGGAGAGACATGGAGATGTCAGTGCAGTTGGTCCAACCGAAAGTCCTTCTCCATCCTCTCCCGGGCCTGTGAATCAAATGGTCGCATGAATGGCTCGGATGTCTCGGGGTTCAAAGGCGGCGCCCTGCGCTACTCAAGGCGCCTTACAATCGCATGGTCCCTCGCGTCCGCTTGCGAATTCCGAAGCCCCGGATGCCCTTCTGCTCGCTCTTTCGGGAAGAAGACCATGTTGAAGTCGCTACCAGTCCCCGAACAGCCACAGAGAAAGTGCATGAAGTTGCAATTCTCTGGCCAGCATGGCCTTCTGTTTGTCCAGGGCTGCCTCGGCCATGGCCTGTGGCAGGATGGGAAGATCAGGCTTGCGTCCTCAGGTTGTTCATGCAAGGGGCATTTAGATACAACCATCATGGGAACCCTCAGGGAGAACATCCCGACAACTCAGTCTTCTATATTGGGACGTCTACCTTCGACGATTGTCCTGGCACGATCATGCAAGCAGCTCCAACACCATAACCCCAAGACCCTGAACCCCTAAACCTTTGTCCAAACCTCAAAGCCCCCTCAATGCTAGTTGCGACGGCCTGAGACCCCGTTATACATATATATATATATATATGTGTGTGTGTGTGTGTATATACATTTATATATACAGATATAAGTATATAAGTTTCATGTAAACTATTACATAACGTAAAACAAAACGACGCCTATTCTGCATGAGGTTTCAAGAGAAGGGCGCCTGTTGGAGCTCCTGGCGTCTCTTCTCGGCTTCCTCCTCTCGTCGCTCCTGAGAGGCGAGGTCGCAAAAGGGCTTCCGCAGTTTGGGCTCCTGTCCGGGATTTTGATTTTAAGTTACCAGACTTTGGTGTTCCATTGAGGGTTCTGTAAGGGTTTAGGTGTTAAGGATTGAGTTTAAGCTACCATGACAAGGCCAGGAACCGCTCTGCCACGTACGCTCCATCCCCATCCACTCGACTCTTATGCAGGATTTAGCGGGGCATCACCCAAACAAATTGAGAAAACAAACGAGAGGTTGCTCGGCCCTCGGCATCCTCGGCCTCAGTCTCTCTCTCTCTCTCTCGCCTCCCCTCCCTCTGTTGCGCCTGCTTGGTCTTTGGTCTACTCGGGCTGAAGTCACCTGAAGCGAGGTTTCAGAAGCCACCAGAGACAAAGCTCAAACGCCAATCATCCGCCCCCTGCTGCCTTCGTCGCTTGCGTTTGCACTTGTCCTGACAGGAGGCATCCTACCACGACAGAGAATCAAAGTCAAGATCTGCGGAAACGTCATCCTGTACCGATCCATGCGATCCCAAGGCATGTACCACGATTCTCATCATCACAGTCGTCATTATCAGATCAGTATCAGCATCACAAGGAGGCGGACACCATCAGCCACTCCCCACAAGGGATCGAAGCCAGTGCCTCGTCTGGGGCGACCTCGGGAAAAAGCTCGGGGCTCGGCTTTTGGCTGGCCGTCCCTTCAATTCTCCGACAGAACGCATCATAATCATCGTAGAGAAAGAGATTGGTTGACCAGATCGCATTGCAGCCTCGGGGCTCGCCGATCCCAAACAAAAGCCCTCAAACTTCTGGGCTGCCCTGCGTCGGAGGCTCCGGTTCCGGGGTCTTCGATGGCCGCATGGTGGCAGAGCCCGTGCCTGCCAATTGCGGAGGCTTCAGCCAGGCTTCAGCTTCGATGATCTCATTGGCGTCGGGCTTAGAAGCATTTTGGAATTCGTTTCAAGTTTCACCCCGCAGTGTGGGGGCTTAGTGCGTTTGTTAGGACCTCGCGGTTTATGCTACAACCGAAACACATAAGATGATACGTGGTCATGCAGTATGCCATGATGAGGCCGGGCTTGGTTTGGCGCACAACATGATCTGTCTCCTGGCACCCCCCGGCTTCAAAGCCTAAGCAATCCGAAGCCCCGGTACCGAAGGAAACAAAGGAAATCCAAAGACTTCCCAGGAGACCCCAATGGCACCTTCGGCCTCCATCTGCAGCTTGTAGAGCCTTACAGTAGAAAGACGTAGGGAGCTCAAGAGTTTAGGGCCCGGCTTCGATCAATCCCCAGGAAACAGAATTTCGTCAGAACTCGTGAACCAGTCGGAAGCGCGACCCCCCCCCCGGGGGGAAGTGCTCTGATACCAAGAGGCCGCATCTCTTCTGCAAAGGCTTCGTTCTGGCGAAGGCAGACAAGGCAAGTGCCGGGGAGCGGCCGGCTTTGACCACATTTTCTGTAGTACTGCGCCAGTAAGTAGGGCTTCGCATCAATTACTCCAGAAGAGCCATGTCTGCCCCTTGCGGCACTTGTTTGAGTCACATGGGTGCCGTTAAATACGAAAGGAGTTGATGCGAAGCCGGTGTTCGGCTCTCACGCGCAGCAGGCCAGCAAGGGTTTCTCGACAGTTGTGCATTCTCGGACTTTTCGTGTGTCTGCAAGTCGTAGATCCTGCCAGTCGCTTGTCTTGCTCAGCTGATGTCCTAGATACCAGTCTTCAATACACTCTCGATACCGCTTTGGGAAACATCGCCAGCAGTCCATGACCAAAACTTCGGGATGATCTTCTTAGATTGCGCCACCGGCTCATGTGATCTCTTGTGACTCTTGTGGTATGGCTTCCTGGTAATGCTCGCCTGCACATCTGATAAACATGGGGTACCCGACCGAGCTCGCGTGAAAATTGCCGCACGGCCTCTTCCCTCTTCTTCCGCAGCTTCTCCTCCTCCTGGCATATCCAAGCATCTGCGTATTCCGCAGCATGAAAACTTTGGGATCTCCAGTGGTTCGGGCTTCTTTCTGTGTTCCGAGTTTGTGGCTGTTGCGATTGCTTGTGCTTCGGCTTGCGCGGTTGAGTGCCAGAAACAGCCGCGGTGCATGATTATAAGATGCTGTTGCATGCGATGCTCCTGTTGCTCCTCCACGCCTGTGCTGTTGCGTCCAAACCTCGTGAATCTTGAACCTGCACTTCTTTTGCCTTACTTCTTGCACAGCCCTGGCCCTGGCTTCCTGTTTCCTACCGCTGTGGTGAAGAGGCCGCCAAGAACGCCACGAAGAAACATGGGCAACTGACCAAGCGATCCAAGACAGCAGAGACCTCAACAAGTAATCCACGCACCTCAGACGGAAGCAAGGTCGCTCCCGTCATGGCGTCCTGGGAAAGTGATTCTGGGACATCGAAGTGACGCGTTGAACGAGCAAGGCCTCACGAATTCGATTTGCATGCAAACCAAATGTAAAGGGGTCAGGTCCAGTCGGCGAGCCGACTACCCTTGCGGCTGGGGCTCGGCATCATCTTCTCCACCTGGCGCCTGCTTGCTCGTCCGTGCTTGAAGAACAATATACACGGTAAAAACCATGCAAGATACAATACAAGGTTACCATACAGCACAACGTCATATAACATGACGTGACTACATGGCAGAATATGATATAGCATAATTACATGACATGGTGAAGTATAGTGCAGGTTGGACAATGTCATGCAACATAAATATAAGACAGTACAATACGACACAGCACAACACATTGCAATGTGTAACATAAAAGTATAATACAACATATAGCGTAAGGCAATGTAACATAATGTGACAAACCGGGGTGTAAAAACTGACATCTTCAACATCAGCGCAATACAAAACATGGAAGAACCGTAATCATGTAATGGACTGCAACACATTGTACTATCATATGCTATGACAAATAGTAGAGCACACGGTAACACTACATAGCACAACATAGTCTCGCACAGTAACAAAAACGTAAAACATAACATAACACTACATAATACAACATCATACACCAGAATGACATGGAAGATAAACATCTAATAAACATGCATGATCTCGAATATTTTATTTGGCATACCTCAGAACGGAACAACTATAATATGGAAAAAGCAACGCAAAATGAGACAATACAGCAAGATACCAGAATACAAAGCGACATATAGTAAAGTGCGATATATCATCAGATAAAGTAAACAATATAGCAGGTCATAATATGGTGTAAGCCGCTACAACATAACATAATATACTCCAGTTTGAAATAGTAATCAGACTACAAAGTCACGTAGCACCTGGCCAAAAAAACAACACGATATAGCACGAGAAATATTACAGTACCACAGAAGTAGAATATGATACGACATGATATACTGCCATATGATGAAAACAGTATGACATAGTATTCGGCGACCAAGCACGATGCAATGTAACCTCAAACGACACCAGCTTGCATGATGAATGCAATTCCGAAGTGACACGGCTAGATTCATATGTCGTCAGAGGTTGTGGCATGACATGATATGATATGCTATCGTGACAAGTTACGGGGTTTGGTTTGTTCAGAAAATTGGCAAGTATCGACTTGGCATTGCCGGCTCGAAAATGACGCTAGAAACGCCAGTGATCCAGAGGAGGCTGCAGCCTTTTGGTTGCTTTGGCTTCCTGCCGCTTCTTTAGGGTGCAGCTACTACAGCTCATGGTTGAAGTCAAGAACAGGGAACCGCAGCCCCGAGTGGTTTGACTTTGCCTTCCCCGCACGGGCCGCCAGCTCCTGGGCCTGGTGCTGGGGAAGCTCGGGGAAGCATGAGAAAGACTTCCCCACATCTAAGTTGTGGGAGGTGTGTGGGATTACCATGGGAACGAGTTCCTCGTAGGCCCGCGCATGACACACAGGACAAACAGTGTAAGGATAAGAAACCACAAAAAAATCCCGCAACTGACCGCGAACAAGTTCTTCCAGCATCTAAAATGGGCAGAAAAGCGGCATCGTATTGGAAAGACTCTGTCCGATAACCCTGTCGCTGGGGCAACCACGAGCCGGTCGTTTCTGTCGTGCCTGGTGTGGGGCGGCTGAGCAGGGGGGCCGGGATATGCGCTGCAACAAAGCTACATGTTGGTGCTTCAGAGCGTCTTGAGAAAGAGCTTAAGCAATTTCGGAAGCAGCTTTGCAAGCGCTGACAATATCATCTCGTGGAGATGGTCAGAGCAGAACGGAAAAACTCGCCAGCAATGGGAACTCAGCATGGAAGGCCCTCTAACAAACACGCATATAAGCTGGGCACCTTCTGATTTCGGCCAAGAAACGGGACAAGTGTAGAAGTTCCCTGCAGCGATATCTCCAAGGCCTGCCAGAATCTCAGAGGCTGAGCAATTCGGTGGCAAAAATCAAGGACGTCTTGCCGGTAGAAAGCTTCCCCTTTCCAAACAGAACTGACCCGAGGCCCGAAAACTCACTCCCGGAGCCTCCGCTAGGCCGCTGCCAGTATTCCTGTGAACGAGAAAACGGCAAGGGACATAGCAAGATAATCGCGCTGGGCATGGAACGCACGCCGTGCTGAACTGTACTACATCATCTGCACGGATTGCAATGCAACTTATCACCTGTCGGGGCACCCCAAGCCACAAGACCAACAGCTAGAAATCGCCGAAACACCTACACCCCAAAGCACAGATGCCAGAACCTGCAGTTGGCGATAACCATCTGGAGTGGAGGGGAGAATTGAGCACGATGTGCGCCCAAGCAAAAGCAAAGAGGAGAGAGACCCCGCAAAACAACCTGGGACGCCCCAAGAAGGAGGAGCCATTAGACTGTCAGAATTCCAAACACTCAGTGGAACCTTTAGATCCTGAACACTACTGAGCCTACACGACAAAATCCTGCAAGCTACCGATGCCTTCCGGAAGTCAGCGATGTCAGCGTGTCTCCTTCGGAGACCTGGTTGCAACGATCCCCAAAGCCAGAAAGCCTAGCTTTGGCTTCCGCATAGAGTGTTTGGACTTAAGGCTCAAGGGTACTCGGCTTTAGCGATGGGTTTCGGATTTGTGGGGTTGCGCCACGCTGCCCCGAGCTGTTTTCGAGCTTTCCTTTCGCGAGCCAATATACGACCTGCTAGAGTGCAGATACGTCCTGCGCACCACTGCTTGACAATGCCTGTCACCTGATAACAACGCTAAAAAGTAGAAACTGAAAACCCATGATCCCATATCCTGCCCAGCTGCAGGCATGGTGTACGACATATCCTCGGAAGCTGGAAAGGTCTTCATGTAGATTCTACACTGCTAAACGAACACATCGTAGCTTTCACGTTCAGGGTTCAAGGGACGCTTCATGCCAGCCCGGATGGGAAATCTTGAATCACAAGGCAGGGTTTTCCGGGGAGGCTCCAACTCCTACTACTTCTAGCCGAGCATCGCTCTTTGTCATGTCGCTTCCCACGAAAGCTTCGGCTTCGAGGATCCCCTGCAGCAGATAATGAACGAAGTGGCAGGACAAGGACACCCAAACGGAATGAGGGCAGCGACATCTTCTGTGGAGAACAGCCATTCACAACAATGGAGCTGACTTATTGTTCTAGAGCCTCTACCATGAGAGGGGTTTCTGGGGTGTCAGATTCCGTGCCAGCTTGCGCGACCCTCCCATCGACCCGACGACTGCTCGGGGCCAACAAGGTGGCTTTGCCGATCCAGGATCATTACTAGTACTATTACTAGTGCTGCTACGATTACAAATATTACTAATGTTGTTACTCTTTTTGCTATTATATACTATGACTACTGCAATCTTTCTCGTCAGCGCCAGCCCAGCCTTCAGGGATTTCCCCTCGCCGGTGCTGTGATCCTGGGTAGATCGAAAGGAAACGGATGCTAAACGCTCAAAGAAGCCTTGGGTGGAGCACATGACCCCAGGCGACTCCGGCAAGTGCTCCTATGTTCGGAACTTACACTTGCCACCAGCCAAACAGGCTGCGGGTTCCAGCCCTCAGAATCGTTCGACACTGCTCATGTGCAGTCGAGCGGCTAAAATTCGAAATTCCGTAGAGTGTAAAGTTCCTCTTCGGATCCAGGCTCAAGACGTCCCTCTGGCTCTACTAGACATCCACTGCGTGCATCATGCAGATACCTTCGTGCTGCGGTAGGGTGGGATCCCTCGGTTTCGTCAACGCTGCTACAAGAAAGACTGCCTCCAACCACACGGCTTGACTTTTCGCCTCGGGTAAGCTTCGAAAGTTCTCGTCCTTCTCCACCTGAACCAGGAGAACCTGTTCTACGCGAGTCGAGCCGCCCTCCGGTCCTGCCGGCGACTGGAGCGTCAGATTCTCATCCTCCTCCACAGGCCAAGGTGGAAAATGAAGAGGGCACAGCACGGAGCGCTGGTACGAGTATTGAGTTTGGTTGCTGCAGTTCTTAGTTCGTACCGCTGCGGCCCCAGCCAGCCTCGATGATCTTCCCGCCGTCCCAGGAGGACGCGAGCGAGTCGAGTCCAGAGGAAGCATCGAGCCTCTCCGAACGCACGGTTCCGCGTGCGCAACAAAATGGACCAGATCCCTCCCTCCCGCGCCTGGCAGTGGCCTCCCCCCCGAGCTGCTTCACGGCCGGGTGGGCCAGCAATTCCTTGCGAAGGCTTTGATTTGTGGGTTTATTCGAGCGAACCACACGGGCTTCGGGCAGGTTATGGGATCCTTTGACCCCGCCTTGGCCGAGGGCCGCTTGTGCTGGTCCTTCTGCAGGGCCAGTGCGACCACGGCCTTCACCTCTCGGCTCTGGCGCTTCCGGAAAAGTTTCAGAAATTCTGGGTTCTGTGGAGCCGAACCCCGAACAGAAAGGGAATCTGAAGCATTACAATGACAATAACCTTACATAGCGGCTTCCCCAACCACCACGGGGCACTAGTAGGTGGCAACACGGTAGAGATTCCAAGAACCTCGAAGATGACCCCGGAAGCCTCTGAACTGCTCGCAGTGTTTCAGATACCAGTCGGGATGCCTCCTCACTGCAGCGGTCGGGCAGGGGAGCCGGATCCTGGTTCGGACGACCGTGCTTTCAGGGAGATTCCATGTTTTGAGCTCGTGGATTCGCAGGCTTTTAAGGGGCGCTCTGTCAGCAGCGGTTCAGGTTCGAGTCATCGAGTCATCAACTTGTCGGAAGCTCAGGAAAAGCTGCTGGAGCTTCGGGCAAGGCAGCTGGTACAGTTCTTCGGAAGCTACTGGGCGCTCTCCCCCCCGCTGCGGCTTGGGAATAGTTGAGGCAAGAGTCAGCGCTGATGATCTTCATGAGCGTCGCGGCCATGTTGCTCGCTTGAAACGGATGCCTGGACATCTCGATCCTCCAACCCCGAGAACATCCGAGAACGATGCCGAACCCGGCTCAGTATTGCTTTGAGATGATTATTTCCGCCACTGAACGAGCCCCGTAGCGTCGAGAGCGGACTTCAGCACCCAACCCTAACAAAAACAGGCTCTTACAGAGGAAAGCTCCCTGACTCAGCGAGGGGCTTAAGCGCGAGGATTTCATAGAGGACGGCTCCCAGAGACCAAACGTCGATGCGGCTTCCTGCAATGTATCACAGCTGAGTCTGCGCTTAAGGCTCCGAGTTCGGATCCCTCTGTCCTCGCTATTCTGCAACGGACATCGACTCTAAGGCTGCGCATGACAACAAAGACAGTACATGGGCAGTTTTCTAGCTAGGGTCCCTTTTCAGCTTTATAAAAAACATCCGATAAAGGACCCTTAATTTCAGCGCTACCCACATGCAAACCCATGCCGAGGAGTCCGTACTTCGCGCCATTGCAAATTTCCGGTGCCTCGGATCGCACAGTTTTGGTGTGCCACGACAGAACGTGCCAGAAACGTGGCATACTGCCTCAGGGGTTGGCATGAAAATGAATACTCCGGATTTAGCTTCCCCTGCTTGGGAACCTGGTAAGAAGGGATGCAGGTTTCTCCATGAAGCAGCATACGAGCCCTTCGATCGAAAACCCGTGGCCTAATGAGCAAGCGGCTTGCCGTTTGCCTTTTGCTGGAAACTACACTGCCATCGAGCCCGCTAGGTGTTGGGGACAGATGTCGGATTGGACCCCAAGGAAGCAGCTGAATCCGAAGCCTCTGCGCGAAGCCATCAAATTAGTATCAGCTTCATGAAACCACAACCGTCAGCCACGAGGCCAAGTACGCCGGTGTTCCCACCACGGTGCCCGCAACCATGGTCTCGTCCATCACCTTCGAGATTCCTGGGCGCTGAACCCCACATCTCGTGATCCTGTGCGGCTACAGCTCAGTGCCCAGACCCCGAAGCGAGTTCTCAACAGCTCTGTGGAGTGTCGCCTTTTGAAGTAAAGATCTGCAGTACACAATTACGAGGGAAGGGTGGTCTCCCGACTTTACCCTGAACTGAGACAAGCCAAATGCAGCTGCCGAGGCCGAAATCGCCAAGCTTGGCATCACCAGACTTCATCAAGAAGATGTTCTGCGTCCTTGCGACTTGCCACGGCCGGACATGCGCAAGCATGCTTGCACGTTCTGGGCTTTCCCTGCGATGATGGCTAAATGAGGGGGCTTCTTGTTGCGGTTCGTAGCATCGCATGACCCTCCATTTGCAGGCCGGGAGCTTGATGTCGCGATGAAGAATCTTCTTCCTGAATCTGGCCGGCGTGTAAAAAGCTTCTGAGAAAAACTTCAGAAAGAGGCGCGGACCTTGCCCAAAAGTGGCACTCCTATCCATGACGAAGCGTGCTTTGGCAAGACAGAAACGAAGCCACAGGCCCAAGCCAGCTGAAGATTCTACGAAGGCAACCAAGGCTCTTGTGGATGTACGCTAAGGCGCTGAGACATTGTCGAAACCTTTGCTCTCGGCTCCGAAGGACTGGGTTTGCCGGGCGTTTTTTTGCCTGGGGGTTCGAGCGATTCTTGCATTTTCTCGACGAAATACAGTTACGATGCCTCCTCCATTCAACCCCGAGCTTGCAGACTTGACTTTTATGGTGTATTTCCGAGCTCTTCCTCGCGATGCAAAGCTTCAAGGAGCCAGTCGTGTCCATCTCAGGGACAAATGGCTGACGGTTCATCGAAATCTGTGCCTTTAGCAATTCTATCGGCAGCCAGGACCCAGCAAATGTTGGTCGAACTGCTCGGTTCTTAGGAAATTTGCCTTCTCCAGAATTTGACATGCGTAGGTTATGTTCAGCGTGGGCTTAGGGCTGAGATCTCGTTCGAACGACTAGATCGTAGGGTTGCAGCAGATGACGATCCGGCGAACAATCGAGAACGCATGACCTGCGTGCTTCTTTCAATCGACTCGCCCGACAAGCTCAACGTGGATGCCAGCGGCTCCCCTGCATTTTGGGCATGCAGAAGAAGCGGGTGTCCAAAGCTTGGCCGTGCTATGCCGCGCTGCTTCTATCACCAGCGTCAAAGTTCAGGAAACGATCGGGACTCTTCGTGCCCGGAAGCAGACTGTCTACGCCCTTATGCCTTGACCCCAGAGTTCTCCCCTGAGCTGCCGACAATGTCATTGCCTCGTCCTCGCTAAAGTATTCATCGTCCTTCTGCCGCCTGGCAGGTGGTATTCTGTCGAAGTCTGTGCCAAACCAGTTTTTTTTGCCTCCCGCCTGGCTAGGACGAACCTACGATGCAGGGTGCAAAATGCTGCGTGCCTCTGCACCTCCGTGTAGAGATCACCTGGTCAGGGTCACGGGGCAAGTTGTCTTTGCGAAGCTTGGAGATGGGCATGGTATATGCAAATGTACGGCAAGCCAGGGATGTGTGCAACGCCTTCCTTCCATGCTGTGTCCTCATGCCTTGTGCCGCGAACGTGTTTCGGCTTTGGCCGACACGCCTCCGTTCCGCTATGCTTTGTCAGTCTGGCTGGATCTGTTGCTATCGCCCAAAACGCGAAGAGGCTTCGATGTACACGGAAAGATGCACAGAGTCCAGCGTGCGCCACCCGTGACTTCTTTTTATTATGTGCGCTGAGCATATGCACGTCTACGACTACGATCTTGTGGGGGTGCGCACGTGCACAGGACAAGTTGTCAAATCGAACCCATGGCTGAAGCCCCGCACTTCAGCACGAACCCGCCCTCTGCAAGAGTGGAGTAGACACGATGAGGGAGGCAACATGGGTCTCGGTTGGTGGATGCTGTGGATTTCATACCGTCCAGGCGAGGTCGGAATAGACGTTACGGTGGGTCGGGGTGGGCGGTGCGGCATACTCAGCTCTACCTAACGCCCTTAGCTCTAAGCATGTTGAATAGAAGGAAACGCAACTTTTGACCCAAGTATATACTGGCTCATCGGCCTGACAGGAAAGAGCCAGACCAGCGAGCCACGCCTCCCCCAAGTCACCGTTGGATTGCGGGGTGATGCGCGCTTACTCCATGCGCTGGCGCGCGAGACCGCTTCTTCGAGCGGCAGTTGCTCGGGATTCTCGCTTTCGACTACGGGCTGTGCAGAGGAGCAAGCGTCAGGGGTGGTGTCCGGAGTTGTAGGGCAAGGCTTGCGAACGGCTGCCGACTGCCACTAGGGTCTGGACCACCATCTGCATACTCGAGCACGATGTGCAGCTTGTCGGCCTGATACACATGACATTTGCTGAGTCGTACTGTCGGGAACGAAAAGCCCCTGATATCAACTGCTGGCGCCCAAGCGGAGTCGCGTCAACAGCTAAGGCACCCTTCGAACTCCCACAACCTGCAGTGCCTCGATAAACGTGTCAAAGTAGGCGATGATGTGCGGATGAAACAGCCGGTGCCTCTCACATCAGAGCTAAATCGAGAGGCCCACCTCCACAATCTCTCCGGCGGCTGCTGAGGCCCGGACAGAAGGCTCACTTCGTCCTCTGCGCTCTTCCTGGCCAGGGCGGACATGCCCCCGAGGTCCACGGTCTTCACCTGAAGCTTTGCTGGCCGCTTGCAGCGCGGATGCATGCGAGATGCCGCGAGCGGCCCTTTGCACTCAATCTTGCGCTGCTATGCGCTATGCGACTTTGTGCCTCCGAAACCCACCTTCCAAATGTAGCAGCCCTCATCCAAATCTATGAGATCACCGGGGCGCCACTCGCAGAACTGAGGTTTCCCTGTGCTTCACCAGCACAGCGACACCTGGGGCTGCACTCGGCATCTTCACAAGCTTACTGCACTTGTCGTCCCATGCTACCTGAAACCCTGAATCTGGCGCCTAACGGCCTAACTTCTCTTCCCGAAAAGCGCTTAGTACTCACACGAAGCACACATCGCGCATTCGGCTCGGCTCGCTGTTGAAAGAAGCCATGGCAAGCCCGAAGGAACCCTTCGGACCCAGAGTGCAAAAAAACCTTCGGGGCATAGCACTTCCGCTTGCAAGCTCTTAACAGGGTGCACCAGCAGATGTGTCGACTCTAGACAAGTAAGTCCACCCATATTCAGTCGAACCCGGTCAAGAAGCCGACGGAACCGTGACTGGATCTCCAGCCGAATCATGCCCCGCAGCTCCGGCCCATAGGGCCCGCAGATCCATCCTCAGGCCCGCGCCGTAAGCCCCGCGGCCCAGATCCTTCTCTTTCCTTGGTATGCTTTGGAGCTGGATCGGACATGTCTTACCGGACAACTTGCAAAACCTCCGGAAAGGACGAAAAGGCACATCTGCTATCCAAGCTGCACAAAGTCCGCCATGCTCAGCGTGGTGTTGTTCATCTCCAGGCTTGGTGCCACCTTGAGCCCATGTGGATCAACTTATCCTTAACTTTCGGAATGTACTTGTTGATCTTAGCGGTCGCTGTTCATGACTGGACCTGGCCGCGATCCGGAAAGAGTTGCAGCCATTCATTGCGATACAGTAATGACTGTCATCGTTCCGACAAGAGCAGGTTGGCATTGGATGTTGGAAATGCTGATTCGGCCTTGGCTTGGTCACGTTGCTGGTATGACAGACGCGCATAGACCCAAGACAAGTATGTTCACCCAACGCCCTCAAGGGGCAAGCCCCGCTGAACCTTGAGCGTGTTCATGAGTGGATGAGGCGTCGAACCCCACCATGTTGCGAACAAGACACAGCTGACTTTACCTCAGCTCCCCATGACATTGCGGAGTGGCACCAAGGTGTCCAAGCTTGCGCCGGTCAGACTTCGAACAGGCTTGACGAGGGTCGGTAGACTTCAAGAGTCTAGAGTGGGTTCGACTAGAGTGGCGTGCAGATGGCCAGAAGCTCTTCTTTCAGCATTAACTACGTTTACACGGCTTCCATGTAGCGAGACCATCAGAACAAACAAAACGCGCCATGAGCAACAGACTTCTCTCTGAGCGTGTATGTTGCAAGAAACAAGGAATGCCAACAGGATGCTTGTGAAGCGGGGCTTCCGACCTTTTCTACTGGGTTCAATTCCCAGAAGGCTTCCTAGTGGGCTCAGGCAGGGTTCAGTGGGGCTTGGAGGCCTTTGCGATGCTCAGCCTGAAAGCTTCGAAGCTGCCGGCTGAAGCTGCATCAACTCTTCTGCGGTCGCTCGCTCCTGAGGCGACAAAAGAGGGCTGCAGGCTGAAGTCCGCGTTTCTTTAGAAAAGCCTTAACAGCAATTGTAACGCGACTGACAACAGATAATGGCAACAACTCACAATCATAGTAATAAACAGTAACAGTCATCGCAATGTCCATAAGAATCGGAACAAGAAGACTACTAGTCACAGTAGTGTGATATGGACAATACTGGTGATAACAATAGTGCAGCGTGCTGGCAAATTAGAACCACGAAGGGGTGCAAGATTGATGACCAGTCTTGGTCATCTTGCTTGCGCACTGGTGGCAGAATTTGACGGGGGGAGGGAGCCCTAATCTTGGTCATCTTGGTAATCTGGACCACTTGCACCACTGCGGGGGCGGGGGGCACGGGACCGGCAATCTTGGTCATCTTGGCCATCTTGGATGCACAAGATGACCAAGATTGCCACCGCCAACCGGTGCAAGTGGTGCAAGATCATCAAGAGTACCAAGATTGCCAAACTGGAATCCCTACCCCGGGGAAAACCAAGATTAGCCGCTAGCCAAGACTACGGGCAAACGTTAGCGGTTCTTATTTGCCGGCACAATATAACACAAGTAGCAATAAGAGAACTGCTATGGCAAGCGGGTTTGTTATATCAGTATGTTATCTTGCATGTCAAATTCTCGCCGGCAGACAAAAGCAGGTGCGCACCGGATCATCCGGTTGGGTGATCATCAGTAGGCACGCAGCGCATGAGATGAGATCTCTTCGTGGCAATCAAGGCTAATGCGGCTAATTACTAGATTATACTGGGCTTACATGCCCGGAAGCAGCGCAAAGCCCGCGCTGAACACCGACAGCTGGGAGATAAGCTCAAACACAAACACATCGAAGTCCACTGAGTCCTCCGGGTTCTTGTTCAGCGCGCGGCGGACAACCTCGCGGTGCACAGCCGTGGCAACTGAAAAGCAGACATCCGAGGCGGAGGGCCCGAAGACGGAGGAAGAGGCAAGTCACCGGCAATGCTGCCGTGATTGCAGTCGGACACTTTGGCTCTTCGGTTGCAGACACGCCACAGCTCACTGTATCCAGGGGCAAGTGCGGCAAGAAACTTAACCCTGAACAGATCAAAGCAAAGGGAGCCAAGACACATCGCGAACTTCCTCCCGGCAAGAGTCTGGAAGCGGGGCCGGCTCTGCATTCACGATCTTCATGATCCTGCCGTGCGAAACTATCACATCGTCACCATCCATGGTTGACAATTCGCGCAGCTCAAGCAATTGCCGGAGCGGCAGTGCCGCGACGTTCGAGGCCGTGAATGGTTGCACAAGCGCGAGCATCTCGTAGAGTACCACGCCCATGGACCACACCTGGGCCAGTCGCCCAGTAAGCCAGTAAGCATCCGCTGCAGGGCCATGCACACGGTTCGTACAAGTCCTAAAAGGCAGATGCTTTAGCTGATCAGCTGTCCACATTGCAAGCTGTCTTTCCACCTCAATGACGCCACAAAATGCGGATCTCCCAAATGCAGACCGGGCACATCGATCTTGGGCCCATACGGCTTGTCCTGGCCAGGGGGAACCGGAAGTGGCTTTTGTTGGGAGGCGTTCCAGCTCCGGGGTCTCATTCCGGGGTGCTTTGGGCCTAGGGTCATCTACAAAACAGGGACTTTCTCAGCACTATCGCAGTATCAAGGCAAGGCCCAAGCGCAAAGCTGAGGTGCGATCGAATAATATGAGAACCCGACTTTCTTTGCAGTTACGAAGGGACCTGAACATTCCAAGAACGGTTCGGGGATTTGGAGCTCAGCCGCACACCGGACAACCCGAAATGCAAAAAGTCCCTCGACGTGGCTAAAGGGCCGCGGCCTCACAGATCTCTGGTGCAAAGTAGGATGGCCTCGGCACTTCCCGGGCAAAACTCCTCCATGCATCCCACAAGTTCCAACTTCAGACAAGCCCAAGAAGCCTTCCTCAGTACGAGCCCGAAACTCTGAACTTGAAGCAAGAAACCTCATGAGCAGAGCTGGAGAACATGCGAGCTCCCCCAACCCGAAACTCAAATAGCCCTGAATCCTGAATGATCTTATCAGCCCAGACCCGTAAACTCCGACCGTGCAGCCCAAAATCATCAACACCGGGCTCTCTAAGCTGGGGCCCTGGACGTGCCAACCACGGTGCCCTGGGCCGCCGTGGTCGTCTCGATGACTTTCGAAACTCAGAAGGATTTTTTTCGTGTCTTCGGAGCAATTCGAAAGAGGGTATTCAGGGCTGGTTAAGGGGTAGTGAAGCGGTTCAGACTTCGGGGTGCGGGTTGACTGGGAACTGCAGGTTTCGGGTTTCTGGGTTTTGGGTCATTGCTGCTTCGACAGCGACTGCTACTGTAAGTAGGTTGGATTTGGGACCCAGGGACGAGACGCACAGGTCTGACAGCTTCAAGGCTGTGCCGAGTTGGCTTCAGAGTTGGGCGCCGTCCAGTGCGGCTTCGAGGCTCCATTCGCTGGGAAGCTGTGGGATACTGGCTAACGACTCGGCTAACGACACAGACTTGGTGCTGGATTGCTCTGTGATGCTGTGTTTCCACCTCGTGCCCCCAAGTCCTGTGAATAACTCCTGCCAAGCAGCTGCCGAAATCGCCTGCCACGAAGCGCAAGCTTTGGTGCAGCCCACGTTCAGCAACAACGGCGAGACAGCGCAAAACTGCGAAACCCTGGGGGCTCCAGCCTATCTTTGCTTCGCCAGCGGCCATCATAAAGATGTTCTGCGACTTGATGTCGCCTGGGCACATAACGCGATTATGAATAGGCCATGCACCCATGAGCTCAAGGGAAGCAACTCCGCTGGCCGACAAGCTACCTCCAGAAAAGCCAGCTAAGACCTCATTGTACTGCTGCAGAGCCTGAACCCGCATCCACCCCTCCAGGCGTCTCAGCAACTCACAACCCCCAAAACTTACTTGCTGTGCCAGGCGGCGGTGAAGGATCCGCTTTGAGTGTATGAACTGGAGCCTGGGCCGGAAACTTCCTAGCCGAATATTTTTTGAGAAGCAGCAAGCAAGTCCGTGGTGATCTGAGATCTGTGGAGGAACAAGCGAAAACGTGTCTCATGGTCTGGAATGGTTGATGGCTAGTCAAGCTTTGGGATCGCATGCCAAAACAAGCCGCTCCAGCATGCACGTACAACGTTTCATCTGCAGGAGGGGCATTCATTGAGGGCATCTGTCGTTTCCTGCATGAGTTCGATCTGGTCCCGACGTCTGTGCATCTCCTCTTGCTTCGTCCCGGTGCTCTGGTGCTCTGGCGGTGCAGCCGGAGGACGCCGACAGGCACTGTGCGAAGATGGTCATGGCCTCGTCCTCCGAGAACGTCTCCTCGTCGTCCTGCGGCTCCGAAGTCTAAGGCTCTCAGAGGGAGTCACCCGAACCCTCTCAACTTCGGCGGTCCTTCTTCTGCCTGATCAAGCTTGCCAAGTCCCCTCCGTCCGCGTACTCCATGACTATGTAAAGAGTGGAGCTCCGCATGAACGTATCCTGGAAGCATCACAGTCAGCTCTCACCGGCTTGAGAAGTCGAGAGGCTACCTACCCTAGACCCCTGAAGTCACGCATTCGTGGGAGAGAGCTGAACCAAAGCTTAAATGGGTTACAAGCAGAGACACCCTCCGGTTCTGAACCCCTAAGAGCCCCGTAAAGCATTTTGACAGCTAAGCATCGAAGTAGGCGATGATGTGCCTGTGAGTCCTCAAGCGGCTTCAGAGCTTTACGACCACCCTTGCGACAACACTATCACTATACTTCCTACACGCCACCAACCCTAAACCTCATGTTTGGCATAACAAGGCCGTTGTGATTTTCCGCTGCCGACAGCAACGAGAATCTGCAATCTGGGCTGTACACTACGGAATTCCCTACTGTATCCAGGTCTGGCCCACCGATGCTGGGCAATTCTACCAACACGGATCCTCCGGACACACCCACCATCGAAACCATCACCACCACCACTACCCCTACAATCACGATCACCATCATTGCTGGCACCACTCGGCGAGTGTTATCGTCATGGTCATCATTGGTGCGACTGATGTCACTAGAACCACGATTCTCGCTGTCGTTGCTTTTTGTCTATCACCTGCTGCTGCTGCTGCTGCTGCTGCTGCTGCTGCTGCTGCTGTTGGTGTTGTCGTTGTTGTGGTTGTGGCTGTGTTTGTGCTTGCTGTTGCTGTCGCTGTGGCTGTTGCTGCTTTGTAGTTGTTGCCCGTGCTTTTGTGACCATCTCAGTCGCCGTCCGTCAATACTTGTTGCTGCTGAATCTGCGCTGCAGCTTTTTGTGCCGCTGCTGTCGCTGTGGCTGTGCCTGTTGCTCTCTCTGTCTCTCTCTCCTGGGTATGGGGACGGGTCGGCGTTCCCGGGCTTCAAGCCCACCCACTACCTTGAGTGGATGTGCGGGGAGTGAGAAGAGAGTGGAATGTTTCCTCGTTGTGTGGCTAAAGCCTTAAAGTATGCGATAACTGCATTCGGGTACATTACCACCCTCTCACTCACTCTCTCTCTCTCTCTCTCTCTCTCTCTCTCTCTCTCTGACTCAAGTCGATCATGCCGCGAAGAAACAGGTCGTCATAGCTGTGCCTGTTGCTGTCCATGCGGTTTTGATGAAATGGCTGAGACATGTTGCTAGCCTGTAGGGTCTCAGAGGCTGTGGCTATGACCCAGATGCGGGTGATGGCCATAAATCATGCCTGCTCAAACTTCTCGTGCCTGGTGCTCAGGTGCAAGTCTACTATTCGGAGACAGAAACACTGGCACCCATCCCATGCTGTCAAGGCACAGTCGCTGCAGGACACCGACCTCCATTGAAGATGCGACGCTAATCGCAACTCGCGTAAAACAACATGACATGCAGGATGCACCAGCTCGCTCCGACATGCTCTCGCGCATGCCATGAAACATGCTTGCAGAGACCGCCCTGGGTCACTATCGCTTATGATATGCGGCCACGCGCATTGCAGCACTCGGGTGGCCTCCTTGTGGGACTCTTCCAAAGCTGTGGCAGTGAGGATGCTAAGGTCCACCTGCTTAATCACCTGTTCGCATCGGCTGCCGAGGTGGTTCACTGCACAAGCGCTAAACCAGGGAAGTGAAGCTTGTTCATTCCGACTTGCACTGCACGCTGTAGGGTCTTGAGAACCATGTCAATCCGTTTGGCTCCGACTGGCTGGGCTGAGGACGAGGGTGTCAGAAGGGTCTTACGTCAAGTCGTCTTTTTCGGGAATACTCGGCATCTGAGCCCCTCGCTCGGAGGGCGCCACCTGCAGAAATCGGGCTTCGAAAGCAGACGTCGAAGAATTGGAGGCGGAGGTGTCGAATGCAACTGGCAGGTTAGGAGCCTTTGCAGCCTTTACGCTCTCGCAACTGGGGGTTTGGTGGTTTGCTGTTTCGGCGGCCGTGGAATCGGCCATGCAAACGTACCCAGCGACCCCCACCTTCCCCTTCAGCGCGGGATTTCACCAGTGTGGCGACACCTCAACAGCTGCAAAGGTAGTACGTCGGGTGCGAGTTCTCGTCCTCGATTACAAGATTGGGAGCAGAGCCGCCCCGATCAAACACACGCACATATCTCCGTAAGGTTCGACAGGCACCCTATGCTAAATATCATAAGGCCCCTTAGATTTGTTCAAGGAAACGACATCTTTGGCATCCGGAAAGGTCTGGTGCGGTTTGACTTCGGCCCAGGTTTTTCGAGCGCAACCGCCTCGGTTTTGTGCGAAGTACACACCACAATACTTTCTTTCTCTTGACAACGCCCGTCTCCTCATTCCTGGCCTTGGCAGAGGAAGCACGTCCCGTCAGGAACGAGCACTACACCAACGACCTTGTCCTGGACTATTGGCCCCGATCGGAATGCAGACTGGTTCCAGGAATAACCTCGAAATGGAGAGAGCCCCTGCCCTCTTCCTGCAGTGAGTCTGGGCTCGCGGCCGAATGCTCCACCTTTGCTCGGAGCTTGTTCTTTGTCTGGGTGTTTCGGTGTCGAATCGGATTGAAGAATGCCCCCAAGATTCGGGCTTCTGTTCATGCCGGCATGCCTGGCCACTGTCGTCCCTTCAAACAAGCGGCCCTGGCAGCTTTCTCATGCAGAAAGCCTGCTCACGAAACCACCAGCAAAGTCCAACTGCCTTGAACCGAACCCTGAGTCCCTTAGAGGCGACAGCGCCCGGACAAACTTCGACGAGCGGCGTCCCAAGGTCTTGACCTGCGCAGGAGCCCTCGCTTCAAAGATCCGGATGGTTCAGAAGCTGAGGCCCCTAAATACCTGAAACCAGCAAGGATAACGCTAAACCCAAGATCTTCGTGAAACCTGGGACCCTGGACCCTCGAGCTCCCCCCTCCCTCCGCACTGCCTCCTCGTAGTTCTCCAGCGGGTCATCAGCCCTGGCGGGTGAGAGGAGCGGACGTGCCCTGTACTTTGGAACAACACCTGAGGCCTAGTGACCTAGTGTTCTCTGGCGGCTTTTTTGGCTCCCATATGTTTCGATACTGCAGAGTCCTTGTATCTATGTGTAGCCTTGCTGTGCTTCAATAACGCCATTTCTGTTGGCCTTGGGCCACAGGTATTGCCAAAATGCTGTCGCGGGATGCCGCGGGGTTCTTTATTGACGGACTGAAGACGAGGGGAGCCGCCCCGTACGTACTGGGCCCCCCTGCGTTCCAGAGCCCTCGCGGGCAATGGCGGCCATAATCAAGCAAGTCGGCCCCTAAATCACGCGTGCAAGATAAGACTAGGCTGTGGTCGGACTTACTGTATGGCTGTGCCAATGACGACTAGAAAGCTTGGATATCGGATAGCTTCTACGGCATACATTGTCGAACTGCCCCGTGCCGTCACATGCCCCACACCCCCCGAGCTGCACTGAGGCTGGGAAGCGCAAGACGAAATCGCCAACAAACCACGCTCTAGTTGCAGGATTGATTCGGAGATGCATGCGGCGAGTCGGGAGACTTCTGTCCATTGCTCCGGGATGGGCAACGTTTTTGGATGCATTTAGCACGATTGCGTCATGGGCTGCCTGAGCACACTTCATTTGCTTAGGCTTCGTGGACTGTTTCAGCGTCTTGAGGCCAGCGAGAATCTGGCCTACAGTATACCTGCAACATGGACACCAACCATCGAACCTGAGCGGAATTTGAATTTGACATCCGCGCTCGGTGTGACATGCATATTCGTACACCCCACGACAAGAAGCACCAATCTGCAACTACAACGATTTGCTGGATGGGGCTCGTGAAGTTTGTGGTCGAAAGCTCTGTCCAACCCAAATTTTACCGACGCCGCCAGTTCCATGGCATTCGCAGCTTCATCTGCAGCAGCGGCGGCGAGAAGAAGCCGCACGCAGCAAGCGCGCGGCGGGTCTCTTTCTTCATCTGCTTGGTGCCAACCACAAGGAAGCCGGCACTCCGAGGGAATGTCTCAAAGGTAGACTGCAGGAGGGACTGGTCGATGCGGGATCGCACACAACCTTCGCGGTCCTCTCTCGAAAGAACGTAGACCAACTTGAACCTGCCTGCATTCTGCTGCACCATCTCTTGCAGCTCTTCATGCCAGAAAAGGTCCTTCCAGGATCTGTTGCCCCAGAGCAAAACCACCTGTTCCACGCTGTCCAGGGGTTTCGCCAGCTGCGACATTGCCACCGGTAAAGCTTCTGTGATGCCCACACCAAAGGCAATGAGTCCCACATGCTGCTGTTGCCGCAAGGTGTAGGCAAGCCAAGGCACAGGACCCGGGCCGGAGATCATGGCCTGCTCTCCCACCGCAAGGCTGTCCTTTGACTCTCTCCACACCCAGACACATGTTCTCTTCCGAAACTGCAAACCTACCGGACCCAAAATACCAAGCGCTCTTGAAGCACATCCCAGCATCCAGATGCCCGGAGCACCGCCCCCCTGGGTAGATCTTCACCACCAGGTCCTTGGCTGAAGTCAGCAAATTCAAAGCCTGAAGCTACACGAAGCAGCGCACCTGCTTTCGCAGCCTGCCCAAGCAGATAAAACACTGAAACGGAAACTCTGCCTCCCAGATTCGAAGCTCCCGGTGCGCTGCACCGGCGAAGCAGGCGAGTAGGACCGCACTCTCCCGGCCGGCGGTCGCACCTGCCATCACCAGAAGGAATGGGATTTCACGTTGCAGAACACACAAAGCTAAGAATGAACTAGTATACCCTTGGTAGTACTATTATCATGATTATTGGTATTCATATAATTATAAGAATTACAAGCTAATCTGTTGTCTTTAGTATTGCTGGTCGAAGGTTCGGGCCCACCTGGGAGCGGATTGCCACACTTTTGGAGCAGGTGACGATTCGCAGAAACAGACAGTCTCCGACATGTTTCGAACCGAGGATTGTAGGGTTTTCCCCACCCGTCCAGCTGATTGCTACTTCGACGACAAGGGTTATGCTCTCGCTCTCGGAGTTTCGGCGCTCACGCTCTCTAGGGTTTAGGGAGACTGAAGTGATCAAGTTCAACCCAGAAAGGATGTATCCGGGGCAACTGCCACATGCGAACCCCACTTCCCCAGAAGGCTCTCCCTTTCTTCAAGCCCTCACCCTCAGAGGCCTTAAGCATCATTAAAGGCCCTAAACTCAAAGCCCGCTCCCGGAGCTCGCCGAAACCTCCCTGACTGTTTGAACTCCCCCAAAACCCAACGCTACACTGCCTTTTGCAGCCAGGCCTCCTCAGGTGTTGCCAACACCTATACGGCCCCACCCCCCCGCAACTCAAACTATACCTAAACCCTCTCTCTCTCTCGCTCTCTCTCGCGTATACCTAAACCCTACACCCCAAAACTTTAATCCCTAGGGCGCCTGCACAAAGTCACCAAGGCCCAAGTCGAAGCCCAAAGTCTGCAGGGAGCAGTCCGCAGGCAGCTCGAAAGTGAAGCGGCGCACCTCAAACGCGCTCAGACTCCTCAAACTAGGGATTCCCATCAGGGTTGCTTTACGGGTTCCTTTAAGGGCTCCTTGAAGGGATCCTTTAAGGGTTCCTTCAAGGGTGGCTACAAGGTTGTGCAGCTTACTATGATGGCTACCAGAAGGCTCTGTGTGTGTGCTTGCTGCAAGGGGTGAAGCCACGCATCTCAGTATTGTGTCCGCATGGCTAGGACAGGACGTAGACCGCGACGATCGACACTTAGATGCGGCAAAATACTTGGTTAGATGAGTCAGTGCGAAACCACGATGCCACAGTGTCTACACTCGGACATGCTGGGCAAGGTCTGCAGACAAAGACGACCGAAGTGAACTCAGCTTCTGATGCTGGAGAATTTGTGGTGGGGCACCTGAAGCCCAACGGTACCGACTTTCGCTTGAATACGTCGTGGCTTCTACCCTCGCTACACTGTCGTAGAATGCCATTCATCTCAACGAGCCCCACTTACCCAACTGGGTCGAGGGTGTGTGATGCAACACGAGATCGGGCGTGCTATAATTCGAAGAGTTTCGCCTCCGGATCATGTTGATCCACTGCGAAAATCATCTAAGGGGCGGGAAAGCCATCTTCGCCACCTTCGCTCAGCGTCTCTTTGGCCAGCAACTGAAACGGACGAAATTGCCTGACAGGCTGAGAATGCGTGAAAAGCTAGGCCGCCGTGCTCCCTGAACACGGTTCGATAGCTTTATCGCAGCACTGCTGCAGCGCATACCGGTCGGATAGCACGAAAAAAAGCAGAGTTTACCGATGCATTTGGAGAGTCTTGACTGGAAGCCTGCAGTCCGCAGTCCGGCTCTAACTTGGGTTTCGCGTCACGCTTGTGAAGCATCCAGCCCACACATTGCATGCGACTTGAATTCAACTGCCTCGCTTAGCGCCCAAAACAACAGCGGCCTGAATGGCTTCATGGCCGCGGCAGTCCAAGAAGCTTTCTCAGGCCCCTACACTTCTGAATTTGACAGCATGCAGTTCTGCATTCGAAACTGGAACGAAGATCTAGAATTATCGGAACATGATTTGTGCCACAGGAAGTTTTACTCATTACCAGAACCGGAAGTTGTCCCACGGTGTGACAGTGACAACGACTGCCGTGGCCAAAGCTTGATAGGATAGCCAGACAGCTGCGCCAAAAGACTTTTTGAAGCAGGGTTCTAAGGCCCCAAATACTCAGAATGCTCTTCTAGGGCGAGGACAAGGAAAAGGACAAGGACAAGGATGATTCCGGCTGGTGCTGATACTGATGCTGCTGTTCATGCTGATGTTGCTGGTGGCGATGCATGCATGACCGACTAGTATGCTGGAGCTGCTAAAGAAGAACCTAGATACTGGACAGTACACCCACAGCACGGCGCATTAGAGCTGAGTGGTTGCATGGCAGCCAAGGAAAAGCAAACAACGAAACCCAAACCTGAAAGCATGCAGAAACAGTCTCAAGAAGTTGATGTAACAGAGCGTATCAATGCACCATATTGGTAGGGAAGCCTGTCAAGCCATGAAGGCTGGTGCCGACTCATACCTGCAACTGGGGAGGAACCAACAAGACATATTGAAAAGGATGCAGGACCTGAACCTGAACCTGCTGTTGAAGAAGCTTTTTCTCGCTCAGAGCTGGGACCCAGCGAGTTGCTACACGGGCCAAGCTCAAACCTGGCTCAGAATGTGAGGTTGAAGGTGTTTTCGCACCCGCAGGTTTAGGGCTGACGGCTTGGGTTGGTTTGAAGGTTCGGGTTTTGGGCTCTTGGCGACAGGGTAGAAGCAGGCCATTGAGCTCAATCCTGAAATCTGACGGGCCCCAAAAAAGAGTGTATCTCCCACACAAGCTCCGCAGTTCCTGCCTCAACGACTGCGCTGCAAGCACTGTCCGTGGTCACGGGCTGCCCCAACGAGCAGCCCGTGCCCATAACAACAATAACAACAATATCTACAACAGTAGCAGCAGCAGCAGCAGCAGCAACCACAATGCTAATAATTTATATATACCAATCAACCGCAAAAGCTGAGAGTTGAGCCCGTCCACGAGGCTGCAGGCAGCCCTTCTCGGTAGACCTCAGCCAGGCTCAGGCAACGCTGAGTACAACTTGCGAGAAGGCAAAAATTAGGAAACAGCAGTCCTTTTGCATGCACAGAGAAAGAAGCTGAAATGCAAAAGACCTGTAGAGTCAGCAGCCGCTGTAGCAAACCGACCGACTTTGGGTCAGCAACCTACAAGGGGAACCTGACATGTCGGGTGAGTGAACACCCAAAGGTAGGAACCTGCCACAAAGGGTCGGGTACCTTCGGATACCTATCCTTTAGAAACTCTAACGGCCTTCAGTTATGCCCTTGATAGGCACAGGTCTGATGTCCTTCGTAGCCTTCGGCTGGGAACTCTTGTGGTCCTCCGCCAGTTTGATGTGATTTTCCTGCATGTTGCCCTTCTTCAATAGGGAGTTCTGCTTCTTCACCTTCTCGTTCTCTTCTTGAAGCTTTTGCTTCTCTTTCTGCAGCTTTTCGTTGTCTGCTTGAAGCTTGACGTGCTGCTCCTGCATGTTTGCCCGCTGTTTCAATGAGACTTTCTTCTTCACCTCTTCGTTCTCCTTGCTGCTCTCGATGTCTTGCTCGGCCTTTTTAATGGTTTGCTCCATGTCCGAAATCCAAGTCAACTTCTTGACCTCGGTAACGACGCCCTGAAGATCCTCCCAGCCACCCTCGCTGCCACAGTGCGTACTGCGAATTTGGGTCACAAGCGCGTCCTTAGCAAGCTGGAGGTCGGGAAACTTCACTTCCAATGGCTTCTCAACCTGAGCGGCCTTGCTGACTATGCCAGCCAGCTTCAGAAAATCAGCCTCCTTCTTCAGAAAGCCCTTCTCGCTCCCGAAATCTCTCTCCTTGGCCTTGGCTGTGAACCAAAGAGTCATGGCTTCCCAGTGCCTTCCACTGATCTCTGCCTTGCAATACTGCTCGAAGTCCTCGGGATCGAACTTGCTGTTCCACATGTCAATCAACTTCTTCACGTTCTTGTCAAACTGCTCGGTCTCTGCGTCATCCTTCGACTTGGTGAGGAGCTCGGTGGTGTCGATTGCTTTAAGCAGTTTCTTGAAATCTTCTGGGTTCTTGCGGCTCCGACCTTTCCAGTAGGCTTGGCCTAGTTTCAGGAGGATCTCAAGCCGACGCTGCTGCAACTCCTCCTTGGCTGCGACTCGACAAACCTAGCCTCTAGCACTCCAGCGCACATCGGAACAAAAGTTTGTGACAAAGAAACATGCGCGAAAGGAACACACTGACTTTAGGGATTTGAGGGTCTTCGCCGATCTGCGCTGCGGCGTCATCGTGGGGCTTCCCCTCTTCTTTGGATGTGCGTGTCGCCAGGATTTCAAGCACACACTGCAGATGTTCTGGCTCCGCAAGCATCTTTTGCGGCGTGACCTTCTTACCCTGCAAGACCTGCTCCAACTGCCCCACCAAAAAGCGGCGGCCTTCTAGATCTGAGAGGCTGCCCTTGAGATTCACGCAGGTCTGGAAGAATGACCCCAAGCTGGCTTCCTCTGTGCCCGCCTCAGTGCCCGACTTCCTGATCACTGCCTTGACCTTCTGTCGGAGGACGTCGGGGTTTTTGCAGATCAAGGCTTTCAGGAGGCGCTTCTGAGGCTCCAGAAAGGGCTTCACACTCCACTCGGTCAAGATCTCCTCTTGCAAGAGGGCCGGCTCTGCCAAGTAGCGCACAATGGGAAGCAGAAAGACTGAAAGGAGCGTGGAAGCCAAGCAAACACGCAGTAGCAGAAGGTTTCCTTCAAGAGCTTTAATCACCGGTTCGGCGTCAGCGACCCAACAGTACCTTCACAACTGTAGGCTTTGCACATGGCCCCCGAGAAAATCTTGCTGGCCTACTTCAGTACAACTATACGCGACTTAGAAGGCTTTGCTGTCGGAACGGCAAGAGGTGCACACCGACAGCTGCAAGAAGAAACTCCACAAGCCGCATTGCATAGTACAAGTCCACCTGCACTGTGAAGGGATTGCCCTTCTCCAACAAGGGGTTCATGCAGCACAGAACACTGAGAAAGGCTTTCGCGATGTCACCACCGCTCGCCCAAATCCAGACGATAAGAACCAGGAAGTCCAGCAGAACCTGATCGAGTTGAGATCCGGCGATGATGGTGAAATTCGGGGAGTTTGGAAATAGTGAAGTTAGTGTGGCAAACATCAAAAACACATGCTGTGAAGCTTCGGGGCCAAACAAGGGCCCGCGGTCAGAAGGAAGCTCTTGCAAAGAAACTGGAGCGGCTGCGGCCAGCTGTCCGCAAACTCAAGGGGAATCAGGCCGCGTGTGCAAACGCTGAACAAAGCGATGCTGGTGATCCTCGAGCTAACCTCGGCCACCCGCATCACGAGCACGAGGAGTTTCACGGCATAGCTTCTGCTTGTGCCTGGCAGGTGATGAAGTCCCTCTGCAGAATCGAAGCCCATCAAAGCAAAACCCATGTTGCCAAAGGAGAATGCCAAAGAGAAGTAGACGATCTGCTCTTGCGTGAAGTTGAAGTATGCCGTCTTTTGCGAGATCTCATGGTGGGCAAGAGCATACGACTGTACCAGAGAAGAGATGGACGCCTCCATCAAGGCTTCCGCCAACCTGCTGCAATGAAGAAGTGGATGCTTCCCCTTCACCAAAGGTGCCTGCTCCTCAATGTCAAGCACATGTGAGTGGGGGGGGGGGGGGGCAGGTTCCGAAATGAGCGGTCGCTTATGACTACGGATTCTAGGTTTTGAAGTTAGTTCATGATAGTACTGGAAAGAACCCGCATCCATTCATTATGATCCCCAGTTTGTCCCGAAAGCGTTGCGCAATGTTATGATTGTTCTGTGCAGTTCGGATGGCATTGATGCGATTGATTTGTATATGAAATTGTTTCTTAGGTTGTCGCGAGGTGTCACAGCGTGAAGATGTATAATGTGAGGTCGTCTCGCCCGTTGGTCGTCGTGAGGTTGCCTCGCACCGAGTAGTCAACTGACCCACCGAAAAACCTCGCGGTAACTGTGTAACTCAAGATCTTATCATGCACCCGGCAGGGCCGGCGGGAGTCGGTGCATCGTAAAATGGCGCTGCCCGTGTGGTGCCGTTCCGATCCGGAGTGTCCGATCATGCGAAAGGGCGCTGTGCGTGTGGTGCCGTGACGATTTCGTGTTCGGAATTGACAACCCTCTTTGCGGACGGTTTGTGGTCAGGGTTGGTGGGCGGAAGCTTGCTTGCCGATGGCTTCTAGAGGTGTGTACTGGGACCGGTGCTGAAGCTACTTTCGCAAGAGAACGTTATGCGACGGCGTGCAGAAGGGTTTATAGAAGGGTACTTGGAAGGGTTGCAAGAATTTGCTTTTGGGCAGCACTTAAGGAAACATGTCTAGACAGGATAAGGGGATAAGAGGGTGTTTTAGACGGGTTGTTGAAGGCTTTGCAGAAGGACATCTTACGGAAATTGAAAGGTTTAGAGATAAGTATATGGGGGGTGATTAACAGGTATTGTTTAAGAAGCGGACAAAAAGGTTTCTGGATCATATCTATATAAAAATATACACATATACACATAAAGTTGACAAGCGGGTTTGCAGAAGGGTCCATAAAGACTTACTGGAAGGAATTTGCGAGGTCTATTGTCGAGGGGTTGCGCGGATGGGTGGACGTATGAATGGAAGGACGCGCGGCTGGTGGATGGATGCATGCATGTATGGACAGTACGGATAGATGGATCGCTTTCCTCGCTCTCTCGGCAAGCACTGTATATCTGCCGCCTGCCTCTCTACGCCAGGACGCCCAGGTCACTCCAGTGAGATACAGGTAGTGCAAATTGAAAGGCACGAGGTACCCGGCTGTGAGAGCTTCCGACGCCTCTGCTCCTGTTGTCTCCACAACCAGCCTCATGTCAATAAAGGTGTACACATTGGAGAGCAAGATGCCAAGCAGATTCACAAGTCCAAACTGAAACTCATGAGAGCTCATGAAGAAGACGATCGCTTGCACGTCTAAAGCCAAGTCCAGGTAGAAGATGCAACACTTCCACACCAGCTCGAGGTAGGGCTGCACCTCCTTGGATGCCCAGCTAAACAGCTGGGAGATCTGTGTTTGAAACTCGGCGGCTCTTCTGGATGCCCATTCTCTGAGACTCGATGCCCATGCACAAAGGCTCGTCGGATCTCCGGTGTCACGCTCAGACTCCTGCGATCCTTCTGCAGCGTAGCAACTGCGACAGCCCTCTTCGCATTGCAGCAACGCCGAAGTTTCCCCAAGCATGAAAGACCTCATGCAAACGAGTGCCGTCAATCCATCTGCTGGCTACAGGCCTGCGGGGAAAAGGCCGCGGGCCTTGATCCAAGAGCTCACCACAGCTGCTTAACAAGAGTCTCCGCTTTCACACCGGTCCCAACCTGCAAGCCGCCAAATTGGTTTGGTCACTTTCCAAAACTCCGCGATGCTAAAAACAAAAGTTTAAAACAGCTCAGGCCGACGAAGATCAACTTTTTTCTTGCCGGTGGCGACGAAGCTGCTGACTGCATTGGGCGTTGACTGTTTAAGCTTAGGGTTTGGGTTGACCAGGGCGCAGACTCGATCGTGGAAGCCTTTGACGTCTCGCCTGGCTAGGGGTAATCACCCATCGGGCCATAGGGTTCAAGCTGAAGCTCCGGGTCCTAAAGCTTCAAAGATCCGAAGTTTCACTGTGCTGGCGGAGTGAAGGGGATGGTCACTTAAAGTGCCCTTCAAAAAAACCTCTAACACATCTGCAACTACGGCTCCGCGAAGCAACAACGACAACCCACCTCTGGAATCGGCTGGATCCTCCATTCGGCATGGCAGCAACTTGAAACACGACCATACGATACAACGGGCACCTAAAGAAGGACGATACAAGAGACGCCTAGAGCTGAGACACACGATCTGCATATGTAATTCGCCTCGGCCCCGAAGCGGTACCAGACAGCGCTTGACCTCCCCCCCTCCCCAGTGACCTCCCCTTCCTAACCCACCCCCCCTTTCTCTCTGTGTGAACCTGTGGAGGAGCCGCAATGTTTCATGCGCCTTTTTGCTCCCCTCTTCGCCTTGTGCCGGCCCCACGCGCCTCATTCCGCCCCTTCCCCCCACCCTTCCAACAATATCAACTTTTCGGTTGGTGAACCCTGCACCCTCCCATGCCATGGCATGCGAGCGTCACGCTTGCATCAAGCGCTGCGCTTTCTCCCTTATGTTGCGGGGTTTAAGGTTTTAGCTGTAAGGTTTGGGGTTTACAGTTTCGGGTTTCAGGCCTGTGGGCTTTGGTAAGATTTCGGGTTGCAGCTTTGGTTTCAGACTTGATGGGTGCTGCAGGCCTGAGAAACCATACATACCAACATCAAAAGTATACACATATGCATACAAAAAGGAATTCAAAATTCAAAGGTTTAGGGCCAAAGGGTGCCTAGGGCAGACGAGCAGGTGCGAAGCACAGCAATGTAGCAATGCATCTTGCGTGTGCACTCGATCGCATTTCTGAGCAGCTGGCGACACTGCTTCTCGAACTCTCCAATCCACATCGGAAGAAATCGATCCTTCGGTGCGGCAGACATAGAGATGCAGTTTGAAGCGCTTTTTGGTAAAGCATGGTAAAGCTCTTCACATCGCATGTCTCTGGGAAGGGCACCCAATCTCCATGTTTACCACAGCCTGCCACAGCACTGCAACCAGTTCATGTGAAACAACACGGCACCCGGAGAGGACGAGGCGCGGGACACGTGAGGCGCAGGACACAAAACAGAGTGGAGTCCTCGCCCCGATGATTGCGGCCATCTTACACGACAAGATCTGAATACCCCGAAATGACGACGACCAGGAGGATCATGGTCCCGCGCGCCCAAACCTAGAACTCATGCCCTCTTCGCGATGCGACAGAGAAGCGGGTACAAAAAAAACGGCAATTGCTGGGATGGCACCCTCGCCGTCTTTCCGGAGGTTGCAACGGCCTTTCTGCTCAAGCTCCTACCCGAAGACCCCAGACCTACGACCCTCGTCGCGTTCGGGAACAAACGCAACAACGAAACAACAACGAACGCATGCAGAGCCGGGACCCGAGGGAGAAAAAAAGTGCTGGCTGAGCCAGCATTCTGTTCTTACCTGCCCCGTATCCAAGGGAGTTCACCATTCCGAGTTTTCCGCGTTTGTATCTTGCAGAATTTGGACTGGCGTAGCTCACGCTGTATGGCTTGAGCTGCAAGGTGCGCTAAATGTATTGTGGCGCAAGCTGAGCGGTGGCCTCCGAGCGGGCCGAGCTGCCCCGACATTTTTTTTTTTTAGCACCTTTTTCCGCCTGCCGGAAGGAGTCTTCTGGTGCCTCTGTCACCTAGGACCTACTGGGCCGCGGCGCAGGGTTTGCCGCGGACTTTCGCTACCACCGCAGGGGCCAGCGGCTCGGGCCCTCAGGGGCGGCAAGCTGGAGGACTCCGTCGAGCGGCGGGCCTTCGCCGGCCTCCGGCTGCAGCGGATGCCGCCAGGCGCCGCCCAAGGCCGTACTGGCGACTGCCTGCTGCACCGCAACAGAGAGCAGGCTCCACCAACGCCAGGCCCATCCCGCGGTGGCGGCCGCGCGTACGGCTGGGGGAGCGCGGTACGCCTTCAGACGCAGCAGGTCTCGCACAAAGCTGCGGGCCTGGGCATTCCAGCGTCCGCCAACCTCGGAGCCTAGCACGACGAGCGTCTGCGGCCCGCCGCGCGTAAGTTCCGGGTACGCGGCGTGCTTGCGGCGCTCGGCCACTCGCAGTACGGCCCCGTCCACGGTGGGTGCCCCGAGCGTGTGAGTGGGGACACCAAAATCGCGTCGCAGCACTGCGCTCCTCCGCTGCGCAGGGCCCCGTACACGACGAGGTCGAGCCTGCGACGGTCCTGCGCTCCGACATGCGGGGCGGTGGTGTGGGCCAACCATTGTTGTGGGATGTTGTGGGACGACTTGCCCTTCCGATCCCATCGCTTCACGCGCAGCCCGCACCCACGCCCGTTCCACGATCTTGGCCCGCCTGGCGAGGAGGCCTGTGCGTGGGCACGCGAGCGCGTGATCGCCGAAGCGGTCAACGACGCCCCCGCAGCCGTGGGGTGAGCCCGCAGGTGTTGCTGCGCAGGGGCACAGAGGTTGTCGCAGGCGGCGCCTCAAAGCGATCTGCATGGCGGGCGGTGGGAGCGTGGTGGCCGGCCCAGTCGGGATCGCAGCGAGCCAAGCGCCCGCTTGCGGTCCGGACCGCTTGCGCAGGAGCGCTTGGGAACTGGGAGGCATGTCGGGCAGGAGCGTGCGCTCGCGGAAGTGCGTGTTGAGTGTTCGCGTCACGCGCATCTGCCATCCATGCGGCCAGTCTCCGGGCCCTGCGTCGTCAGCCGGAGGTGGGCGTGCCCCTTCCAAGAGGGCGAGCCATGTGGGGCAGGCTTGCCAGCCCACCTCTCGCAGCAAGTCCCGCGCCTCAACTGCCTCGCGAAGGCAAGGGGCGTCTCGGCGCGCCCCGCCCTCCAGAGCCTGTTGACACTGCCTCGCGAAGTCGGGCGCGCGGGCGTGCATGACAGGCAGCGCGTCTGCCCAAGCCGCCCAGTAGGCCGCCGGTGCGATCCGTTGTGCGGACTGCAGGCCAAGGCCGCCGAGCACTGCTGGCAGCGTGGCGGTCGGCCATGCTTGGGGCTCGTCGTCAAGAGGCGGGCCTCCCAAGCAGGCCTGCAAAGCTTCCCATATGGCTTCGTCATGTGCAGCGGCATACCCTCGTGACTCGGACGGGGGCAGCGTGCGGAGCGCATGGTTAGCGCGAGAGGAAACGCACATGGAAAGGAGGAGCCAGCTGCATTGCAGGTCCGGTAGCTGGGGAAGCTGCTCGAGGAGTTTGCGTTCCTCCTGCATGCGATCAGCCGCCCAGGCGCGCACGAAATCGGGGTGTCCGATCGGGGTGCCGAGGACAACCAGGCCCCTCTCAGCCGGTGGCTTGTCCCCTCGCCACACCGCGGCTCCCAGCTCGGAGAGGCCGGGCGGCGGGGTCTTTCCTCCTGCGAGAACGCCATGAAAGGAGGCACGTCCTGTAGGGTGGGAGCGGGGTGACGGAGCTCGTCGCAAAGATCGACCTCGTCGAGGGTTTCCCAGGCCGCGTTGCTGGTCGGCGCGGCTGCTGGCGGGCAAGTGGGGACAGCAGCATCCGAGTCGGCGTCCGTGGGGCTGGCGTCGCCGTGCTGATGGCATGCATGCTGGCGGCGGCGCGAGCGTCGGGGCCGACGGCGTCGGGGAGCAGCGGGGTCGCGCAAGGGCTCGAACGTGGCACGCACGTCGTCCGCCAACGCCCGAGCTGCGGCTGCGAGGGCGCCTCCGCCGTAGGCCTCGAGCAAGGCGGATTGCGCTGGCGCAACGAGGTAGCCATCAGGCGCCATGCACACAAGCACCGCTGCGGAGACCGGTAGCGGGGCATCCAGCGGAAGCGCAGAAAGCTGCGCTTGCTCTCCCGCGCGAAGGGCTCCAAGGCCTGGGGCTGGCGACTGGTGACGCGGGCTGGCGACCGGTGAAGCGTATGGCGTATCGTCGTCCAGTGCATCGGGAAGCGTCTCGGCTGCTAAGGCCGCCGCGACCGGGTGCAGCAGCTGCATTTGGGCAAGCGCGTGCATGACGCGCGCACGTTGGTTACGGATGTCGCTTCCTGGGTTGCGGGGCTCGGGTGTCGCGGCGCCGGCTCGCTCGGAGGGCGGGCCTGGGTGCGATGCCTCGCCTACGCGTCGTCCGCGGCACAAGTCATGCCAGTCGAAGCGTCGCTGCGGGGCGTGGCGGGTGTCCGTCCGGCGGCGATCGCCTGCGGTCCGTCTGCGGCGGGAGGCGCGCGGCTTGTCCTTCGCGTCAGGTCCCTTTCTCGACTGGGTCGCGTGAGTTGGCGCGGCGTCGGGGGCCGTCTGGCGCTCGCATTTCGGCGGGCTCGGTCCGGAACGGTTGCGCGGTGGGGCAGTCGCGAGTCGGCAGCCGTGTGTGACGCATCTGAGGGCAAAGAACATGTGCAACACGCAACTGAGCAGCTCCACCTTTTTGCTCCCGGGTTTCGCGCCAAACTGTGGAGATCAACTGCTCGGGCAGTCAGCACTGGCTGTCCGGCAGGGCTCGTTTAAGACTCCAGCACTGGCTCAACATCACCTTCCGCGGCCTTGGACGGCTTCCGCAGCCGCTTTTGCTGCCGCTGTAGCAACCCTTTGAACCAGATCATCATCATTTCCCGAGCGACTACTTGGAGAGTCGGGCCGGTTATAACCAGATAGCCCATATACTAAACACATAC